GGCGGGCGCACGTGGGCGCCGCCAGCGCGGGGCGGGCGGTGGGCGGCGGGCGGCAGCGCGAGGGGCCGGGCGCTCTGCACGTGCCCAGAGGGAGCGGGGGCGTGGCTGCGCGCGGGGAAGGGGCGCGGGGGCCTCGCCGCTTCCCGCCGCCCCGCTGGACAGCTCCTCGGGGTCCGAAAGGGGAAGGCAGGCAGGCCCCACCCGGCGCGCAACGCGCCGCCTCGGCGGAAGAGCCCGTGCGCCCCGCGCCTCCGCTGGCGCCCTTCCTTGCGGGGAAGCGGGCGTCCCCCGCGGCCGGGAGCCCCACCGGCCCGGCCCGGCCCGTGCGCGGGCGGGCGGGCGGGAGGCAACTCGCAGCGTGCTCGGAGCGCAGGGTGGCGAGCGCCGTCCGCTCCCCGCGGGCGCTGCAGCCTGGCCCGAGCCCCGCTCTCCCTCCCGGGGACCGCCCGCTTGCCATGGGGGCCAGGCGGGGTCTTGCTCCTTCCCAAAGGGCCAGCCGGGGCGCTCGGCGGATGCTCCGTTGCGCGCCGGCCGCATCCAGAGCGGGCCCGGCCCTTTTGGCCGCGCCCCTCCCTGCCCGCGTCACTTGCGCGCTCCCGCTGCTTCTGGCCAGGTCTGTTCCGCCAGAAAAGCATCTGCGCCTCGTAAATTACAGCCTCGTGCTTCAGCCAGATGACTTTCCCTTAAAAAAAACAAACCGGGAGCGAAAAACAGCACCGCGCCGTGCGCCCTGATGGGCCTTCGGAGCAGTGCCGACAGAGCAGCGAGATCTCGTTAACCTTAAATTTCCTGCCCAGCGCCGCCGGTTGCGTTCTGCCTTTGTGAAAGCAGAAATGCCTTCCTTTCTGTGCCGCGGAGGAGTTTCATTCTGCCAGCGGAAACGAAATGTTTTTAAATGTAGCTCAGAGCAGTTTGTGCATCTCTGGTGGAGCTGAACTTGCGAGGCCTTTCGCTCAAGTGCCTGCCTGCAAAGTTGTGCAGGTTTTTTAAAACACTGTGCCCTTCTTTGGCGGTTTGGACTTGTGCTCTGCGGGAAGCATTAGGCCAGAGAAGCAGAAATGAGGGGAGCGGAAGGCGGAAGATGATTTCCTGGCAGATGCCAAAAGGCAGGGTGTGGTGCAGTTGGAGATTTGCAGCGCCCGCGTCATGTCTAGGGAGCCCCAAATGCTTCCTTGGGGCTATTTATAGTAAATGGAGGAAGACAAGAAGGGCACAGCACCACGGACTCGCACGGCCCACTTCCAGGGTCGCCAGTGCGACCTGGCCTGAGTGTGTGCCAGGATGTTTTGTGCTTGCTCATCTGGCCTCATCTGTCAGCCAAAGAGACGGAAGTTGCCAGTTTGCTTCTCAAGCAGGAAACCCAGCAAGGGAAGCCCTGCCTGTCCTTTTAGTCTGTGAATCCGACAGACTCTCAGGGGCCCGCCTGTCTCTCTCTTGCCCACTCGATCCGCCTTGAGAGCCAATAATTACCTGCAAAGTGAGATAAAAATACAGTCAGGGTGCGATCGTGTGCATGTTCAGGCTGGGAAAAAGCCCACAATTCCCAGCAAGTCCCGGGTGGCGTGTTCAGAGTTATAGACCCTTTCTTTTTGGTCTGGCTCTACATAGGATTGTCCCTTTAATAATTAAAAAGTGCCCCCCCCCCATCTGCTCAGAGGAAACGGTGAAGAGCAGAGATAGGCAGGCCATAAAATTCCTGCAGCTTGATGAGGCTGGCCGGAATCCCAGTATGTGACTGTCAGAGGTTATTTATTGAGAAGGTCGCCCTCCTTCCCATCGAGAGGGGGTCCTCTGTTTAGAAGTCTGGGGGTTCAGCATCCCCGAAACAAACTCGACTTTGCCAGCAGTGGCACCGCTGGCCGTTGGGTCTATCCTTCGTCAGTTGCCTTCCCACCATCACAGATGGAATGAGGGTGGTGATGGCCTTGCCTTGCAGGGTGGTTGGTTGGATGCACGTGCAAAGCACCTTGCAGGCAAAGCGCATGGCTCCTGCACTGGAGAGATCATTTGGAGCACTTTTCCAAAGCTCTTGCTGGAGCATTTTTGGAATTACAACCTTGGACCCACTCGAGAGACCCAGCCTGCTTTAAGAACCACCCGTAAACTAAACTAAAAGCCACTGCACTCAAGCAATCAACTCACATTGCTCACAGGAAGACCAGGACCCTACAGTCCTTCTAGCCTGCCCTTTAACATCTGTGCACTGGCTGCACCCACAAAATCAGAACAATGCCAAGTGCTGAAGCAGACGCCGAACCAGCAACAGGAAGCGTAGCATTTCCACAGTGAATCAGCCCCCTGAAAACACTCACCTAACTGAAATGGTCTTCTGCCCAAGAACCGCCCAGGGGAGCCCCTCTCCCGGGCAGCTGTTCTGAGCAGCAGGTACTGCAACCAGTATTTCTGAAGGCACGTCCCAAAGGAGGGGCTTTGGCACGGGTCAAGAGACAGGTTAGCCGTGGGCACGGTGCCAGCGTTCTGCACTCAGCTCAGGAGCAAACCGATTGCTGGTGAAGCTGAAGGTAAATGAGTCTTATGTGGCCTGAATGAGCAGCATCTCTTAGAACTCCACAGCTGTAGTCTGGACCGTCTTCAAGGGCTGCCCCACATCAAGACCATTGCAGTAATCTATCCTGGAAGCTGCCAGTGTGAATAATCGGCTTGATTGTTGCAGGGATTGCTGGAAGGCATTCACTCATACCTTGGCTGCAGAGCACACCACATACTGCTATGAACTCTACAGCAGGGGTGCTTCGCATACGGTAGCCGTGGGAAAAGACGGCCTTTGGGCTGGATTTCAGAAGGAGTCGGTTGTTTATGATCTTATGCTGTTTGGCTTGAGTCGCTGCTTGGTGTTCCTTAGAGTCGTTCTGCTTGTTATCTGTAAACAAGGCCATCAGTTTTCTGAGGAAATGACCTCTAATCAGCAAAGGGCAAGGTGAATTGGCTTGGTGATGGGTTTGTGCGCAAACCAGAAACCAGCAAAGGAAGAAGAGTCCAGAGCGGCTCTTTGTGTGGCTATTTATGCCACTCTCCGCTGCAGGAGAGTGTGTACAGGGGTGGGACGCACTCAACTAAACATCCCTCCCTGCTTGTGGTCAGCTAGCAGATACGAGGAAATCTTCCCATGTGCGTGTTTCCTACATGCAGGGAGTTTTATGTTTACATCTGAGAGCATTTAGCAATGAGATCCCATCCCACACCTGCTGCTGCAGCACCTTGTCCAGAAAGGCAGGGGAGCTGCTGTGGCAGAGCCAGCCTCCAAGGTGGGTGGCACCTGTGGAGGTGTGCTCACCGGCCTCCCACTCCGGCCCTGACCTTGGTGGTGGGGAGCCACCTGGGTTGATGTGCCCTGTGCTCTCTGGCCATCCAGAACGCTCATGGGTGCGAGGGGGAGAAATGGGCTGAAGAGGAAGAGCGGCCACGGCCGTGGTGGTGCAGAGATGCTCAGGCCACCGAGGGGCCTTGCCCGAGAGCTCAGCAGCCCGGAGCCGGCACTGTCTGCGCCCGGGGAGCCTGGAGCTGGCCTCGCAGCAGCCGGTGCCCTGAAGATGTGCTGTTTGCCCACGGCAGCACCCGCAGCTCAGTGTGGCTTCCTCTCCAGCCCAGAAACAGCCAGGGAGGGAGCGCCAGCACCAGCAGGCCTCGGGAAGAGCGCTTCTGCAGCTCTTGTGGTCAGAAGCGTTAGCACTCCAGAGGAGTGGCAAGCAGCTGGAGGGCGGGTGCCCTGCCGGGCGCTTCAGCCTCCGGCTTTGGGGCCGCTGCTTTCCTGCCCGACTGCGGCTTGCACGTCCTCCCCGCTGCCTCCCTGCTCCTGGCAGCTCCGGTGCTAGAGCCACGTTTCGAGTTGGAAATAAGGCCGGAGCGAGAGTGGGCGGCTTGGTTTGGCCTGCAGCTCCCATCATCCCCCCCCCCCACTGGCCATGCTGGCTAGGAGTGCTGGGACCTGTCGGACCAGTCGCCTGGAAGGCCACAGGCTGCGCAGGCTGGCAAAGGCCTGCAAGCTCGCCTGCTGAGCAGAGAGAGCAAAGGACTGCTTCCCAGGCGCAGCCTCCCCGCTCCCTGTGAGGCGTCCCCACCGCTAACCTGCGTGGGCAGCTCCAGGCTCAGGCGAGCGGGGCAGAAGTGTGTGCTCCTTCTAAGGAAAGAGCACCGTGGCCGTGCACGCTGCTGGGGACAGAAGGATCCCGCGTCCTTTCCTCAGCTGGGCTGGAAGCACCTGAGGTGCGTGACGGGGGGACATCCTTGGAATCAGGGGCTGCCAGAAGGGAACCCTGGAAGGCAGGGGGCCCCGGGCTTGCAGCGCTTCAGGCTGAGGAGGGAGCCTCGGTGGTTGTCCTCCTTTTGGGAACTGGCTCACACGCCCCTTTCCGCGACTGACAAAGCGCAGCTCCAGCGAGCCCTGGCACTGTTTTCCGTAAACAGACTCCATGGAGCCTCTCGTGATCCGTCATGCCTTGGCTGTAGCCCATCATTCCCCAGTCCAGCGCAAACGGAGAGGAAGTTAGTGCTGGATCCGCAGCAGAGCCTCCCTGCGGAGGAGGACGCAGCTAGCTAGTGGCGCTGCGAAATCCGAGGCCCACGGCTGTGGTTGCGAAGCTGACTTGGCTGACCCCGCTCGCTCTGTGGCGTCCATCCTGCAGCCCCCAGTTTCCAAGATGGCGGGCAGGCAGATGCAGGATCGTGCGGGTTGCTGCACAGGCGATGGAGGGGCAGGCTAGTCCTGGTGGCAAAACAGACGTTTTGACTGGGTTCGGCCCTTTGGAGGAGGCAATGCAAATTGCTGCGGAAGCCGCTCTTGATCTGTGCGGAGGGTTGATGCCCCTGCCGTGACGCTTTGGGTAGCTGATGCAAACAGGTTCCTGGCTCCCAAGGGCTCTAGCTCACTAATTTAAATCAAACGGAGAACAGAATTAATTACCTCCTGGAAAGCCTTTCTGTGGGGTAGGACTTGGGATATGTTTTGTTTAGATTAGCGGCTTGTTCTGCTGAAGAGCTACCTGACTTTTACTGGAGGGCACTTGTGCTTTGCAGTGGGTAGATTCCAGCCATGCAAAAACGCACAGAACAAAGTGGAAAGAATGAGGGTGGTGTAACCTTGGAGGGGGCGCCTTGATAATGCAAATAACAGGCCCCTTCAGTTTTGCTTAGGATTTTATTGTCCCGGGAAAATGCATTTCACTTTAAGATCTCTGGTTTTGTGGCAGCTTTTGGAATGGAAACTCCGCACAGAAAGCCTCTCAGGAAGCAGGCAAGCACACCAATGGCCCGCACGATAAAGCTGGTGGAAAGCGCCTTTCACGGGATGGAAAATAAGCTTGCAGCACGTGGGCAGTGCCTTGGGAACCCGAATGTGACCCAACTGGGGGCTGCAGCACCAGATCTGAGCTGCGTGCAAGTCTCCACCTGGCCATGGGCCGGGCTCGGTGGCCCAGACACTCCCCGGCCTGTCCCACTCGTAGGGTTGATGTGGGGATAACGTGGGGTAGCTCCTTTCTGTATGGCCCTGAGCTCTGTCCTGGGCCCTGATAATAATACAGTGGTGCCTCTGCTCACGGACTTAATCCGTTCCAGGACTCTGGTCGTGGCCCAAATTGGTCGTGAGCCAAGTCAAATTCCCCCATAAGGTTCAATGTAAAGAAGGTTAATCTGTTCTGTAACTATTTTTTTAATCAGAAAAATGTGAAGCAAAGTGACAACAACAAAGATTGTGGCCATCTCCCCCACACCGCCCAGCACGACCGCAATTGCGCCCGTCATCCCTGCATGAACGCAACCGCGGCCGTAGGCGGGCGCCCCCGGGCACGCTTGCGGGGGAGACGGGCGCAATCGTGATCGTCACCCAATGCAGAGTTCACAACCTGAGGCAAAATTTTTCAGAACTTTCTGTTCGTGGCCAGATTTGGTCATGAACTGAGGCGTTCGTGTAATGGTAATAATCCATTCTTATCTTAATGTCATACATTATTTATTTCGCTGATATATGATTTATTTATTATCATATTTATATCCCACTTTTTTTAAGGGTCTCAAGATGGTTTGTACTATTCTCCTGTTCTCAATCTTATCCCCACAACAACAACCCTGTGAGGTAGGGTGCCAGTGTGGCGTAGTGGTTAAGAGCATGGGACTGGGACTCCAGCGATCTGGGTTCGAGTCCCCACTCAGCCATGGAGCCAACTGGGTGACTTTGGGCCAGTCACAGACTCTCAGCCCAACCTACCTCACAGGGTTGTTGTTGTGGGGATAAGATGGAGGAGGAGAATGATGTAAGCTGCCTTGAGCCCTTTGTAGGAAAAAGGCAGGATATAAATCGGGAAAAAATAAAAAAATAGGTCAGGCTGAGGGTCTGCAACTGGCTCAAAGCCACCCAGTCGGTTCCATGGCCAAGTGGGGACCAGAACCCGGATCACCTGAGTCCCAGCCCCGCACTCTTAACCACTACACCACACTGGTACTGTCTTGCCTTTCCCCATATCCAGTTGCTGTTGGTGGAGGGCTTGAATGACCCCCCCCCCCCGCCTCCCCTTCCTGCACAACATCTTGAGAGAAATCCATTGCCTCGTAATAGCTTAATTGCTTTAGTTTAACCCTTTCACCACTTTCGGTTAGGGCTCCGGCTGCCATCTGGCCAGGTGGCATCAGAAATAGAGGCTGTGGAGAATTAAGAGCATTGACGGGTCGGGACGGACGTGCCCTTTGCCCAGCAAGAGACATTAAGGCTGCGGAATCTCGTTCCGGGTTTTTAATCTCGGGTCCTTCTGGGTTTGGTGCTCGGGTGTGGAGCGGCCAGCGTGGCAGGGAGGGGGCGCTGCTTGGGCCTGCGGCTGCTGCGGCTGCTCTGCAGCTTCTGGGAACGCAGGTTCCATTTCCTAAGCTCCCAGAGCTTCTCAGGGAATGCTTTGTGATATCCTGGGGAACTCCCTTCCTTCCCAGTGGAGCCCAGTGGGCAAGGAGCCCTGGAAAGGACCTTCATCCTTTGGCCATCAGCTGGCGCCGGTTTCCGAATTCCTGCCCGGCAGCTTTCTGTTTCCTTTCCCACTTGGAGGCACCTGTCAGTCTGCAGCAGGGTCGGCCTTGGGAATGCCGGCGCTTTGATGGGGTGGCCCTTCCTCTGACGAGCAGAGTTGGCTGGGCAGGCCCTAGCCAGGGGCCCACGGATCCCCCAGCTTGCCGCTGCCACGGCAGCCGTTTGGCTTGGCTACTGCGGCTCCCTCTGGCCTGGGCGACGGTGGTGCAGGGTGAGGCGAGGAGACGTCTGGCAGGCAAGCGGTGTCCCGATGGGCATGAAGACAGCGCCACGGAGGCAGTGGGGGACTCCGTGGGGGGGCCCGGAGGCTGCCTTGCCCGAGGGCCGTCATGGCCCCAGAGCCAGCCCTGCGCAGCCGCTGGAATGGGGGCCTTGCCAGCGAAAGCCTGCTGTGGGGCCGCTCAGCATCTCCTGCCCTGGGGGCTGCAGGGTTTGGGAGGACCAGCTGTGTCAGTTTCTGGCCCTTTTAATGTGCGGGCGCAGGCAAGGCCCCGGGAGCACCGTGTTGTGTTGCATCACTGTGCACGGGGGAAGCCCTTGCAGCGGGGCTGCCTCGGCCGGGGGGCAGCTGGGCGCTCTCTGGGGAAGCACCGGAGGCCTCTGGGATGCTCGGCTCGGCGCAGCCCAGTGCAGGGCGCCTGGTGCCAAGGGAGCAGCCGTGCTCCAAGCTTGTGCCAAGGCCGGCATCAGGAGGGGCTCGGTGCCCAGCCAACCTCCGTCCAGAGCAAAATCCCATGAGGAATTTTGCAGGAAGGCGCGACGGACCCCGAGCGGGAGGCCCTGGGCAGAGATCCCGCTCGGTGACGCTTGGGGCCATTGAGCTGGCCTTGGGGCGGGGAAAGCGGCCCCCAGAAGCGCGGCTCGTCCTCCGCGGGCGTCTGGGGGCTCTCCGGCGTGGGCTCGGCTGGGTGGATCGGGCTGTCTGAAGGCTCTGGCAGGAGCCAGGGGGCATTTAAACAAGGCACAAAGGGGCAGGGTCTGGCCCCCTTCCTGACTCCGGCCCCAGGGGCTGCTTTTCAGCCCCAAGCAGATAATCCTGCCCTTTCTTTGTCTGGCGTGAGTGATTGCGGGGAGAGAAGTATGGCAGCCTTTGGGAGTGGGGGCTTCATTTGAATCACTGCACTAAATGGGCACCTCAGAGCATGCGCAGAGTGTCTCCCTTTCAGCCTCTGATGGCTGATTCTCCGGTTGCAGGCTCCTTAAGCTAAGGGATGGGGAGCCCCACGCATGCATGGGGGAGAGAAGCAAATGAATTCCCCCTCCTCGCTGTTTTCCTGATAGAAAGCTGGAACATGCACGGAACCACCCTGCGAGCTGGCAGCGCGTGCGCTTTAGCTCCACCTTAAGGGTACCATGCGCCTTTTTGCTACCTGGCCGCCTTCAGAGGGACCAAGCCAAAACTCCCAGCATGCCCTGGCATGGCAAGCTGAGGCATGCAGGGACGTGTAGTCCAGCACAACCGCCTGTTCCATCCTCTGGGCAGCCAAGCCAGTGGCAAGCCCAGGGGCCCTCCTCGTAGGCCCGCGATGACACCACAGCTGTTCGGCCAGTGGGATCGGAGGAGGCAGGGCAGGCTGGGGGTCTGAGTGAGGGGCAGGTGCTGCCCGCCCTTTGCTGAGCCTAGTGCTGCGTCTGGAGTGAGGGGGGGACCCCCAAGCCAGGGCCGCGCCCCTGATCTGCGGACTGCCCTGGTTCCCTGCGCAAGCCCCACCCGCTCCCCGCAACTTCCCTCCGGTTTTGATACCGCAGGTTTCGACGTTCCTTCAGGCCGGGCTCCGCTCGGGGTTTTGGGCCAGCGGCGGATGCATCTGAGTGGACGCACTTGGGCACTCTTTGTGTAATGTGTCGTCCAGAGAGATGCGCCTCAGCTACTCCGCTGCAGCCATTTTCAGGAGATCTGAGCAGGGTAAAACAGCTTTAGGGGCAGAGAGGGCCAGGAGTCGATGGCATTCCCGTCTGCAGCTCAGGCCGCTTGACTGAGTGGGCTGCTCTGCTGGGGATCAGAAGGCCCCCTTTCCCTGGAGAAAGATGGGCTGCTAGAACGGGGACTCGTGGTCCCGGACGTCCCCTCCATCCCCTGGGCGGCTCCACGGCTGGAACAGCTGCGCGGCAATCAGGTGCATCTCTGCAGAACCTGTTGGAGAGCTGCCTGTCCACAGCAAAGCTTTTTATGGTATATCTTAAGCCCCACTTAAAATCTGGGATGGGTGACCGTGTTTAATGGCTTGGCTTTCCTTTTTTGCCTCATCACCTTAACAGTGCAAAAGCTAATTAAAGAGATTGCGTTTCACCTTAATGACGGCTGCAGACCACCCACAAGCCTCCCAGTAACCAAGATGAAATTGCCTTTGTGGATTAGAGTGGGGTGTGGGGATGGCAAGGAAAGGAAAACTCATTCACGTGCCCTGGTGTTCTTCGTTGAGGAAATGCGTCTGTGGCTTGTGCAAAAGCTGCCGTGTCTTTGGAGCCCCACATTTGACCCAGTATTAGCCTCCCAATAAGAGGGATATGATTTGCTGGAGGCTTTTGTTTGAAGCTGAAAGCACAAAGCGTTCTGGTGGCTCAGGCTGGAGGGCTGCGTTCAGAGGGACGCGCTCAGCGATGGCTTCAGGTGGCTTGGCTTTCACTGAGGAATGCGGGCTGCTGTTTTTGAAAGCTGTGCAGAAAAGCCTCCAGAACAAGTTGGCATTAAGCACTTCCTCTCTGCTGTGTGACTGTGGAGGCTGGGCTTAGGCTTCCGCCATATGGTCTCTGTCTTTCTGTTATCTCCTTGGAACGATTTTCTATTCCTGCAGAGTAAACATGAAGAGCTCTGCCTGGATGACAGTGGGCCAGAGGCTGCCGGGGGTGTTCTGATGGCTTTGCAGGGGCAGCTGCAGCTACGCTGGGCAGGAAAAGCCGTTTTTGCCCTTGCACAACTGGCCACATTTTGCACAAACAGAGCTTCCTATTCCTCTCGGAGGACCGTCAGGCCACATGCTCCTGGCAATCGCACGATGTGCTGAGCATTCTCCCCTGGAGACCCCCAGTTTTCTAACTTGGGGCTGCCAGGAGGGAGAGGTGGTCATGGGGGGTGCTAGATCGTGAAAAAATCCAGGACTCGGCACCAGCACCTGTGTTAGTTTGTAGATGCTGCAAAGCAGGGGTGTCCAACCTGCAGCCCGCGGGCCGTATGTGGCCCAGGATGGCTATGAATGAAGCCCAACTCAAAATCATAAACTTACTTAAAACATCATGAGATTTTTTTGAGATGTGTTTTGCAACCCGGTTGCATGGTTCTCGAGCATGAACTGTGTAGACGACAACGTCATGTCACAATGTCACATAAAATAAATGTGCGTATGCTCTCACTATCTGTGCGCATGTGTGGCTTCTGTTTCACGGCGGTGTGAGGCCTCCATTTGTGAGCAGCTCTTTTCAGGAATGAAACAAGCTAAGAGTAAAACTAGAACCAAAATATCTGATGAGCACCTTGAGAACTCCCTGAGAATTGCAACTATTTCCATCAAACCAACTCCTGATGCCTTCGTTTCTCAAATATCCCACTAGTTTTATGTTGCCCTCTTTTCTTTTACTTTTATAATACATTAGCAAAAATATCAATGAAGTTTTATTACTTCGATATGTTCATTTTCTGGATTAGGGTTTGCAAATGTGGGACCTGCTTGATGATTTTAAATTAGGATTTAAATAATTAGGATTATTATGTGAGGACTTTTTTGCTTATCAGTGGTGCCAGTTATGACACATACTATGCACAGACCTTTTCTTTGCTCGCCAGTTTCCATTAGTGTTTGTGCATTTAATGCGTGGCCCAAGCAGTTCTTCTTCCAATGCCGGACGCCCCTGCTGCTGGGCGTGCGTGTGCCCTTGAAGGCTCCACCTCCTCAGGACAGTTGTGCAAGGAGAGACATTGGGAGAGGGGAGAGGCGGGCAATGGATTTCAGGAGAAAGAACCCCCCAGGGAGAAAGTCTGTGGGGCGGGGGGGGGGAGAGCAGCCAGAGGGGAAGCCCCTGTGGGCAAAGAAGCAACTCCCCTGGCCCTTGATGCTCCTGTTTCGGCCGGCTCCTGTGGACGGCGGGCAGGGGGCATGCTTGAGATTTGGGGCTGCAGCAGCCCCCCTCCCCCGTGCACCACCCCCGGCAGGCTTGGGCGCAGCCACCCCAGAGCAGCTGTTCCGAATGTGGCCTTCGAGGTCTTTGAGCCGCTGCTTCCGCAGGGAGGGGGCATCTTAATGCCTGCATGTTTGAATGGCTCCGAAACCGAAGGCGGAAGGACAGGGGGGCCACGTCGGAGACGGAAGGGCTCCATCGGGAGCCACGGCCAGGAGTGCGCGCCAGCTGAGCAGGGCTGCCGTGGGAGCCTCCGTTCGCAGGCTGGCCGCAGGTCAGAGGGAGCGTGGCCTTGATGGCACAAAGCAACAAGGTTGGACTCCCCGTGGCCGGGCAGATGTTCCTGTCCCCTGGAGACCCCGGCTCCATCTTTGGCTGTAAGGAGAAGACCCCCCGGGCCCCCACCCCGACTATCCAGGCTTGCCACCGATCCGTCCCCATCCTGGTGTCCTCCACTGGCTGCAGCTCCCCTCCTCGTTGGCCCTGCTGATGGGATTTGTAGTCCAACGCGTCTGGAAGGTATTAGGTTGGGAGAAGGTGTGTGGCCAGGCGGGATCGCTGCGCAGAGGCGATTCCGGGAGGGAGGAGCCCAAAGTGGCAGCTCTAAGGAAGAACTGAAGCCCACCCCACGCGCGTGCGGCTTCCTGGCGCCTCTGGCCACGCCACGCCGCCTGACCAGTTCCTGACATCTCTCGCCCGGTTCGCTGTGCTTTTCTGCAGCCGCTGCGGATCCGAGCATGAACGCGCCTGGCGAACAGGGAGCCGGGAGTCCAGGCGAGCGCTTGCAGCCGCCAGGCGTCCGCCCCTCCTTGGGAAAGTCACCCGGAATTCGGCTCAGAGGCATTTGCGAGTGCCCAGGAAGGTGCTGGCTCGGGAGGAACGGCTCAGCTCTTAGCTGACTGGTAAATCCATTCCCCGGCAAAGTGATCACCTCCAAGAATTCGAAGAATGTGCATTTGCCCGAAGAAAATGGCCAGCCGGGTCTAAAGTGCCTCTCTGTCGCCCTGTGCCGCGCTCTCGCGTTCACCGCTCCTCCGGGATATCAGTGCAGGGCCGTCTTAGCGCATGGGCCTGGTGGGCACTTGCCTGTGCGCCCCGTACTAATCTGTGTGTGTTAACCCTTGGAAAATTGGAAAACTTCCCAGATCAGCAGTAGTGCCAGTTGTCATAGGGGCCCCAGGACACTGCTTTGCCCGGGGCCCATCATGCTGTTAAGACAGCCCTGTGTCAGTGCGCCAGTCAGACTCGGCCGGGGCATGATTTTAAATCCGTCTCCTAACTGCACGTCATGGAGAGGATCCAGCCGCAGGAACAGAGGGCGTTGCACCGATTTTAGCAGGAAATACCGCTTGGCCCTGCTGTTTAGGAGGCCCCATCAAAGGACAGGAGGACAGGCCCCTGCCCTGAGGGGCTTACAGTCAGAGGTCCAAGATGACACAGAGGAAAATGAAGTACAGGAGTAAACAGGAATAAGTGATGCCTTTGTTTAGTGACATGTACTTAGCTGTTGTGAAACTGGAAAAGGTGTTGGTCAACACCCAGAGGGCGAACGCGGGAGGACGGAATCACTGAGAGCTCCCTGGGCTTGTTTTCTGGCGGGCGTTTTGGCTTGCACGGTCATGCGTAACTGGGCTCTCGCCAGTCTCAAGCAAGGGCTGACCCTGGAACGCAGCTCACATGGCCCAGCCTTCTGGCTGAACTTCCAGCCTCCCCATAATTCTCTTATCAGGCTGCTCACAAACATCCTCTCTGCAGAACCAGCTGGATGCTTCCCAGCCGCAAGCAGAGTTGGCCACTTCCCGGGTTGCAGATGGCGTCTGCCTCATCACATGCCCTGGAGCAGCAAAGGAGATTTGCTGTTGCTGTGGATGGGCCGGGGTGGGGGGGTTGTTATGCAAACTCACCTTTTGCCTTTATTTATGGGGGTCCTTTTCAGTCCAATAGTAGGGATTCCTTTTTGGGGGATGGGGTGCTAGAAGATGGCCATGTAAAAAGGATCGTAGAATCATAGAAGAGTAGAGTTGGAAGGGGCCTTGAAGGTCATCAAGTCCAACCCCCTGCTGTTGTAGGACACCTAGTCACACCCTCCCACTCAGATGGCCGCCCAGTTTCTTTTTGAATGCCTCCAGTGTGGGAGAGCCCCCCACCTCTCCAGGCGGCTGGTTCCACTGTTGCATTGCTCCGACCGTGAGGAAGCTTTTCCTCATATCTAGCCTGAACCTGGGTTGTCACAGCTTGACTTGATTATTCCGTGTCCTGCACTCTGGCACCAGCAAGAAGAGATGAGAGACCTTCCTCTTCGTGACAGCCTTTGAGGGACTTAAGGAGGGATTTCATGTCCCCCCTCAGTCTTCCCTTCTCCAGGCTGAACATGCCCGGGTCTCCCAGTCTGTCCTCACAGGGCAGAGTTTCCAAACCCTGGGTCATTTCTGTCGCCCTCCACTGGACCCTTTCTAATTTACCTGCATCTTTCTTCCATCTCGATGCCCAGAACTGGACACGGTATTCCAGGTGGGGTCTGCCTAGTGAGGAGTAAAGGGGAACTGCAACTACTTGTAATTTGGAAGTAATACTTCTGTTAATGCATCCCAAAATAGCATTTGCCCTTTTGATTCTACGATACACCCACACCCCTGTGCAAAATGTGGACCTTACCAAAACTTCAATGTGTGTGTGTCTCTCACACGCACTGGATCCACAAGGCCATGCATCTGCAACCTACACGTCTGTTGCGGCTTGCGGACCCTCATGGCGGTGGTCCTACGTAAAGTCCATTGCAGTCCACCACAAGAGCTGGGGGTTTTTTCCTGAAAGAAGGTGCAATGAAGCAGAGCAGCGAACGCAGAGGTTTTGCTTGCGGTGCCCCCGGAGGAGCAGCAGCTCAGGGCCAGTGCTTACGGCAGGGCAGTACCGCAGCTGCAAGGCTCGCTTCCCGGAGAGGTTTGGCTGCCTCCACATGGCTGTGCAGGCGCTGGTGTGGCAAGCAGGTGCTCTGTCTAATTTCTGATTGGGTGTGCTGACAGGTCTGGTGCATAATTGTCATTTTGGAGTCATCATTTTAATACTGTGGGTGGGGTGTCCTTTTTTCTCCGTGGGCTGTTAGCCACCCTGAGCTCTTTGCAAGGAAGGGGCATGGAATAAAACCATCCAGCAAACAAGCAAACCAAAGCTTGCCGTGCTTCTGAGAGAGCTTGGCCCTCTTGCAATTACCATGCGATCACCATCTTGCAGTCTTTCCCACAGTAACGTTAGTCAGTGCTGAATCCATTTTCCCGACGGGCAAGAAGCTGCCCTTTGTCTCCAGAAACGGTCGGTGGTGCGGGATCAGTACCAGTCATGCAGCCGGGACCAGAAACCTGCTGGGTTGCAGACTGTGGGAGGGAAGCAGTCTTGAGCGGCATTTTTCTGTCTTGTGTCCCACCAGGAAAAAACGAAGGTGATTGAGCCCTTAGATTACGAGAATGTCATTGCCCAAAGGAAAGCACAGATCTACAGCGACCCGCTCCGGGACCTGCTCATGTTCCCCATGGAAGATGCATCTGTGAGTTGCTTTTCGGGTTTGCGGGGCTCAGCCGTGACCCCAGCCGGCCACTTTTAGGATGCTTGTTCCCCTGATTGGCATTATTTGACATTGCCAGTTCCTCTGTGCCAGTGAGTGCTCAGAACAGCTTGCAGATGAAGAAGAATTGCGGTCACAGACGGAATCGAATATTTGTTCTTCCAGTGCTGTAACATCACTATTTTAGCTGTCAAAAGGAGCATCCATTCACACTGACCATTTTTCCGTTGCCAAGGGGCAGGTAAAAATTTAAAGCAGCGGCTGAATCAGGGACTGATCCAGAATGTTCTCTAGAATAGCCTCGTCCCTGAGGAGAGCAGCCGGCCGTGTTACACGGACCACAGGATGTGCGGCAGACGTGAAACGACGGGCTTCGCTGCATAAGCTGCAGCCCAGAACCCTCAGGTGGATGCCAGTGACTCGCTGGCTGGGCACTTTGGGAGCTGTCAGATTCCCAGGTGTTCTCACGAGGACCCCCACTGCATCCCGGAGACCTCCGTATGCAGGCGCTGCAGTCTGTCCCTCTGGCATTTGGTGGCTAGCTGACCCCTCCGTGTCCCCCTGTCCCCCTGCAGTGTTGTGAGCATGGATGCCTTCGTATGGAAGAGAACACTTGCCTCAGAGGATATGGTTCAAACCTCCTCTTCCCAAGCTGGGCTGCCACTCCCATCATCCCCAGGCAGCATCTCCAGCACATCACCAGGTTGGGAGAAGCTGCTGTGGCCCCTGGAAAGTCCTGCAGGATGCCTTGCCATTCTGCCTTTCCGTGCCGCTGCGGTTCAGTTCAGGAGACTTGTTGCCACGGCCTCCCAAGAAAGCAGCAGTGCGTTGCTCATTTGAGTGTGTGTGCGTGTGTTGGTGTTCAGACAGATGCAGAGTTGCCACCTGCTTGGCATGAAGACCAAGTTAGGCGTCATCCCGGCTGGGCATACTTACCGGGAGAGTACAAAAAAATCAAATGGTAGCCACCCCATCCCAGAAGCATTGCAAGAATTCTCACGAGAATTGCAAGAGCAGAACTGCAACATATTGGCACCTTCGGAACCTTTTAAAATCATTGCAGCTCCTCCTGCAACATGCAGAGCCACAGGGCTGGAGGCGTCCCTAGCCGTCCGCTCCGTGCAGGAGTTCTGCAATTGGAACCCCCTGGCCAGGGGCCCTCGTGCCTCCGCCCACTCCCAGGCCAGCCTGTCCTGCTGTCAAAGGGGCATCTCCCCCGAAGGTTAGCCAAAAGGTCCTTCATGCTGCTCTACCCCGTGGCTTCAGCCTTGCTCGGCATTGTCCCAGGCGGTCGCAGGAGGCTCCCCATTGTGCGCTTCGTGTTTCCCGTTCCCGGAGCCACAGTGTCTCCCTGGCTCCAGGTCCTGTAATCTCCAACTGTCCTTTGTCCCTTCAAGGTCTCTGCCATCAGCCGACAAAGGAGGACAGTGCAGTCCACGGTGCCAGAAGATGCTCTTGGAAAGGCCCAGAGCCTCTTCGTCCAAGAGGTAACAGCTGCTGCCAGGGAAAAGAGAAGTCTTGCTTCTCTTTCCAGATCCAAGAAAAGAACCTTTTCCGGGGTGGCAACCGCACTGTACCTGCTGCAGGTGTGCTTGAGGATTCCCCGTGGGAATGTGAAGAAACGCGGGGCACAGGATTAGTTCTTGTGTGGAAACTCTCGCCCCCTCCTGCCTTGTAAGGCGGCAGATATGGAGAGGTGCCGCCAGTCATTCCTTTTTGGCTTTGATGGGGAGGCATCGTGGCTCAGTGAGCACAGCCTTGCCTATAAAACATCCCAGGTCCGACCCCCTAAGTACCATCTCCAGCTGGAAAAGAGCCAGGGAGCAGGTGGGAGGGGGAACCGCTTTCTAGGGGGCCGTAGGTTTTGTTAAATCCATCCTGTCGGAATTTCACAGATCCATTTGTCTGCTCACTGATGGAATCCAGAGTTTGGGTTTTTAACCAGAAATTTGGTCTTCTGCAACTAACTTGCTTGAACACAAGTGTGCATTAGTGCTAATGCTTCATTAGTTGATGCGCATCAGCACAACTGTGCATTCATGCTCATTAGTGCAAATGCATATTGGTGCTTATTCTAAGTTGCTAATGTGCATTGGTTCATGCAAATTAGCGTAGAGCCTTCTCCCATTATGAGAAGTTCACAAATCTGCAGAATTTGCATGATTCTGAAAAAAAGGCAATACACTAGAGAATCCATATGTAAGATTCGCACAAGGCTCGTAGAGCTCGTTGCGGATTTCTCTGACAGCCTGCTCCTCCCTGGAGCCTCTGGATAGATGCAGCTCTGAGGCACCAAAATGGTCAAATAGTCTGATCCGAACTAAAGAGATGCCCAGTTTTTGATTTTGCCTGTTGCTCTTTTTTGTTATTGCATTAAATTTCACCTTGCTTTGTGCTCTTGTTGTATGATTTGATTTCAATTGGAAAAGGCTTTTGATAACATAGGATGGAAGAATGTCTATAAATAAGCAGCTGCACTATGGATTAAAACCAGCTTGATACTCACCCCGTTCCCCCTAGAAGGCTGGATGTTGTAGTCTTGTTAGGAGAATCCTATTAACACACTGGGAAATTGCTGGAGTCTTGTGAGGTGGAGGAGTGATGTTTTGAAATGACTTCACAAGGTGAGCCCTCCAAATTCTGCCACGAGGGCTGCGAGGCAGACGTGGCCTCTGGGGCCTGATTTGAGGCGGGAGGGCGGATGTCTTGAATATTTACTCCTGAGTTGCCACATCTCTGTTGCTTTGTAGCAAAGTTTTAGAATTTTGTCATGTTTCCTTCGTTTAGGGTTTTACTACATTCTGATGTAAATTACCTGCAGTTGTGCATGCCTGTTCTTAAATAAATAATAGATGCTTTGTATGACCTCCTGGTCATGAACGTCAGGTTGAGATACAAATCCAGCACACCGGTAATCCCAGTAAGAAATGGACTGTGCTCTAGCAAGATAATGTACCTGGAGTACTGGTTATCCAAAGCACATCCTAACATATGATGATGCATGGTTTATATATGCCCATATATGCCCTCCCGCCCCTTGAGATCAGCAACAGATGCCCTTCTCTGGGAACCCTCTGTGAATGAAATTAGGAGGGTGAGTACCCGGAGGAGGGCCTTCTCTGCGGTGGCGCCCCGCCTATGGAATGCACTCCCCAGAGAGGTCCGCCTGGCGCCGTCATTATTTGTTTTTCAGCGCCAGGCTAAGACCTTTTTATTTAAAACTTATTTTAAGTGTTAATTTATTGGTTGTTTGTAGGATTTTAATTTTTTTATGTTGAGATGCACCAGGTTTTAATATTTTTATTGCATAATTTTGTTCCTGTTGTGAGCCACCCCGAGGCTTTGTTGCAATGGGGGTGGCATAAAAATGTTCTAAATAAATAAATAAAATAAAATATTTGGAGCACAGCAATAAGCAAATGGGGGATTTTTACAAAATCATTAAATGTGTGGTTTGCCTCCCCTTTTATGAAAGCATAAGTACTCTCCCATGGAGTTATGGCATTTCCCATCAACATTAGGATATAAAGATTAAAAATAAGGCGTCTAGTCCTCATGATTCTGCATAGAGATGTGATTTTTAAAAAATCACTGTGAGCCAGCTTGTACCAGGTCAGACACCTGCTCGCCAGGGGTTTCAGACGAGTTTCCAGTCCTAGGAATTGAAGCCAGGGGATGAACCTGGAGCGTTCTGAATGCAAAATTTCTGCTGGACTTCTGGTGGAGATTGGGGTGGGGGGTTAAGCAATGGGAATGCAAAAGGCACTCTCATGCTCACATGCTTTTCCTGTATCTAAATTTGCAGTTCCTCAAAACTGTGAACTTGCAGTGTTGTTCGGGTTATGCCATCCTTCATTTTGCTGCCCTTCTTAGAAAAGTTTTTTACTAAATGCACAGAAACCTCTCCCTTATTTTCCTTATAGTGCATTAAAGCCTACAGTTCGGACTGGCATGTGGTGAACTACAAATATGAGGAATACTCTGGAGACTTCCGGATGTTGCCATGGTAACACTCTCTCCTCCCGGGCAAGCGTGTCCAACTCTGTTCCGGCCTGGGGCTAAACTCTAATTTGGGAAGGGGTTCGGAGGCCTCGTCCCGACGGGCACAGGGTGAGGCCAAAGACAGAAGGAAAAAAGTTAGCAGTATTCAGGGCTGACTTGGACACTTCTCACCACGCATGCGAAGCAGCTCAGTTCCGGTGGCGTCTCCTCGGGAGTAACCCGTCGGACCCGCTCCTACGCTTGCAAAATGCACAGCTCCGTTTAACGACTTGAGGGTGTAAAACTGCCTCCTGGTGTTTCTGACTTGAACTCCCCGCAGCCTTTCCCAGCAAGACCAATGCCGGGGATCCTGGGGGTTGAAGTGCGGAGTATCTCGATCGCAGCCATTTGGCAAAGGTGCTGCAGGGAAGCGCCCTGTATCACTGGCAAGCTGTAAGATCTGGCCAACAGATCTCGGGGTTCTGGGGCAAGGCTCCGTGGGCCCCGCAAGCCTGGAGTGGGCAGAACCAGGCGGGGAGCCGTAGGCGGCCCAGCACAAGCCCTGCTGCCCGGGTCCCGGCCTTGCGAAGCGGCCCTCCTGCCCGCTCAGGGGCCTCGGCATCCCCTGGCCAGAGGGAGCTTCTGGGTGCACCTTCAGCAGCTCGCCGGTTGGCCCGTCGCATCCTGCAGAACGACAGCGGCTGCTCCTCCTCCTGCACGGAGCCTCAAACCGCTTGTGTTTCCTCAGCAAATCCTTCCGGCCGGAAAAAATCCCAAACCACGTGTTCGAAATCGAGGAGGACTTTGAAAAAGATGAGGTAAGGAGAAAAGGGGAGCGCCTCAGCCCAGGAGGCCCAGCTTTTGGCAAGATGCCTCCCCCGAGGGTGGAAACAGCCGTGCTTCCACTTGCGTGTGCTCCTAGGCACGCAGGCGCTGCCTCAATTTGGGGTTGCTTCCACAGGCCCATCCTGCAGGTCCCTGACATGTTGGGCAGGAAGGATTTAGGGCATTGTTCCCGTCTCTGGGAAACTGTCAGGGCCCCTGCAGTCCATGAGGGATTGGTCTTCGCCGGAGCCTCATCTGGCTCCCTGTGAAACAGTGCGGCTCCGAAGCTCACGTAATTTTATGCCAACAGACACTGGTAGCAAATGCCTTATTCCACTTTCCCCAACCTCGTGGCCTCCAGATAAGTGGGACTACCTATCCCAGCATGCTGCACGGAGCACCGCCGTCCGGCTCAGCTGTCCCTCGCGCTGCAGCCTGGGCCATGCCGCGTTCCCCGCTTGCAGCCTCTCCCTTTCGCTCCACCGCCCCTCTCTGGCCAGCAGTGGGTTTGGGGCCGCAGAGGAGATATTTCTTCTAAATATTTGTATTCTATTTCACTGTTTGAATTTTCAAATCTAATGTGAGCTCTTTAAGTGGCTGGAGAGGGTCCAGAGAACAATAGTCTTTGGACAGATTTGGAATGTGCTAGATAAGAAGTGGCACTTGTGGCTGTCACGGCCATGTGACCGGCAGGGGACCGGGGGAGACACCCCAAAAGCCCAGTGGGGTGCATGTTCTCCTCACGCACTAAACATTAGAGCCCAAATCAAAGAGCAAGAGGAGGACTGTTCTGTTGTTACGGAGAAGTATCCCGAGTAAACGGATCTAAAGCTGGTCTGGAGTGTCTGTTTTATACCTGGGCCATCTCTTTCCAGGCTTGTGTGAGCTTGCGGCCTAGTGCCTTTAAGACGAATTTTTAGCTTTCGCACTACTTCGCGTGCACTGTGCTCTCCCAGGAAGGAGCCCGCGGTGGCAAATTAGCTCGAGCAGATCAAGGCCGGCGTGGGCCAGGGCCTTCTGGAGAGCATTCCTTCTTAGCAGCACCATAAGTTGGAAATGGCTGAAGGGCACGTGAGAACAAGCTCACGCAGACTGTAGAGGACGTTGGTGCGAGAGCAAACACAAGCAGCACTGTCACACGCGCCCAGATTACACTCTTCCTTGCGGGAAGCGGGGAAGCACAGAGTGCCTGCCTGCACGTTACGATCGGCAGCAGCCTTCCTCACCTGCCCACCTTCAGGACCGTGTGGGGGTCAAACCCCTGAGAACGAGAGTCTTTCGGTGCCGCACGCCTCTGCCGTGGGGAGCCTGCCAGGCCTCGTTGTTGCAGGCATTCGGGAAGCCCCGAGGACGCGGTCGTTTGTTCTAGTCTTCCTCGATCCTGTTTCGCTGGCTTGCTGTGGTTTGGCGTTGTAGTGGTAGATTTTCAGCACCGCCTAGGGCCAAAGCCTCTACTGTTGCTTTTGCAGCAGGGTGCTCCCGTTTTACTACTTCATTAAACAGAATAGAGAGTGAAAAGGCGCTGTGGATTTACCCGTAGCGAAACGGCCGCGTCAACGCTCCGCACGACGGCAGTTCAGCGATGGCTCGGGCTCGGCCCTTGTTCCAGGTTTTCGTTCCTTGAAAACCGGGCCTCTTCCTCTCCCGCTTGGCTTTTCACTGCGCACCTCTGCCCCGCTTTTCCAGGACTCTTCCTCGTTGTGCGCGCAGAAGGGTGGCGTCATCCGGCAGGGCTGGCTGTACAAGGCGAACGTCAACAGCACCATCACGGTGACCATGAAGGTGAGAGCTGCCCGGCAAAAGGCCTCCTCCCAGATGCTCGGGGGAGGGTGTGTGGGGCAGCTGTTGACCCCCCCCCCCCCGCTTCTTACGTCCGGGCCCAGCAATGTTCATCCAGGCTGCAGAGCTGGGACAGTCCAGGGCGCACAGTCCCCGTGGCTCCACAAAGAACCGGTGTGCTGCAGGAGTGGGGCAGGAGCGGCTTCAACTCCCCACACAGCCATGACCGTCCCCAGACGACGCGGGGCCGGCCGCCCTGCTTCATCCTCCTCCGCTCCCAGTCTTGGGGCAATGAGCCACTTGGGGACTCCTTTCTGGCTCTGGGGGTGTTGCACCCCTTGGTGGGAGCAGCTCCCCAGAACTCTCGGCAGGAGCTTTTCCAGCCCAACCTGGAGGTGCTGCCAGGACCAAACCTGTGACCCTCGGTGTGGGGCAGGGCTTAGCTTCGACATGGCAGGTGCCTGATGCCCCTTCGGGCCTTACTCTTGCCTCCCCGTGTGGGCCGAGATGGAAGGAAGTGCCTCAGCTCCCCGCATTGCTCTCCAGAGCGTGCCGGAAGCTGAAGAGCCCTTTCTCTGTCTGCAGCTGCACAGCTGATTCACGTGCCCGGCTTTGAAGCATGGCGGAGAAAGGCTGCAAGCTGTCAGCCCGCCCCCACTGTCAGCCAGGCGGGCCCCGCTGCAGCACCGCAAGGTGGCTTTCTTTGGGTCTGATCCTGGGGGCGCACGCATGGCAAGCAGCTGCTTTCGGTGCAGCAGATGCCACAGGCTAAAGCTTGCAAGGCGCATCTTGGTGCCAAGCTGTAGGAAATGGAGACACGGTTGGAGCATCCCTTGTGACAGCGAGCCAAGAATGTCCCTGTGGCCAGAGCAAAGTCTTGCTCCCACCTGCCTGCCTTCCAGCCCTCCCTTCCAAAGCCCTCCCCAGGTCGAAGCAGTTTTCTGGAAAAGGAGGTCCCGCAAATCGCCGGTGTGCATTTCTTCGTCCCTCAGCCAACATTTTGCGTGAAGTCAAAGATTCCAAGCAAGGGGCAAAATACCAACCGCTCCCCCGGCCGAATGTGAAGCGACCGGGGCCGCGGGAACAGGTGCAAGAGCGACTGACTTCTCCTTCTGCGTGCAGGTGTTCAAGAGAAGGTACTTCTACCTGACTCAGCTCCCTGATGGCTCGTACATCCTCAACTCCTACAAGGATGAAAAGACTTCGAAGGAGTCCAAAGGCTGCATTTTCTTGGATTCGTGCATCGATATCGTGCAGGTAGAGCCCTCCAGGAACTTGCTCAGGTTTATCTGGCTGCTTTTGGGTTATTGGATGCCCCCGAGGGCGCAGGAATGGCGGCGCACGCCTGCGAAATCCTCTGGGTTCCCCCTCGGAGTGCTCCGAATTACGAGGCTCCCAGGCACGCAGTGTTTTCTCTGTAAAATATCAAATGTATGTTTGTGCGTAGACACGTATCTTCAAATGTTGGATGAACGTCACCTCTCCATTAAGTCACTTTACAGAAGACATAACAGGTCTTCCTTGCCCTTCTTGGGAGTTGCCTGGAGATTCTGCATGCCAGAGCAGGCATCACTTGGAGTGGGAGTCTTGCACTAGGACCTATTTTCATTTTTACTGGGGAGGTAGCAGGAGCCTGATCCTGATCTTGAAAGCCCCCCGCCCCCGGATCCAGGGCCCTATCAAGCGAAAAGGCAGCAAAGTCCTGTGTCTTGATGTGCCTGGAAGTGCTGCCGGTTCCTGCCCAGGGCCCCCAGAGCAGCCCACAATGTGCTCCGCAGGCTCAGGGACCTGCTTGTGGGAGGCTAATCGCAGCCCCGCAAGTGCCCAGCTCGAGTCCCGCGGCACTGAGGACCGGCGCCTTTCCCCGGTGCGGCCCCCACCCCCAGACCCGGAAGCGGCAGTGAGGAAGAGCATGGCGTTAGTGGCCGTGGCGCTCAAATGGGGGACCCCCTCCCTCAAGACACACTCTTGCTGCTCTTAGCACCCGGCCACGTGCATTTCTCACAGACTTGCTGGAGCGATTGGTCTCCCTTTCACGTTCTTCGCCACCTTTGTGTGCATGGGCTTAACTGTTTACAGAAAACCGTTCTGTTTTTACAGGTTCCGTTGTTTGCTGCGGGGTGTGTTAGGTTGTCCTGGAATGGCATCTTGTGGTGCCTGGTTGTGAGCTGCCTTGAAATTTTGTAGAAAAGCAGGCTGTAAATCCACCTTCAGTTAAAACAGTGGAGCAGAAATTCCTTTGGATGTCTGTGAAAAATGTGTTCTTTAGAGCATCATTCTAGTTTGGCTCGGCATCAAGCTTTGCAGAATGATTAAATCCCAACCCAGAAGTACATTTAGTTCCCCCTTTTGCTTCTAGGATTTCAACACCCATTGCCCACCTTAAGGACTGGAAACTTGCTAGAACTTGCCCACATGGAGGGCCAGGAGAATGCTGAATTCAGTCCATAATGCAAGATTTAATGCAAGGTGTTGCAGATTCAGAGAGAATTCATTTTGTTGCTGTTCATTCACAAAGTTATGCCCAACTCTTCGCAATCCCCATGGACAATATTCCTCCAGGTTCTCCTATCCTCCACTGTCCCTCGGAATACACCCAAGCCCACAGCCACCTCAACCTCTGCCATCCCTGGGAGAATTAATAGCCAGCATCAAAGTCCCCATTTCCAGCAAAGTGCCCGGCAGACTTCCCCCTTCATTCCAGCTGGCAACTGGGAGGTTGCACCATCCAGCACCCTTTGTACAAAAGATAAACATCCTGCACCCAGAAAAGCAGCACCTCAGTGAAAGCAGTGCTGCCTTAGTCCTCCCCTTGACAGGCTAGCTTTCAGTGTGCTACGAAGGGGATTTTTTTCTACAAAGGAGGATTCCATCTCAGGATCGCGAAGGAAGGGGCCTCCTCCAGGCTTAAGGAAGGCTGCTTTTGCATGTTCCCCTACAGTGCCCCAAGATGCGGCGCCATGCCTTCGAGCTCAAGATGCTGGATAAATACAGCCACTACCTGGCTGCTGAAAGCGAGCCGGAAATGGAGGAGTGGCTGGCCACCTTGCGGAAGATCATCCAGGTCAACACGGAGAGCTTGGTGCCCGAGAAAAAGGAGGGGTCCTTGCCTGGTGAGTCTGCGGTAGAGGCTTGCACAGGGCTTTTGCAGGGAGTGGGGGATGCACCACAGCTTTTGGGGGGTCAGATGTGCCCATGTTTCTCCTTGGGGGCCCACCTAGCTCCCGGCTCCTCCCTCCTTTTATTCTACTCCTTAAGACATCATTTGATCCTGAAAAGGGAGGTTAGCATGCTGTGAAGGAAAGCACTGCCTCCCAGCATGAATTCTCTTTGCGGTCAGAAGCGGGGCCTCCTCCTCTGACGCCCAACGCCCAGCTCTGCAGCAGCATCTACGCTTATTCTAAAGCGTTTGCGGCGCTGGGGAGAATTCTCAGAAGTGCTCATTTGCTCGTGTGGAACTAAATTTTCACTCTTTAAAAAGCCCAGTGTTGTCAATGAGAAGAAGACAGAATGAAAGGCAGCTGTCTAGCCACAAAAGGCAGGCTGAACAGAGTTAATCATCCATCCGTGCCTAATTTCACCCCCACCTCTTAAAAGCCGGCTCCAAAGAAATGTTTTGCAAGGGCTTTGGAGAACAGGCAGCCTCCGGTGAGCAGCGCCCTCTAAGAGCTGGGGCTGCCACGGAGGACGCCTCACCGAGCTCTCCTAGTTGAGACGCTGTCAAGTACGTTCTCACGTGCAAAATACCTTCTCCCCACTGTGGTTGTTTGGTGTGAAGTTTCACACAAACAGTGTGGCTCTCCCTTGGTTCAAAGCAACTCTCTGGGCAGAGAATCCAGCCAAAGGAGGAGTCAGATCTGTGTGCGTAGGGTGTGTGTGAGAGAGAGAGAGGGAGAGAGAGATTGGCTGGAATGTGACCTCGCTTGCTGGGCTGGAAGGCCTGGCCGGTTTCCAGACACCCCCACCCGGTTTCCCAGCCTTGTGTTTATGACGAAGCCCCTCGGGAGTGGACGCACCCCCACAGGCAGGCCAAGCGGCTCCGCACTCATTCGCAGCATCTGCGCTTTGTGACTTTACAGAAGATGAATCAAGCAGTCAGGGAAAGTCGGAGAACATCCTGGAGAGCCTAGAAAGAAGCATGCATCCGGAACTTATGAAGGTAGCTGCCGCGCCGGTCCCTGGTGCGAGTCACGGGGGGGATCTCCCTGCTGGGTTTTGAGACTTAATATGACGGCATTGTGTGCAAACTTTTAAGGGTATTCACAACTATCACAACTGTTCTTGTGCTCAGCCGCACCAGATCAGAGCTCTCGTTAGAAAAGCCAGGGCCTTTCTGGTAGGTTTTATGCCTGCAGGTCTTGGAGGTGCCGCAAAAGCAGCTCTGGCATGTTCGTTTTGTTTTACGAGAAAATGAGAACTGTACTGAACACGGTTTTTCATGTTCCAGGAATTTCACATAATTGTCCTCATAATTCTTGCACAATCCTGTAAGGCTACAGTGACTCACTGTACGTAACAAGCGTGGAGGCTTAGAGAGAAGCTTGTGCCTCCCGCAGGGTGGGCTAAGGGGTACCCTCCAGTCCACTTTCTGATGTGCTATTTGTGCATCAGTAGTCCTCCTGACGAGTCCTTCTTGGATATTCTCAGCAAGTGCCTACTTTAAAACATCCCCAAATTCCAGCTTCCTGCCTTTTGCAGGATTTCTCTCTAAACCAAAATCTGCCCGGGGCACAAAAGCACCCTTGTAGGAATCCCTGTAGGGATAGTGTCGTGCATGCAGCTCCGACAGAAACAGTGACTCACGAGGAGACCTTGCACTTGGCACCCAGTGCCCAAGAGTCACCCCACAACCCAATGCAGGGACGGCTGGGCCAGCTGCTGCGTCTTCCCCTGAGCCCCAGCACGTTGAGCAAACGCCTGGACCGTTATCAGAGACAGAGAGTCATGAGAAAGGGGAAGCTACAAGTCCTACTCAGAAGGAGGCAGAGCAAACTGCCTCTTCCCCCCCCCCGACGCTGATCTCCCTGAGCCAGAAACAGAAGACACAATAGGTGTCGTGGATTTCTCAAGAGCCCAGAACAGACGCATTTTACGCCAATTTGAACAGCTGCAAAGTAGCCTGCGCAAGAGGGAGGGAAGGCGTGACTTGGGAGAGCGACCCCACGTGGGCTCCGGAAGAGCAGCCATTATAGGGCTGACATCTGCTTAGCAAGGACCGCTTTTAGGGAACTTATCTGTAGAATTGTAAACCTTGTAGACAATTAGCATTAAAGGACTTTAGTTTTATTGCTCTAGAATGTGTGGAATGTTTACATGCCGGGCTCCCCCTCATGACAGATAGTTGGATGGGAAACTTTTATACTCCAAGCAATAGGTCCCAAACCCAGGAACAAAAGATAATACAGACCATCTTGGTCCCTTTGGCAGCCCAAAACCTGCAGCAGACAGAAGTGAAGTCTACTGAGGGAAAGCATCCGTTTTCTGAAGAGCTGTGCAGGAACCTGGCCAGTTTGTCTCTTAAGGGGACACTGGAGTTGCTGGAGTCAGTTGCTCATGGTGGCGCTGGGTTTACGTCGTGGCCCAGCCACAGTCCTGGGGTCTTGCAAAAGCCCACAAAAGGCTTGAGGCTGGACAGGGCTCAGGTTGTCCCCCAAGGGGAGAACGACTGGCCCTGTCTCCATGTTCTTCATACCATGGGAGGTGGGCTTCTACTCAGCCTCAGTCTCAGGAGAGGAGACCCCAGCAGCTGGGGTGGGAAGAGGGCGGCTCTCCAGATGTATCACTGAGTCGGAGGGTGCTTAGCCTGACCCACTGCTCAGAGCAAACTCCGCACAGGCGCTTCCTTGGCAGATGTTTTGAACTTCGGCTCCCATCGCTGCCCAGTGGCCAATCTGGCAGGGACTTGTGGAAGCTGAAGACCACTCCACCGGGAGATCTGCTTCCCACTCCGCTCTCCCCAACAGCGCCTGCATCTGCACAACCTTGCGGTAGCCAATAGCCAACAAAAACAGAACCGGGCAAGGGCTCTTTAAAACGCATGGCAGACTCCTCCGGGGAAACTAGGCTGGCTGCATGTCAGCCCTTCTCCCTGTTCAGTGCTTTAGACGGCTTCAGCTCTCCTCTGAGACAACATCCCTTGACGTCCGTCACCACCGTCGTGGGGAAAGGCTCTGCTGCAACCAGCCAGGCCCTCTGGGAGCTGCCCGTGGTCCTGATTTCCCTCACCCCTGCTGCGGGAGACGTGTCCCGCCTGATCTGACTCTGGGTATCGCTGAGCAGTCGAGTGGAGAGCCTTCCCTACACATTGTCCTGGGCGATTCCATTACAGATCAGCTTTTCCTTGCTGCCCTCAGCTCCACAGAAAGAGCTGTCTGCATCAGTGTTGCAGGGGGAGGAAACCCAGGGGTGGCCGGGGAGTCGGGGCCCCCGTGGGAGCTGCCGTTAGGGCCCTGAGGGCCACTGGTTGTGCAGTTCTGCCTTAGAGATGGCCAGAAATAAGAACGCCCCGCGTGGCGGCATAAACCACTCTGGACTGCTCACACACAAGCCTTTTTCCTGCACAGCCTTTTGCTTTCTAAAAGGTGCTTTCCAGCGCTGAGAGTCCTGCTTCACTCTGGGCTCTTTTTCTGAGATCTCCTGCTTACGCGTGTGTTTTCTCTGTCTCAGTACGGAAGAGAAACGGAGCAGCTGAACAAACTCAGCAGGAATGACGGGAGACAAAACCTCTTCTCTTTTGATCCTGAAGTTCAGGTAATGCAGCAGCGGTCGCACAAATCCTGCCAAGGGTGCTTATCCCGGTTACGAGCATGATGAGTTTGCAGACTTACGGAAGGTGCACGCAGCGTGGTTGTACTTTTGTCTGCACTTCTCAGAACAGAGCGATGCGGTTCCTCAATCGAAGGAACGTGTCCCAGAGTTCACAATTTGGGGAAAGTGTGGGAAAAATATGTGGAAGGATTACACGGACATGATTGGCACATGAAGGCATGTAACAAACCTCCTCTCAGACTCTGCCTTCCTCGCAGTCCTATGTAGTCAGAGCCTGAAGGCCTCTCTCTTGACCCCGAAGGGGAGTTCCGAGGGCAGAAAATTCTGTGCGCGTCATCACGTGTTTCAGTTTCCCTCTGGGCTTGCATGCATTTGTGCCAAGGGAAGGAGAAGTGAAAGAGTCCTCTTGTGTCTTAGCTTTCCAACTTTCCCCCCATTTTGGTCATGCATCACTTATCCAAAAATAGCCCTCTTTTGTGGAATTCAAGGCAGACAATGCAACTGAAAGTCAGAATCATAGCAATATCAAAAAAGCTGTTCCAATCCTGGAAGCAGCTGCGTCAGATTCCCCCAGATTTTCTTTGCCTCTTTGTAAACAGCCAGATTTTCCCTGGGCACCAGCATGGCATCCCGGAGTGTCAGGGCCACAAAAAAGGTCCCTGTTCTTTTGCCCACCTTTTGAAGCTCGGACGGCAGGATGGCAGGGGCAGGATCTCAGATGCTGGGCGGGGGGCTGGGCAGGCCGGCCTGGGAGTTGGTAGTCCTTAAAGCAGTTGGGCCCCCCCACCCCGTTTGTTAAACTGGGGGGAGGCTAGTGGAAAAGATGCATTTCCTGTGCCCAGCCAGCTCGCTCTCCCCCTCCATATTTCTTTATTTCTCTACTTCTTTCTTAGAGGCTAGATTTCTCTGGAATGGAGCCAGACGTGAAACCTTTTGAGGAAAAATGCAGCCAGTCCTTCCTGGTGAGATGCCATTCCTTGACGTTCAACCTCCTCGCCCACCCAAACGACCAGTCTGGGGACCCACCTACAAACGTACGTACCACCAAGTGTTTTTGTTGTTACTGGAGAACCTTTGAAAATTATTTGTTGAATAATCCAGTTGACCGGTTTTTCTTTATTTAAATTTTTATTTTCTGCCCTTTAGCATTTGTGCTCAGAACAGATGACTAGAAGCATGTATGTGCTTTTTGACCCAAGCTTTTAGGGCAAGGTACATAACAAAGTGCAAACCATGAAACCGTGAATGAAAACAGACACAATGCGACCAAGAGAAAATGGGCGGCAGAGCAAAAACACCTCATCACATAGAAACCAGCAGCAGAATTAAGTACTAAAAGTGCTAAAGCAATTATTGAAATGCCTGGGAGAATTAAGAGGTCTTGGCCTCACACCAGAAAGACCATAATGTGGGCACCAGGCAAGTTTCTCTGGGAAAATCATTCTGCAGGTGGGGTGCCACCCCTGAAAAGACTGTGCCTCTTGTGTTCACCCACCTCACCTCATTTGTCAGGAGCACCTGGACAAGGATATAAGATAACCACCTGGAAGGAAAAATTGAAGATATAATGTAACAATCTTCCCCCCCCAAAAAAATCATACTGTGACAGAGAAATCAAGCAAAAATAACAGATTTTTAAAAATCTTTACAATCTTTTCAGCACCAGGCAAAACAGTCCTCTTCTCCAGACATTTCAGTAATTGATTTTATACTTGGGTATTATTTATACTGGTTTTACCTTTAATATATTTTCTTATCAATATCTGACCTCAGCTTTGTTTTACTGTAGGCTGTTTTTATTATTGTTATTTTATGTAATATTGTAATCTGCTTGGAGAGTCTTCGGACCAGTATAGTGAAATATAAGTTGAATAAATAAAAAAAGTTGAATAAATGGAAAAATCACAGATAGGAGGGACAGCTGCTTTTGCAGTAGAGTGTGTGGAAAGATCTCGGAGTCGTCGCTGGCTGCAGCATAAGTACAATTCTGGAGCAGGACGTGGCTGCGGAAAAGGCAAATGCCATTTCAGGTCCCGTCGAGAAGAGTCTAGTTTCAGAGTCATGGGACCTGATAGCCACCCCCTGTTCTGCATGGGGCAGACTTCACCTTGAATCCTGTGCCCGGTTCCGGACACCACACTTCACATGTTACAAAGGATTCAGGCAAATTTCAGTGATTTCCAAGAAGGGCAGCAAGCATAAAACAAGGGAGCAGAAACAAAGCTCTGTGAGGGAAGCGGGAGGGAACTGGGTGCGTTTGGCCCAGGGAAGAAAAAACACAGAGAAGGCACGATAACAATTTTCAAGTACCGGGGTTGTTGCAGAAGAGGGCCGAAACCTGTGCTCTGTAATCCAGGGCTGTGAGACACCAAATTAAATTAAGCAACAGGAACGTAGATTTGCTGAACTTCAGGGAAAATGCCCCCATGGTCCAAGCAGCCAGACGATGGAGCCAGCTGCCCGGGGGGTCGGGAGGGCTGCCCGCTCGGGAGGTTGCCCAGCATTGCGTGGGCAGCCGCCCACAATGGATTCCTGTCAAATACCCATCATTCCGATATTTTATAAGTGCATTTCTACGAACAGGTTCAAAATAGAGACCTTCCTTCCTATGTCCAGGTGGAACCATTTTTCCTCAGCCTCGCGCTCTTTGATTTGAAAAGCGGTTGCAAAATTTCGGCCGATTTCCACGTAGACCTGAATGCTGCAGCCATTCGGGAGATGCTGGCGGATAGTTCGTCTCTGGGCTCCGGAAGTAATACCGCAAAGAGCCACTTCCTTCCCGGACTTCCTGAGTCTCACCTGCTCTTCATAAAGCAGGTGAGCAGCTGCGGATCTGGGGCAGCAAGCGTAACCCCGTGGGACCGATGAGATCTGAGCTAGAGTGGAGGACCAAGGATGAGACCTCGGGCTTGTAGGGACTGCTTGGAGAAAGTGTCGGCCTGGTTCTCAGCAGCTGTGCAAAAGGCAAGCTGCAAGCTGAACAGACTTAGGAAGGGCACTCAAAATGAATGGCCAGGTCATCCTGCCTGGAGGCAAGGCAAGGGTGCAGCCGTAGCGTGCTGTCTGCAGTTCTGGTCCCCGGACCTAAAACAGGATATTGCAGGGTTAGATAAATCTGCGGAAAGGGGCAGCTAAGCTGAGCCTGTTCAAGAAAAATGGCAATCTCCGGGGCTGCTTAGCTCAGAAAAAGGGCAAGTGAGGGGAGATACGGAAGGAGGACCCGGAATGGTGCCCGGTATGAGGAAAAGGGATAAGGAGACACTTTTTGCCGCCTCCTGTAGTATTAGCAGCCGATGGGATCATCCCATGGTGTTGCTTGGTGAAGGATTCAGGACATCCAGGAAGATCCGTCTGTACGGCACTCAGCATCCAGTTGTGGAATTCATGCCTGCGACTGGTAGTGCTTGCCACCACGTTGGATGGCTGTCCATCTCTCGGTAAGGCTATGGGGCAACATCTGTGTGATGATACAGGATCCGCCCAGGAGGCGCTGGGCATTAGGAAGCTTTGGTGACTAACTTGCTAGTTTGTTAGGGCTTACTCACAGTCTTGCAACTTTCTTGCAGCATGTGTGTCTGTGTCTGTTGAGTGTGTGTGTGTGCATGGCTGCATATTCAGCCATATCCAGCACCACTGCTCCAAACATGCTTCTGCATGATTGGCACCTACCGAAAGCTGCCGTGCCCCCTTCCGCCTTTCCCTCTTTAACCAGTTTTCCGTGGAGGGAAGGAAGGTAGAAGCCTCTCGACAAAGCAAGAGGCCTGCTGGTGCAAGAGGCTGCCGCCTGCTCCACCCAAGCCTGGCCGTATCCGAGGCAATGGGCAGCACAGCAGCACACCAGAGGCCCTCTCGGGATGTGCCCGAAGGGTGGCGTGGCATGGCGTGGCGATCCACTTGCTTCTTCCTTCCTCGTGGGGAATTGAGCAGTGTCTCCCCACGTTGCTGCCGCCTCCTCCTGCATAAGGCGTGGCACTTCGTGGAGTCGCCCGACCAAATCGATTTGTTTCCTTTGCATTTGTTGCAATCTGCGCAAGCCACCTTTCCGGATTGAGTGCGCCCAAAGCTGTAAATGAAATAGAGTCTCTCCCATGCGCAGCTTCTTGCGCCGCTGCTCCGTTCAAAGGGCTTTACGGCCTCTGACATTCTGCTCATCTTTTGCACAAAGGGCGTCTTCTCCGTATCCAACCCGCACCCCGAAATTTTTCTGGTCGCCCGGGTGGAGAAGGTCCTACAGGGAAGCATCACGCACTGTGCGGAGCCCTACATTAAGAGCTCGGACCCCGCGAAGGTATGCCCAACCGCACCCGGTGGAACTGCTCATTGAAATGTCACCCCGCTTTGCCCCGCTGTGCGAGAGAACGATCTGGGGGTATAGAGGGAATGCTGGATGGCGTGGCAGATGTGCTCAGTGGTCCGAGGGGAGCATAGACTTGCGCCTCCGGCATGATGGGTTCTCTCTTGGAAACCATCCTCTGCTTGATGATGCTTGCTGGCGAGACCTCATTTGCCTTGCTCCGAACATCCAGACCGAGCCGGTCCATGTGTGTCCCGTTTCCTACCCTGCAGACCGCACAGAAGGTCCACAAGGCTGCAAAGCTGGTGTGCAGTCGCCTCGGACGATACAGGATGCCGTTTGCTTGGGCCGCGCGGTGAGTGTGCCCTGCTGCAGAGCTTCGTGGCTGCTGGTGCCTGAGCATCCTGGGAAGGGGCAGAGCTGGGAGCTGGGCCACGCCACACCTGCCGAAGAGAGGCAGTGCCTGGAGGGTCAAGATGGGGGCAGTTGCTCCTCCCACTGAGTTGGCCACCAGCCAAGGTCCCACAGCCCAGCAGGGCCTCACCGGTGGAGGCCACCTGGACACGCTTCTCTTCCCCAGCATGGCAGCCTGCATGGCTGCTCTGGCCGGGGCCGTGGCGGTGGGGAGGTGTTGTGGCCCGCTCGCTCCCGGCTCTCAGTCTGCTGAGCAGGTGGGTGGTGGCCAGAATCAGGAACGGAGGAAGAGCGGCTGGCGAAGGCGGTGCTGAGAAGGTCAGCCCAGTGAGGAGGGGAGGAGCAGAGGAGGGTGCCTTGCCCGGCACGGGTGGCTTGTGGCCGTCCCACCCACCACGGAAAGGTGGTCCCGGCCAGGTTCTCCCAGCCTGAGAAGTCCGCCCCCCTAGGCACCAAGCCATGGTATTTTGGGCTGGGTGGGACCAGAAGCTGGGAGAACACCCCGAATCGTGTTTTTGTTTGCTCTCCTTGTTTGGCGCCTCTAAAAAAACGTGTGAAGGCCCCTGGCAAAAGGCGCACGTTTGCATCTCCACCAAGGAGAGGGTGATGCTGTCTCCTCTGGATGCCCCTTTTTGCTGTGGGCGCTGAGCCAAACTCCCCTCTGCCGCGGTTCTGTCCCAGCAGACGATTGTGGAAGATGCCAAACCTTTTGTCACACGATCCTTTGGCCTGGAGAGGAAAAAGCGTGCCTGACCAATAAATGTCAGAGCCTGCGGAAGGGGCAAGCTTGGAAGGGTGATGTCAGCGGATGTCCAGCGTCCCCCATGCCTCCATTTCCACTGGGCCTTCAGGCACCAGCTCCTGGCCTTGAGCAGCTTGGTTCTAAGAGCAGGTCCTCGCGGAGCCACACAACTCTCTGCAGGCACTGAATGGCTCCCCGGGGGCGGTGCGCTTCCTGGAGTGCCCGCGGCAGCAGGGAGCAGGCCCACCTCTCCAAACATGCGGCATCCTGAACGTCTTAAGGGTTACCCCCTTCCCACTGCAGCCGGGAGCTGCTCCCTGGTTGCCCTCCGCCTCGCAGCTACTCCCGTGGAGGGTTGCACAGTTGGTAACTTTCATGTGGGGGGGGGGTCCCAGTAGTGGTGGGGGACGTGACCGGAGAGGGAGGGCTTCAGCCTTCCCCAGGCACTGTGATCCTGGTCAAAACCGGGGCACAGGGGCTTCCTTTATTCCAAGCAAACCCAGAGGGATCTGCATGCTGCGCTGTTCACGTAATGCATAGCCTGACCCTTGAGCTTTTGGACAGGTGGAATGAGCAGCGTTTTCCACCCAGGGGAAACACTTTCCTTTTCGGCGGCTTGGCCGGATCCCAGCCGGGGGGGGGGGGGGTCAGGACTTTGGGCAGCATGACTTCTGGGGCATCCGTCAGTAACTTTCATTTTCTCGTATCCACTGCGAATGCAGTTTGGTGGGATTATTAAGGACAGACCTGACCTCTAGTGGTTAGCAAATGGAAATGTCACCCTAAGCAACATTTGACAGGAACTCGGAGGTTCTTGCCTTGGTGGAACCGCAAGAAACAGGCCAAGCGTCTTTCCGGATCAGACCCCACCCTTGAGGATCCCCTTTCCCAAACTGTGCAGCTAGGGATGTGCAGGGCACTGGGCTCAGCCCCATTCACACTTCCCAAATCAAGCACGGATTGGGAGGTGATCTGTAGTCCACATCTGTAGTCAACACATTTCCCAAGCAAACAGAGAGATTTGTGGATCCAAAAACACACCTGGCAGCACGCATGCTTTTTAATAATGCATGGGAAAAGTGGGTCCTTCTGAGAAATGTGCACAAATGCACTTGGAGCGAGGGAAGAAGAATGCTTATGTTTCAAAGATGCATACAGCCGAGATGTACATTTGAAAAATGCATGAAAATACACTTGGGTTTTCATGCAGAAAGAAAAACACAAAGGTTGCCATTGAGTTGGGGTGAGCTTGGAGAGGGTACTCAGAGAGCCTCAGTGAGCTCTGTTTTTGCCGATCCGCATCTCCCTGAGTGTAAGAGACTTGGCGTTCTGCACTCAGAAGCAACAACTCCAGGAGCTTCTTTCTGTCTGTTCACCCCACGTTTTGCAGTTTTCCTAAGTCTTCATTTTGCAGAAATCTCCCAGGGTAGGCAACTGGATGTTCTGAACTGTAGCTCCCACCAAATGCAGCCCCCATGGCCAGTGGAAAGAGATTCCAGAAGCTGAAGCCCAAAAGTCCTGGCCCCATCTGCGCTCAGCCGGGTCCTCGTTCAGACAGCCTTCTTTCCAAAGCATGAGGCCTCAGCCATGTCGGCCTTTTCTTACAGCGAGGTTGGCTCTTGGGGCTTTTGTGTGAACCTGACAAAGCCTCCAGAAGCCGACACGGGCTCAGAGACGGTCCTCGCATGTAAAATTTTTTCTCCCCAGGCCTGTCTTCAAAGACTCACAGGGCACCTTAGATCTCGAAGGGAAATTCTCTCCCCTGTACAAGCAGGACAGCAGCAAGCTCTCGACTGAGGACCTCCTGAAGCTGCTAGCGGAATATAAGAAGTAAGCACACTGCAGGGACAGCTGCAGCCCATCCCCAAGCAGTGGGGGGCAGGAGAAAATCTTGGGGCAGGGCAGCCCGGAAGAGGCTTCCATCCTGGCGCCATTACCCCAAGTTGCACTGTTTAATGCGAGTGGTGAAGGGAGAGCATTTCGGAACATGCGGGAACATCGTTGCAGTCAGAGCCCGGGAGTGCAGCGCCCCGCTGAGCAAGCTTCCCGTGGGTGACCTAGGCCTTGTCCCAGAGAATTCGTTTCTCTTGGCCGCACCGTTTCTGGCTCACGTGACGGGACGCTCTTCCAGGCCAGGAAGATCCCCGCGTGTCACAGTCTCGCTCACAGAGAAGGCCAGGCCCACCTGACCATCCTCAGACTGCTAGTCCGTGTGGTGAGGGTGCTCCGTCCATCACAGAGGGCCCCACTGGACGCAGCACAGCCCAGCCAAGGGCTGACACCCTGTCGAGAACGAGCTCTTTGTTTTTGTGGGGTTGCGAATGAAATGAAACAAAAGGGCCGAGCTCCCTGGTGGATCGAGCCCTGCGGTCGCCCCCCAGACGGGTCTCCCCAGCCACCGCAACGCAAAGCCAGTCGTTTCCTGCAGGGTAAAGAACACCTGCTGGACCTCGACTCTTGCCTGCGCTCACATGTGAGACCAAACTGCGGTTCAGCGTTCACCGAGCGAACATCCATGTGCTCACACCTTTCTCCTGGCCCCGTCCTCGTCGGCACTCGGGTTCAATCACATGCTTCCTAAATGGCAGAGCTGTGAGCAGGAAGTCGGCAGCTGGCTCTCAGCACCAAAGGGGTGTGGGCACCGGGAGGAGAGAGCTCTGGGGGCGCCCCCAGGTCAATGTTTACATACATTTCTCAGGAAATTGACCTGTAATGTGGCTTGTGTGACTAGCATTATCCTTGCCCTCCAGGCCAGCCTTGCTGAACCTGGTGCCCTCCAGGATGTTGGACTGCAGTTCCCATGGACTCCCACACTGCCTGGGAATCATGGGAGTGGTGATCCATCTGGAGGCCAACAGGTTAGGGGAGCCCCCAAGCTCCAGAGTGCAAAACAGCGTGTAATGATTTACTTTTGCCTTGGCTTCAAGCGCAGCCCTCGTGGCTGCTGGCAGAGCAACCTGCCCAATTCCTTTCTGTTGCGATGGGCCTCCCTCTCGCGCGGCATGGGCCTCCTCCCAGGCAGACCTGCTGCTCTAGCATTTCCTCACACAAGGCTTTATTGCCTGGCCCTCACCTCCACCCACCCGGACTTACCCTCCTCGTTCCTCAGGCCTTGATCTGCGACTGCAGTTTGCTGACAGTCCAGGACCCCTTCACCTCCACTGTGTGAACCCAGATCCCCAGCAAAGCTATACAGTGGTCACGCATGCTCTGGCACCTTTTCCCAGTGCGCGCACAACAATCCCCAGCTTGGTCGCCTTGTGTCTTCTTTATGGCTTTCTTTCTCCTTTTCTTCAGACCAGAAAAGACAAAGCTGCAGGTGATCCCTGGGCAACTAAATATCGCACTGCAGTGTGTCCCGCTGGACTTCTCAAGTAAGGAACTGGACTGTTTACTGATTCAGCATCTGCCTCTTCCTTTTGGGTTTTCCCAGTATTCACAGAGTTACCTGTTGCTGAGCCACAGATAATAAAGACATTGCTGGAAGAGACCCGCTTTTCCCTGGGGCCTTGACCATCATTTATGTGTGCCAGAGGTAATGCTGAACCATGGTTAATGCAAGCCATGATCTGCACTTCCTCTGAGCCTCTTCCAGGGCAGGGAGCCAACCCTGGTTCCTCAGTCCTCTTCTGATCACAACAGCTATGAGAACTCTCCAAGATCTTGGTTAGGCATAATGCCTGACCGTGGTTCAGGAGAATAAATCCTGGGGAATTCTTACTCACTTTCTCCTGGTCACTCTAGCACATAACAGCCTGACAGGATCAGGCCAACCCTTCTAGTCCAGTACTCACACGGTAGCCAGCCCCGTGAGTGGTTGTAACAGTAGCAGCATCAAAGGAGCCAGCTGCCCATGTGAGCGATCCACATGGCCTGCGCCGGGACTAAATTAATACTGCGATGGCTGGACTGCACATATCGTTACTCCTTTGTATTCTGTAAAAAATACAGCACCAAATAATGTTGCTGAAACGTGAGCTGCCGGGCAAGCAAAAGCGCTCCCTCCCACAGCAGCCTTTCCCGGTGTTTCTTATTTGCCCCTTTCATCGCTCTTAGGGTTGCTCAGCAGCGAAACCTTCGCTGTAGTTTGTGGCCTTCACAGAGTGAAGGTGGCGCCCCAGGTGTCTTGCCAGGCGTTCTTGCGCCTCTGATGGCCCCAGGCCGAAAGCTCCCTTTCCTTCTCGGCTGCGACTTCTGCCTGTCGGACGCCAAGGTTTGCTTCCTCTCCAGACTGCGTCACGGCCTCTTACGTGCCCATCAAGCCCTTTGAGGTGCCGGAGCAGGGCGACGGCATTGCTGTCGAGGTGGAAGAGTTTGTCCCCAGGGCTGTGAAGTACTGCTATCCGTTCAGCATCTACAAAAACCAACTCTACGTCTACCCTTTGCATTTAAAGTACGACAGCCAGAAAACGTTTGCCAAGGTAAGCGTCAACCTGCTTCTGGCTATTCAAGGTTTGGGGCCATGAGTCCACAGAACAACAAAAAATGGCTCATTTTCCCTCCATGGATTTGTCCCGTCCTCTTTTAAAGCTGCTCAGCTCCCGTTCACACTGGCAGCCGGTGCTGCATCTCGTGGGAATGAATTCCATAGTGGAACTTTGGCCTGGGTGAAGGAGTCCTTCCTTTGAGCGGTCCGAATTCTCCCACCAACTGGCTTTATGGGATGACTCCACTGAGGTCTAGTGTGATGCGAGAACCTCCACACCACACACAGTTGAAGTCGCACTGGGATGTGGGAGTCTGTTTTCCCCTCTTCTGGCCAAGGCAGGCTGGGCAGACCCAGGTTCTGCATTCTCGTGACACAGGCAGATGTGTGTTTGGTGCTGAGTTGAACCTCCGCGCACCTCATTTGTCCTCCCCAAAAGGCTCCATCGCTGAAACGGATCGTGTGTGGAGGGAGTCACAGGGGCCACCTTCGCCCATGACTGGCCCTTGTGTGCGAGCGCGCTCTTCAGGAGTGACGGATGAGCCTGCCGGAAGCCCCGCTGGGGTGGCCAGGAGCCCTGTGGGCAACCCCTTGGCTGCCCTGGCCGCAGTGGAAAGGATCCAGCCCTGAGGCTACGCTCTGTGCAGTGGTGCCTCGGCTCACGAACTTAATGCATTCCACGATTCTGGTCGCAACCCGAATTGGTCGCGAGCCAAGTCAAATGTCCCCATAAGGTTCAATGTAAATAAGGTTAATCCATTCTTTACCATAGTTTTGTTATACATAAAGGACAGCATATAAAAGTTATAAATAAATAAATGCATTTTTTAAACCACAAAAATGTGAGCCAGTTCCCCGGGGTGCGAGCCAAGCCGCGGCCGCCTCGCCGAACCTGGGGGTGGACGGGCTCCCACGCCTCCATGGCGGCCTTCTCAGGGCAAGCTGCCAAGCGGCCGCCATGCTTCTTCCCCCCCGTGGCAGGGAGAGGGGGGAGGCTCCCCACTCAGCCAGCCGCGGGCCGGACCCTCGCCTTCCCCCCACGCCCGCCTCTCCGGCCTCCCACTCCCAGAGCCGGCCGGTGCCTGCGAGGGGGCCTGCCTGCCTGCCTGCCTTCCTCCGGCTCGGAAGGCCTCAGCGGAGGCGAGTGCGCCTCATGGCGGCCCCTCCTGGTGGGTGGGGAGGAGTTTGGCGTTGTTCGTGGTCATCACCCGATGTGGAGTTGGCGAACGGAGGCAATTTTTTTTCGAAATTTTTGTTTGTGAACCAATTTGGTCGTGAACTGAGGCGACTGTGAACCACAGTACCACTGTGCTCCTCTTGGCAAGGCCCTGAACCCTTTGCTCATGAAACTGCCTGTGAATCCCCATATTTATTTTGCTGCCATGTTATTAGGACTCCTGAACAAAAATGTATTTGTTTTGAGAAAGGACATCCTGCCCTTCCAGCCACAACAGTTATAATGATCCAACAACTTTCTCAGAAATATAAACAATAATGATTCCAAAAACCTGAAAAACTAGAGTCAGGAGCAGTGAATGAAAACCTTGGAAAGACAACAAAAGGCCTGCCTTTTAAAAGTTGCAGGGACACCGCCAGGCACAAGGTGGACCACTGGGCCTTGTCGGTGGGCACCCGGGTTCCAGTTCGGGTGAGGTTGAGAAACCACTGAGCTGGAGGGCATTATTTCTGAGTCCCTCCCCTTTCCCTCCTCCTGTTGCAATTCCAGGCAAGGAACATCGCTGTCCGTGTGGAATTCAGAGACTCCGACGAAGGGGGCCATGCAGCTTTGAAGGTGACTTCCCCGGCAGTGCCAAACCTGGGCTGTGGGTGGAGCCGTCGGGGTGGCAGGCGGCTTTCCTTGGGAAGGGGACATCCGCCGGGGCTGGCTGGTCCCGGGAGTAGCAGTACCAACCAGGACGGGTCTCTAGGGGCCAGCCCCTAAGGAGCAGCTGGGCATGCCACAGTTTGAAAGTACGCATGTCAGACCTGGCCGGAGACGGCTGCCAAGAGGTCCTTTCCAGAAGGCAAGGAAGTCCACAGATGGCCACCGGTGGCTTCTTCTGAAACCCGAAGATGGCGGACCTTCTTGGGATCTGGGCCTCTAAGGGAGAACATACCACGGCTGCGGCCTCTGAGAAGAGGGGCGCTTGCCAATGATCTGCCCGCTCCCTCTTGGCCAGGGCAGGGACACAAGCCGTCCGGTAGCTGAAGGTCTTTGGCTCGGCGGCATTATGGAGGGCCTTGGTGGAGGTCAAACCATTGGTCCAGCCAGCCCAGTCGTGCCTGCTCTGATTAGCAGCTGCTTTTCAAGTTCTCAAGTACACTCAGGCGCTAGATCCCACTTGAAAGCTTGGCTCTGTTCGTTCGTGTTCCCAGATGTGACCCAGAGGTTCTTTCCTAAGCGTTTTCCCAAAGGAAAAAAAATCTGATCAAAAATCCCATTTCCTGATCAAAAATGCACTCTCCCCCCCCCCGTTGGCAAAAGTCTGAAAATGCACATACGAGAGGGAAATGTATGAGGGTGAGTTTGTGTGCGCACAGAAGTGCAAGTCTGCAGACGTGCGCATTTGCACAAATGCACTCTTTTGCACATGAACTTAAAGTCTGGGAAAGGCTAAACATTTCGTGAGAGGCGTATTCCGGCTTGCAGTCCTGCTTCGGGTTGCTTGTGACATGTTCACGCACACACCCTTTTGGGGTCATGGGAATGTTCACTCTGCTAACCTACCCATGTTAATGTCTCACAGTGCTTCTACGGTAAACCCGGAGGGCCCCTCTTGACTTCGAGTGCCTACGCTTGCGTGTTGCATCACCATCAGAGCCCCGAGTTCTATGACGAGGTAAAAAGACAGGTGTACCCTCTGCCTTCAGGCTGGAGCCAGGCGCGCCGCTCCTCTTGCTTGCCACGGATCTGCGGGCTTGCCAGGCCAGGGACAGCGGGGCCGTTTGTGCGAGCGTTCAACTTGCCAAGCAAGTCGGCTGCATTTCGCTTCGTATGGTTGCACAGCTGAAAGCTTGGGAGCAAGCAGCAGGGGGAAAAGAGCGGAATCAAAGGGGGGAACCGGGCATTTGGATGGCAGAGCTGGGGCGCAGAAATGACAGGCAAGGGTGTCTGTCCTGTTGCCTCAGCAAGAGCCGAGAGGAGGGCCAGCAACCTCGGCAAGTCTCCAAAGCTGAGGCCAAGGTCATTGGGCAGGGAGCCAGTCTGGGGATTTAAGGAGGGCTGCTGTGCATTCTGCTGTTTAACCCGTTGCAATAGCCTCGTGGCTCTCTGGGCGGTTTACACGATAAAACCATAGCAAACCTGAAACGACATGAATAAAACGGTTACAACATCAGAACAAATAAATAATAAAACAATGTAACTGCCCCATCACAGCAGAGGCACCAGGTAATAATTAACATAACTGATGGGGAAAAAATCTTTAAAATCACAATTTAAAGTACAAAATTTACCAATTAAAATGCCAGCAGAATTAATAATTTTCATCCTAAATCAACAATTTAAGTGCTCTGTAAATAAGAATGCCATGACCTGGCACTGGAATGTATGTAAGGAAGGCGCTAGGCAGACATCCCTGGGAAGCCGGTTCCATAAATGGGGTACCACCACTGAGAAGGCCCTGCCTCCTGGCTTCCTTTAAAGATGGTCCCTGAAGCAGGGCCTCTGCCGACAGCCTCAGGGTCTGGGAAGTCTCCTACGATGGAGACGCTCTTTCAGATATCGGTGCTTCCATGCCCGTGTTTGGAGAAATACAACTGCCCTTCCTTAGGAGTAGCCATTTAGCAAGCCTCAACCGCATCTCCTTGCTTGGTTCTTCTTTGAGATCAAGATCGAGCTTCCAATCCACCTGCACCCGAAGCACCACTTGCTTTTCACCTTCTACCACATCAGCTGTGAGATCAGCCCGAAGGGGACAGCGAAGAAGCTGGACGCAGTGGAGACAACAGGTACGCCCCAGTGGGACTTGGGACACTCGGCTCTCCTCCAGCTACCTGTTGCAGGTAGGGTCAGGGAAAGAGGTGTGCGGTGGCAGCCGGGTCTTTCCGTACCTGCTCAGGTCCCCAAAGAAGAGGGACTCGGGGTTCTGCCCACAGCCCGGGGAGGTCGCCCATCCTCTCTTCTGTCCTCCCCGTCTCCACAGTTGGCTTTACCTGGCTGCCGCTGCTGAAGGATGGGCGGATCATCACCTCTGAACAGCACCTGCCCGTTTCAGCCAATCTGCCTGCTGGGTACCTGAGCGTGGGAGACACTGAAGCACGACGGGTAAAGTAACTGAGCTATTAGTTGGCAGCCGGAGCGGACGGAGGTCGGTGTGCAGCGTTTCATTGTGCGTTTCTTCCCAGCCGCGTGTTTTCATGACTCACTGAGTGTACTGAGACAAGCTCAGAATCTGTGTAACGTGCAGCTCCTTTGCTAAGAATGGCACTAATCCTTTAAAAACAAAATCCACGGCCTTGCCTTTTTCTCATTTGCACGCCTGCTGGAGCGCCCAGAACACTGCTAAGGGCCAGGTTGGAACGGGGGAGCACTGGATTCTCGCCCCGCCAAAGGGCTTTCCATAAGCATCAGGCTGCTGGAAACAGTAGACTGGGTCTAGCAAGCCTGGGCTGACAAAAGCCTGCTTCCAGCCCCTTCAGGTTAGACAGGGATTTTCCAAACCTCCCCACTGTAAGTTGTGCGGTTCCATCACTTTCCTTCCCTGCAAGAGACTCATGTTTCTCCTGCCCGTCTGTGCACATGCGGATCTCCTGCGTCCGCCTGCTCTGCGCGCGATCTCTTTCACCTTGCCCTGTAGCTCGGAGCTGTTTAGCCACAGTACAAACTTCAGAAGCAGCCAAGTCCATCCTTTTGTTTCACAGCAGCCAAATGTCGACATTAAATGGGTTGATGGAGCAAAAGCCCTCTTCAAGATCCAGATCCACTTGGAATCAACTATTTACACCCAAGTAAGTGGAACTCAGCCACCCGTTGAGAGCCCTGGCTCCTTAACAGAGAAAGAGAATGATATTTAACCGTTGAATGAGTAAAATGCAAAACAAAGCTTCGGGTGAGCATTTTGCAATAGACCCTCTGGAACGATCCCTGCAGGGCATTTCCTCTGGCACCGGCTCTCTCTGGGGCTCCTCGGCCGTAGTGCCGGATCGCAGCGCACGTCACAAGAACAAGGGAAGGCCCATGCCCCGGTCTCCTTCCCTCTTGCACGCCAGATGAGAAGCTTCTGGTTTTCGGTCCTCCCTCTTTGGCAAAGAATATGCTGGGGACCAGAACCGTCCACATGACCGGCAAGGCCGACTTCAGAGCTAACCCCTGGGGAGCTAGCTGGGCAAACCTCCACAGCATTGGTTCTTCTCTATGGATTGCTCATTCCATAAGTGACTACCAGGAGGGCCACTTTTTAAAGAACCAGCTCTAAGTATCTAGGGAGGGTGGTATACAAAGGGCTGCTTTGGAAAAACGTCTGGGATCCATCGTTTATGCTGGAGGAGACGCGTGAACAGCCCTTCTCTGTTTGTTTCAGGATCTTCACCTTCACAAATTTTTCCAGCATTGCCAAATGACCCAGGCAGGTGGCAAAGAGGCCCCGGGAGAGCTGGTTAAACATCTGAAGGTAAGCCGTGAGTGTTGGGCGACCTTTTCCATAGCAGCCCATCTGCAAGTGCCAAGCCAGAGCAGTGTTGGCGGGTGAAGGGTCTTTCCTCCATCAGAGGCCAGTCAGGTTGAGGCCCACAAGGAGGAGTTTTGGCACGGAGTGTCCAGCATTTAGAACAGTCTCCCACGAGGAAGTTTCTGGAAGGCAAAGACAGTTTTATTGAAATGAGCGAGGCACGGGATGTTCGGCTTCTTGACTCTTTGGCTGTGGCCTTCCATCACCGTGTACTTTGCCGGTAATAATATTTGTCACCGTTCTTCATTTCCTCGTTTTGCCGTCGCAAAGGGTTTCTTGGGTGGAGCGGTGCGTCCTTGCACGACGTGCTTCTGCCGTGGTGCAGCCCCCCACACCCCAAGGAGGGTGGGATCTTTCCCCTTCTGGGGGCTTCCCTCTTGCAGCAGGAGGAGGGAGGTGTGCAGCTGAGCCCGGCTTCCTAGGAATTTCCCTTGGCCTCAGTCTGCACGAACAGCAAGGCCATATGGGGAAGATTCCCACAGCGGCTGGAGGGAGGGCAGAAATCCACCCCAGGGACACATGGAAATAGTGGAAATTACTCAGTGCATTTTAAAAACAAAGTAACTGCAAAGGGCACCGCCTGGATTCCCCCGGGCACACACTCCAACTTCCAGGAGCCCATGTTTCATGGCCTTTGTCTGTAAAGCTGCTGGATGGATGGACAGGTGGACGGACGCAGACCAATTTGATAATGAGCCCTGTGAATTGTCCTTGGAAATGGACCAGTGGGGTTACTTGTTCCCGAAAGCATGTCCCCAACAGGACCTGGGTGACTGCGTTTGAACCCTGGTCCCCTTCTGCCCCAAAGCGCAGAAGGCCTCTCGTGGTCCTAGTCCTGTGCGGCGAGGCGTTCATCCCCCTAACCCGTCGCTGTTCTGCATGTTCGTTCCAGTGCTTGCACGCCATGGAGATCCAGGTCATGATACAGTTTCTGCCTGTGGTTCTCGTGCAGCTGTGCCGAGTGCTCACCACCCGGACGCAGGAGGAGGACGTCGCGGTCAACTGCACCATGTAAGCCCCGGCCAGGGCCCGGCGGCTCGGGCGAGGCCGACGCAGCCTGGAGAGCACTTTCCCGGCTTGCCTCATGCCCCTTCTCTCCCGCCTTCACAGGGTCCTCCTCCACATTGTCTCCCGCTGCCACGAGGAAGGCCTCGACCACTACCTGCGGGCATTCATCAAGGTGAGCCCTCTTTCTCACCAGGCACTGGGCTGAGGGCACAGCTAAGGTGGGGTCTCGGAGTCCTGCGGCCCAGAGGCCACCCGGACTTGGACGTGGCCCCTGGGTCAAGAGGAAGAAGCGTCTTCGTGTCCCTACGCGATGTTGCTCTCAGTGAGTGGGCACCCTCCAGCTCGAGTCGCGGGCCATCCCTGGGCCTGCCGCCTGTCTCCAGCTTCGCAGTCAGTTCTGTGTTGCCCTCGTTGTAACGCCTCTGGAACACGGGAGGGTTTCTCAGGTGTGGCGCGTGTGTGCGTAGCATGGTGGTTGCGTGCCTCGCAGCTGGTGAGGTCCAGATGGTGATCCAGAGATCCAGTTAAGGCCAGGAAGTCCGGGGCCTTTTGGGGAGCCGCCGGTGACGCCTCCAACGAAGCCTCACCTTTCTTGCAGTACTGCTTCCGCCCGGAGAAACCTGGGGTCCCACAGGCCAAGATGACGCATGAGACCTTGGCCGTCGCGATGGCCACAATTCTCAAGCAGTCGGCAGACTTTCTGGCCATCAACAAAATGCTGAAGGTGAGACAAGGGGAGGGGGTCTTTTTCGCTCCCCCACCCACCCCCATCCCTAAAGCCAGCCCGGCAACAGAGGCCTTGGAGGACCTCGCCCCTCAGCTCTGTTGACCAAGCCGAAACCTTCCCAGCTCGGCTCTCCGTCCGTGAATGGGAGGTGGCGCTGCTTTGCTGCTCCGGTGCCCACTGCCCTCTTTCTGCGTGTTCGTTCCAGTATTCATGGTTCTTCTTCGAGGCCCTGGCCAAGTCGATGGCAATGTACCTTCTGGAGGAGAACAAAATTAAGGTAAGGGGCTGGCTGGATGCTCCCACAGGCCGTGCACTGTGACCCCTGCCCCTCTCCACCCCACCTCCCAAGCTCCAGACCAGACACAGGGGGACTTTGCCCCGTTGCTTCCCGGGCCGCAGGTGTTTCCTCAGCGGGCCAGCATTTTATTTATTTATTTATTTTTCGGTTTATATCCTGCCTTTTTCCTACAAAGGGCTCAAGGCAGCTTGCATCATTCTCCTCCTCCACCTTATCCCCACAACAACAACCCTGTGAGGTAGGTTGGGCTGAGAGTCTGTGACTGGCCCAAAGTCACCCAGTTGGCTCCATGGCCAAGCGGGGACTCGAACCCGGACCCTCTGAGTCCCAGTCCCACACTCTTAACCACTACGCCACACTTCCGAAATGGCGGTGCCTCAGGTGTGTTGGGCAGACACTCATTTCAATGGCCTGGGTGTTCCTGTCCAGCCCTTCTGGAGGACACCTGGTGGAGAACGCCCACATCACTTTGATCGATTGGTGAAAAAGATCAAAGGTGCAAAGGTCTCTGGGTTTCAGGCGGAAGCCTTTCCTAGCCCTCCCTGGAAAACCAGGGATCAATCCTGTAACCATGAGACTCTTCCCAGTGTGCTGCATTCAGTTATGTTGCTATGTTGCTAATGTGATTGTTTGATTGTACCTTGCCCTGAAATCTGAGGCAGTATGAAGCATGTTCTCAGCCTATCGGGAACCATCTTTTTGTGGGTTTCCCGTGAAGAGGCAGCTCCAGTGATGCTCTGCGGATTCGGGGCACAGCTCTTGCTCATCGCACTTTGTCCCTTTAGCTCCCCAGGGCTCAGCGGTTTCCAGAGTCCTACAACCACGCCTTGCATTCCCTGCTCCTCGCCATCATCCCACATGTGAACATCCGCTACAGCGAAATCCCAGAGGAGTCCAGAAATGTCAATTTCAGCTTGGCCAACTTCCTGAAGGCCAGTGGTGCTTCTTCTCCTCTTTCCCCCATATTTAATTTATTTTAAGATGACGAACGAGGACTGGGAAGAGGGTGTCTGGCCAAGCAGGCCAGGGTGTGACAGAATTTGGGATGGTTCTGGTACAGTTCTGGTAGGCCCCATGGGCCTTGCAGCTGTGAAAGGGGCCACCAAAAGCATTAGGGAGTTAGCGCGGGTTCCCCAGGAGGAAGAATTAAAGGGCTTGGGGTGTGATTTGAAGTTCATGAAAAGGGAACTGAGGTGGGTTGTCACAAGGGTTAATAAAATGGTGCCTGCTGCGGGGAGTGTTTTCTCCCATTCTCATAACCTGGAGCCCAGTGGCATCATTGCCTGAAGCTGGATGATGGAAGTTCCAAAAAGATATGGAAAATGTCAGACTTTTCCACACAGTGCATATTTAACCTAAGGAATTTCTCTTGCACAGCATGTGAAAATGGCCCATTTGGAAGCCTCTGAGAAGCTTCAGTTTGTCAGTGTAAACACAGCATCCAGGGTTTGTCCTTGGAAGACCCATGTGAAGGAAAGGGACTTAAGTAATCCAGGGCTAACTTGAATCCCATTCATTTCAATGGTTCTCCCTGATGTGGGACTAATGTTGGGTACTGCCCGTCATGTCTGTCTCACCCACCTTAAGGCTCATTCATGTTGGCTTGCAATCAAAAACACGTAAAAACCAACCCTTGAGCTAATAAAGCTGGCACCTGCAGGGGCCGTCAGAGCAGTGGGTGGAAACCCCGATGGAATTTTAAGAGCCTTCAGGGTTTGGGTTGAGTGACTGCAAATGGGACAGCCAAGCAGCTTTCCAGGTGAGGGGCTTCCACCAGTGCGCAACCCCCACTGAAAGGACACTGTCCTGGTACCTGCTGGGCTTTGGGTCATTCGTTCCGCAGGCTGGAGAGCCAAATCTGATGCAGTTCCTAAGAATGGCTGCAGGGGTGCTGAGCTCTCCTGGTCTCCCCTTGGCCGGGATGGCGCTGTGGAGCAGCAGGGGTGGGCCGCCCGCGTACTCCGCCCTTGGCCTGGCCCAGTGGATCACAGGTCAGCTGTCCGCAGCCCGCAGCTCAGATCCCTGCACTGAGCCGGCCTTCCCTTCAGAAGTGCTTCAGACAGAACTCCCCGCACACCCAAGACTGCCACAGTCCAGGCTGGACCTGCCGTTCCTCAGAGAGTGATGGGACATGCTCATTTTGTATGCCTTCCACAGCGGTGCTTGACCTTTATGGACCGAGGATTTATCTTCAGGCTGATAAACGACTACGTTTCTGCGTTCAGCCCCAAAGACCCCAAGGTAATCCTCGGGCATGCGGGGGCCTTCGCGGCACTGTCCCCTTCCGGATCGCTGTAACACTGCCTGTGTGTTCTGTCTTCCCCCCAATCCAGACCTTGGTGGAGTACAAGTTTGAGTTTCTGCAGACCATTTGCAGCCACGAGCATTACATCCCGCTGAATTTGCCAATGACATTTTCCAAACCTAAACTTCAGAGGCTTCAAGGTATGTCCCCTGTTTAGAGGAGCAATGTATATTTTGTTGTTTTTAACTCATCCTGAGTTTCACGTCTTCTGCTGATTCCAAAGAGCTCAAGTTCGGGTACATCCTTGGAAGCTTTCCAAGGAGTAGAGGAAAAGCAACAAGGACTTTTGTGGAATCTTCAAAGACCAGGGCCTGGTTCACACATGATGCCAAGCCATGCTGTGGTTTGTTGAAATCTGACTTCTTGCTGAGTCCAAACCCATCCCTGTAATACAACTATGGTTTGTTGACCAGCTACGAGCCACAGATAGAAGCCCTGGTTTGTTGTTGGCTCACCAAGTCTGGATATCTTACTCAATGGCTTGTTGTGATGTCTGAACCCAAAAACTTGGCTTATCTCTAATTTTGCCTGCCTCAATGCCTTGGCATGCAGTGAGATCAGTGTGAAAATGAAATGGGTCTGAACAGAAACTAATCAAGAACAGGGCTAAGCTTTGAGTGTCTTCAACAAGACAATTCATGCCTAAAGCAACATCTGGTATTTGTCACATGCATGGCCCAGACTTTGGTGGAGGAGGGTTCACTTTTGTCAGAGACAAAGCATAGATATCACACAAATATGTATTATATTAAACAGCCCCTACCCAAATGTGGATTCCATTTTTAAATGCCACTAGAAATCTTTTTAGTGCCCACCACTTTGGTGGGCAGGTAACAGCGTTCCATGCACCTCGGTGTTTAGTCATGCCGGCCACACGACCACGGGGACTGTCTGGGGACAAACGCTGGCTCCCTCGGCCAGGAAACGGGGATGAGCACCGCCCCCTGGAGTCAGGCATGACTGGACTTCCCGTCAAGGGGAAATCTTTACCTTTACCTTTAGAAATCTTTCCTTGCTGCTCTGCTTAATTTGTTGAATTTCAGAAAAAAGGGCATAAGGCGTTCCTTATAAAATTAAGAATGTGTATAGCTATGCCCTGCTTACTGCAAAAGTAGCACTTCCAGTACCTAAGCATGAAGCCTTGCTTATTTTTCACCAAAAACCCAGACCAGCTGAAACCTTCTGCATCGAGGTGTCGTATGAACATCATGCAAAGGTCCAAAGATGAGGTTTCCATTTTGGGGAGCTTATTTGTACACTGTGAATTGTAAAGTATTCTGTGTCCACCTGCCCTTGCATGGTACACACGCCACCTTGACTTTGGCCAGTAGTACCTGTCTGACCAGCTGAACAAAAAGCGGAGCCCCCACCGGGGCCTTGGAAGAGCTCTCCGAGGTGGTAGCAGGACTCCGCCTTTGGAGGGACCCCCTCTGTCCCCTCGGCCTGCACAATTCTTGGCCCACCAGCCCAGGCCCCAAAGATGGAGGAGCATTGTCAGGATGGTGTTCCAGGGGGCGGGAAAAGGAGGGCAAAGCACCAACAGCTTCCACCAGATCCAGCTGGTGCCTCCATCCCTTCTCCCTGCAAGGTGAGGGGGAATATCCAGGCTATCACATTTGGCTCTCTGAAAGTTCTTGGGAGGCAGGAGAGTGCGGAGGCAGTTCTTGCCTCCGTACTCTTCCTGATCTCTACATTCTGGTCTTGAGGTCAGAAAGCTACTGGCAGCTGCATAGGGTTGTGTCCTTAACCTGGCCAAATAGATGGCCAGGTGATAAGCCTAGCTAAAACCTTCCTTTTGTTTCCTTTTTGCAAATTAATTAGATTTCATTTCCGTGGCTCGGGCATCATTCACTTCAGTAGGTAGGTCTGCAAACAGAAGCAGGTGATGCTCTTCACGCCGAATCAGTTGCAACTTCAAATCTGCTAATTTTTGCAGCTAGTCAGTGCTCAGCAAACGTCATGTGCCGATGCTTCTTGAACTGATCAACTCGCTTTTAGCACCTCCCTAAGTTTTCTTTTTAAATTGTGCAGGGCTTGCTTTTTAAACTAACCCATTTTAGTAGCTGCTTTCTGCTTGTGCTGAATCAAAGGCAGGCTGAGCTCAAAAGTTCTGGGAAAGGAAGAGGCATCTCTGAGTCCCAAATTCCTTGCTAAAGCTGCAAGAGACCGGTCCTGTGAGGGTACTTCTCCTAGGCAACCCTGATTTGACTCGTGCAAAGTATAACACAGCACTGGTAGCCAGCTTCTTTCCTGGGCCCGGTCTGGTGTTTTGAGCCGTTGCCACAAGCCCATGAGGCAGTCGCTCGGGTCTGTTATCCTCAAATTCATACTTGGACCAAAAAAGCCCCGCATAAAACTAATCGGACACGGGGCTGCATGCTCTGCGTGGGCATTGGCCCAGAACAAAGGAAGCATTCAGGAAAAGAAAATGAGCTGAACAGCACTGCAGGCAGGCCGGATTGGATTCATTCTGCATCGATCAAGCCTGGGGAGCCAGATACAACCATTTGATGGTTTCCCAGTTTCGCATGTTTTCCCCTATTCTTAAAAAGGGTCGAAATGCCTCTCTTCAATTACCTGAGCCAGGGCACTGATTTATTGCTCATATATTTATTTTCTGTGCCCCTGGACAGTCATCTGAAGGGGATGATGTAACTTCGTGTCCTGCAATAGCAGTGGGTTATACCCAATGACCAGCTGGTCCTTTCCAACTCCATGAGTCTATGATTCTATAATTGCATGGATTTTAAACTGAAACATGCAGGCATTTGGGGCCCCTTTCCCTTGGGACCCTCCAGCATTGGAAGGCAGGCCCCAAGAGCTTTGGGGAAATTGAATTTGGCTCTCCCACCCTGATGCAGGCCAAGGCTTCAAAGAGAACACATGCATTTTGGCCTCGTAAGGAAGTGCAGAATGGCCACGGTGATGGGAACTCTGTGGCACAGTCCAGATCCCCCGCTTGACTTGCAGAAGGGTCAGTCCCCGGTCGAAATGGCCAAGGTGCCCGTTGTGGGGAAGCTCTGTGCCCAGGACCAACCCAGAGGCGACACGGAGCCGGTGGCCCGACCCCGTTTATGGCAGCTCCATCGCTCCATTACGAGCTGTAGGAGAAGGCCAGGCCCTTCGCCCCAGAGCTGAGCACTGTTTTGCGTGCAGAGAGTCGCAGATCGGGGTGAGCCGATGCATCGAGCTCAGTTTTGCACAGCTTCTCCCTTTTGCATGGCTAGGTTCATTCCATACCATTTCCGCCCTGGAGGCAGGTTTTCTTGTGCACATGTCCAGGCCCATTTTTCAAAATTGATGCCTTTTTGCAAGCAACTTGCATGGTTCATTTCTCCAAGTAGGCACTCTTTACGTGCCTTTTCAAAACTACATGTTTTGGTATGTGTTGTCTTTTTTGAAAACATTGCAAACTTGAGAAAAGTCCAGATTTCAGCAGCCAATTGCACTTTGGTTCAGATTCAAGGATGTGCGAATTTGGTAAGTTTGCCTCGAAATGTGAACTGAATGAATTGCTCACCCTCTGTGGAGTGCAGGGAGACATACAGAACCCTCTCCCACCTTGTGAGGTATATTAGGCTGGGAATTAGGGACTGGCCCGAAGGGACTTGAATCCACGTCTCCCCGGCCTCAGTCCAGTAATGCAACTACAACCACATTGGCTGGCTGTGACCACTAGGAAACTCAGCCAATCCCTGCAAGAGAGTTCCTCACCTCCGCAAAATCCCCCCGCGATGCATCCAGACGAGACTTGTGGTCCCTGGGCACTCCAGATGTTGCTCCCGATCTCCCCGTCCATCTTTTCCCAACACAACTGTCACCGTTTTTCTGAAGGCCGAAAATCTGCTGGGCAAGGGGCAAATGCTTCGTTAGACAAAGCCCGGTGCTTGCTCGGCCAGTGCCCTCGGTCTGGAAGCACCCCGGTGCGTTGCAGTGCCGGAGCTGGGAACAAAGGCCCTTGTTCTGCTCTCCATGGCAGATGTAAACCTCGAGTACAGCTTATCCGACGAGTACTGCCGCCACCATTTCTTGGTGGGTCTGCTGCTCCGAGAGACGTCCGTCGCTTTGCACGACAACTACGACATCCGATATGCAGCCATCGGCATCCTGAAAAGCCTCCTGATTAAGCACGCCTTTGACAACCGGTACCAGCATAAGGTAGGGGAGCCTGAGGTGCAGCAACATTGCTCGCTGCTTTATTTGCCCCCGCAGCCGTGCCGTGGCCTCTTTCCATGCTGAACCTCCTCCAGGCATGTGGGGGAGAGCAGGAAAGGGCGGGAGGATGTTACAGGCAGCCCTGCCCTGCTTCTGCATCCACCAGCAGCCCTCCAGGTGCCCTTTACCTGCCCGGAGGTATCCGCTCTGTTCCCACACTAGAGGTATTCAGGGCGAAACTGGGCAGCCCTCTGAGTGGGATGGTGTGACTTGACATCCTGCCCCGGCAGGGGTTGGACCCGAGGGTCTTCTTGGCCCCTTCCAGCTCTGCTCCTCTTGATGCCAAGTCCTCCCTGGTGGCATCTTTGGGAATGAGCAGGTCACCCCCCGCCACACCTCTTTCGCCCTGGCGATCCTTCGCTCAGAGCTGCTCCTCCCCAGCAGCCCGTCTCTTGCTGGCTTCACGCCTCCCTCTCGCTTCAGGGAGGGGGGCTTTTAATGCCTGCCCAGTGGGCGGCCATTCCCACCCTTCGTGACTGTCCCGCCCAGCAAGAGGTCCCGAGCAGCTTGGCCTCCAGGAACGTCACTGCGGAAAATGGGCCTACATAAGCGGGCCGCCTTGTGGGAGGGCCCGAGCCCCCACCCAAGGGAGAACCCGGTTGCTGCGGCCTGTGTGATTCAGCAGGACCACCCTACTCTCGCAGCCGCAGGCCGCAAACCCCTGCTCCCTGGGAATCCTGGGCTGCTAAAGACCCCTCCCCGCCAGACTGCGCTTGCCCTAGCGAAGCTTTTCCCACAGCTCCATTGTGGGGCCTGGCGGCACGGGGCCGTTTCATCCTCGCCTGGGTGGCATGTGTCCTGGACACTGGCCGGCATCCGAGCTGCTTCCTGCAGTGAGCCCACACGAGAGGGAGGGCACACAGGAAAGGTCTCCTGTGCTTTCCCTCTTGTTGTGAGTGAGGGACGGATCAGTAAACACCCCCCCCCCCCCGCATCTTCCACACTAGAAACGTTGGAGCTGGCCAGCCCGTCCTGCCGAGAAAGGGTTCTGCGGCAGGCAGTCCAGGCAGACCGCTGCTTCGGCCCATCTTGGGCGTAGTCAGCCAGTGTCCAGAGGCCCCTCTTGAGCTCCTCCGCTTGCAGGCGCTTTGTGGTTCCAGAGTCAACAAACGCGGCCTGGAGAGATGGCCGTGAGCCAACAAGCATTCGCTGTCTCCTGGGGGCTTCTTGTCCATCTGCCTTTCCGCACGTACCAAGCCTGGCCTGCTGCACAGAAGCCGGGTTTCTGGGAACCTTGCAGTTCTTTATGCCTTCCCTGAAGAGCAAATTTTGCAGCAGGCTCCAGCCGTTGCAGGGGGAAAATGCCTGCAAGCTCTCCTAGCCAGAGAGACACACGTGTGTTTGCTGATCCTTTCCTGACTTGAGCCCCGCCAGGGACTGCAGCCCTTGGCTACTCTGGCGGGGCCCCAAGGGTTTTGTAGCCTGACAACACCTGGAGGGCCCATGTTCCCCGGCTGTTGCTCGCTCAGCCCACCCTCTAGTCCCCTGCCCTGCCCTCTAGTCCAGGTTACAAACGGCCTGGGCTCATTTCAAAAGCGAATGCAGCATTGCCACAAACGCTGCGTCCTTCCATCAGCTGGCTGGCTCCAGTCCTCCAAGGGTCCCCGAGGCCATGGCCTTTCCTGCCTGCCCACCCAGCGTCCACTGGAGAACCGATCTCCTCACTGGCTGCTCCAGAGCTGGCACTGGCTCCAAACCAGTCCAAATGTGGCTCAGTCGAAGCACGAATGAAGCATGTGTGCATTTATTTCTTGACCGAGCTCGTGAACGTGCGATCAGGATCAGAGCTGCTGTGCAGGAGGGACTTAACCCTTTCCCTCCTGCAGTTTGCAGTTCCGAGGAAAACCTTGCTTCTGGAAGTGATGTTTTGTTGCATGGACATTCTGGGTTAGCCTCCATGGGGGAATTCCTCCTGTTGCAGATCCTGGATGGAGAACACCTGTCCCTGGAACACAGCGAGAAAGGAGCGTGTCATATCCTGGCTGCCCTGTTACCATTTGCCGCCCTCACCCCACCCCACCTCACCCCCCAGTGGTTGCAGGTCAGACATATTGAACTCCATGCCAGTTGCTCCCTGATCCACCCGCAGCCCTCGCCTTCTCCCCGTTTCTCTTTTGCAGAACCAGCAGGCCAAGATCGCTCAGCTGTACTTGCCTCTAGCTGGACTCATTCTGGAGAACGTCCAGCGGCTGACAAGCCGGGACGCCCTGCCCCCTGGCACCGCCACAGCCAGCTCCGTGAGTCTCGCGGGCTCCGCACGCCCGTCCTTTCCTGGGTTTGGGACCATGTTTGTCCTTCGTTGCGGTCACCGACAGTTCGTGCGGCTTCTTGAGCCGCGTCTCAGGAGCCTGCGAGTTCTTTGGGTGCTAAAAGCAGATAGGAATGGTGGAAAATGGGGTGGCACGGCCATGTGACCCCGAGAGATCCATCTCCCCCAGACGTGCGGCAGCACCGGGAGGCGCTGGGCGAAAGCCACTCAGAGGACTCCGGCTGTGGTGGCGTGAAGTGAAGTGAACTGCAGTAAAGACGGCAGGCCCAGCTTCCCCTGCCCGCCAGCACAAGCTGGAGTGGTTGGGAAGATCTTGGCCAGCAGGCCCAGGGGAGCTTCACGCTGGGTTGAGCCCGGTCCCGATTGCTCCCCAAGACCCTAGAGTTGCGGCCGTCCTCTTTGCACAGCAACTGATAAACGGCAGGCAAGCTGGGGAAGGGGCCTGCCCGATCGACTGTGCGTGACACTGCTGCAAAGCTGGGCCTCTCTGGAGTGTTCCCTCGCCACTCATGGGAAATGTGTGCAGGCAGATGTTCCCAGGCAGGAGGATGGCCAAAGGAGGGCTGTGCTGGATCAGCCTGCAGCTTTTCATCTCAGCGACTTCCATTCATCTTCTGCCAAGGCCACAAAGAGGGTGCTGCTCAGCCACCAGCCTCCACAGCCTCCGCACGGAGAGTTCAGCTTTTGCCATCACGGCTGGTGGCCAAAGCGAGCTGGAGGCTGACCAGAGGGTGCAGCTGGACTTGCTTTGTGTGCCTGCCCAGTTTGCGCCTGAATGCAAAGCAAGCTTCCCCCACCCCCCGCCCGCCCACTCCCTCAGTCTTCTCTTCTCCCTTCCCACTCCAGGCGTCCAGGGATGAGCTGGTGTGCAGCTTGGTTTCACCGTCCAGCAGGGCCAGTCTTGTTCTCGACAAAGATGCACGTAAGCAAGCAGGCAGGCCTCAGCTCCTCTACAGGCCGCAGCGGCAGTGTCCCTTCTGCCTTCAAGCAGAAGCGCCTTGGTTTTGGAGGGGTGCTGGGGGGGTTCTCCTGGTCTGTGCACATCTCTGACTCCCCACCCCACCCCTGTGGCGCCCTGTGCCTAAGGCAAACAGGAGGACTGAGAAGATGGGGCGTATCTGGTGAGCTGGGGAGACACCGGACGGCAGGAAGAAGGCATAAAGGAGGGAAGGGAGTCTGGCGCAGGAGCGAGAGGGCGTCCCTGGAGAGGGCTGGCCGAGTGGGGCTGTGGCAGGCGTCACGTGGGCCCTGTGCATCTCCCCCACGGCTGCTGCGAGGATTGGAGCTAAGCGCAGAGGGAACGGGGCATCCTGAGGGGGGTGGCCGGTGACGATAGCGCCCCTGTTACCCAGGAAGCACCCCCCGCGTCACTGCGGCCCCGGCTCCGCCACACCCCCAGCCGACCTATCGCCTTGCCTCCGGTTCTCCTGTCCCAACTGGGTCACGGGAGAGCGCAAACGCTGCACAGGCGGAGAACCAGCAAATGCCCCGATTGCAGGGGGACTGCAGGAGGGAAAAGGGCCCCGTCACGCTCTCAGGCCACCCAGCTCAGCTGCAGACACACTCTTCTTTCTTTTTAGTTTACGGTGCGGCTCTCCAGAATGGACTGTGCGGGAAGAGGGAGGACTCCAAAGGATCACTCAGCTCCGAAGCGGGGGCCAGCTCCCCTGACCAGGGCACCACTGCTGAAAACGTAATCCGCCCCCCCTTCAGAGCCCCGTGGGAGGCAACTCCCAGAACTCGCTGCTTCAGGACACTGTCTCGCTTGGCAGGGGCTTCGGCTGGCAGAGTCGTGTCCAGAGCACTTTGCTGCCCCCCATGAGACGTCCTCTGGTCACCAAAGAAGCCGCCATCTCACCCCACACCCCCCAGGCCCTGCCCTGGTGCAGAACATGATGCCACACCCCAGGCAGGATTTGCTAAAAACTGCTTTCCCTGGCACATCACAGTCCTGGTACAAGAGGGAAAATGCACGAGGGCAGTCCAGGCCTCGGACTCATTTCCATTTGGACCATCTGCGTTCTGAAAATTGCTCCCCCTTGTGTCTGCCCCCCCCCGCCACCAACCTGCTTGGGGAGTCCTGATGATGGGGCCACTTGCCTCCCTGCCCCCCGGGGCTCAAAGCCGCGAGAGAGCAGGTGTTCAGCAGGGCCTGAAGGAAGGAAGGGGGCTGCGCAGCCCTTTCCCCTTGTCCTGCCCTGTGACTGGGGGAGGCAGCCTCAGCCCCGGCATTGTGTCAAGGGACACGGCACCTCAGACGGGTCCTGGGGCAGCTGCAGGCCTCCTGAAGAGTATCCCAGGGGTTGCGTCTTCTCAGGGCCAAGCTACACGTTACACCGACTCTCGCGTGTGGCTGAAGCTTGGCTTCTCTCTTGTGTAAGCACATCTGGCCACCATCTGGATTTGGGCCACAGCTGTCCTGGTGTTTGAACCCAACCCCCCATGTTCACCCCAAATCCCCCCCATGCACGTGCGCACACGCATGGAGCAAGGCTGAAAGTCGCCCCTTGCCGATCCCCTGCCTGCCCTGCCCACCCATCACTGGGTGTCTCTCGGCCCCCACAGATGCACAGGAGCTCCACACGGAGCAGCGTCTCCCACTTCGGGCGCCTGGACCAGTTCGAGATCCGGAACCTCCTCCTCTGCTACCTTTACATAATTAAAATGATCTCCGAAGGTGAGTGCCTTGCGAAAGGTATGTTTCCAGACCTGGCCGTGTGGTTGCGTCACCTGCCCACGTGTCTTCAGCGCAGAACCGAAGTTAGCGTCTTCATTTCAGGGGCCCGGAGCCCCCTCTGAGCCAGGACCGGGGTTTGGGCCTGCCAGTGCCTTCTCACCATCAGGGTGACGTTCCAGTTCCCCATGTGTGAGCTGGAAGGCCAGCGCAGCCCCGGGCAAGAGGGGGAGCCGGTTCTGGCACAGGGAATCGTCTCCCTTGGATGCAAGTGACGCCAAGAGCACGGTGGCGGGACCGGTGGCCCCAGCACTCCTTCCCGCTTTCTTTCGTGGAGGCTCACAGGCCTTGCCCAAGCGCCGACTTTCCCAGTGGGATCTGGGAACGATGGGAGTGGCCACCTGAATGCACCCAGGCTGTGCCAGGTCGGGGCAGGCTGCATCACAGGCTGAGCTGCTTCTCTCTGTTTCAGATACCTTGTTAGCCTATTGGAACAAAATATCTCCCCAGGAGCTGATGAATGTCCTTGTTCTTCTAGAGTAAGTCTTCAGTGTGGCTGCATGGGAGAAGGGGGGAAGGGGAAGAGGGAAGCTGAGCTAGTGGCTAGAGTGCTGGACATCGTCCAGGCCTGTCTTGGACCCTTGGCCCAGCCTACCTCACAGGGCTGCTGTTGTGAGGATAAGATGGAGAGGAGGGGAGCTCGTGAGCTGCCTTGGTTTCCTTGCAAGGGGAAGAAAAGTGCAATGCAATAAGTGCGGTGCAGTAACGACATTTGCCGGAGCTCGAATTCCACCCCACATTGCCAGCTCATGGGATGCCCCCAGGCCGGCGTGGGACTTGGGGCCCCACCGCTCAATGCCCAGGAGAGGCAGGTTGCCCTGCCTCCGAAGAGATGCCGCCGAAACCGGAAGGCGCCTGCAAGAGGCTGCCGGTGCTCGCAAAGCCGAGAGACATCGTGCTGATGCAAACATTTGGCCTGGTGCCTTTCCCTGCTCTGCCACCTGTCTTGGCTCTGCAGGAGAAAAGGCGGAGAGCTTGCCCGCCTTTGCCTTTTCCCCGCAGTGGGAAAAGCAGCGCTGGGAGGGCAGAGTCAAGCAGGAGAAAAGCTGGACAGTTCAAGCAGCCTTCCCTCCCACCACAGCTGCAGCTGTCGACGGCTACCTTTCGTCAGCTCCCCCCACCCCAAACCCCAACTATGTATCTTATAGTGGAGGTCACAGGGGGCAGAACGACGGTGAAGACCAAGTCCCCTGGCCTGAAAGAAGCGGAACGTGCCTGTGCACTGAAGTCCAGGGTAGCTGTGCTGGCCGTTGGCCGTCCGCTTGTTCTAAGCTGAGCCTTCTTTCCCTCTTGCTCCAGATCGTGCTTGTTTCACTTCAGATACGTGGGGAAGAGAAACATCGCCAGGTACCGCAAGACGTTGCGAGGGTCCAAATGTCTCTACCGCTGTCCGTAGAGGCTCCAAAGCAAGCCGCCCCCGGGCAAGGTGGCAGCACACCGGAGGGCCGGCCGCCATCCTTCTGTGGCCAGAGGCAGGCCAGGGAGACGGTGGCACCCTTTCCCGCCCTGCTTCCCCGGCTCTGAGTGGCAGTTCCACACACGGAACAGGGAGTGGGAAAGAAGCAGGCCGGCGGGGCTGGGTGTTGCGCACGGGGCTCGGAAGCAGGCGCCCCGCTGCTGAAATGCCAGCTGGGCAGAGGGTCTCGTGGCAGGCCGTGCCGTCTTCCTAGCTTGGGGTCCCCGCTCTTCCGGAACATGTTTATTTCTGCCAGACTCAGGGCTCCTCCAAACCAGCCCCTTTCTCTCCTTGGTGGCTGGCTGTGGCTCCAGCAGGGTCCACCGTGGCAGAATCCGGCTGCGTTTGTCCGTCCGTGCATCACAATCGCAGTTTTTCCCGTCTCAGGGTCCATGATGCTTGGCTGTCCAAGCACACAGGCATTGACCGGAAATCGCAGACGATGCCAGCCCTTCGCAGCAGAGCGGGCGCCTTCCAGGTCCGCCTCCAGCATCTCAGCAGCCTGGACAGCTCGTTTACCCTTAACCACGGTACGTTCCAACGAGCGGCAGGGACGCACCTGCCTGCAACCGCTCTGGAAGGGCTCAGGCCTGGCGGGTGCCCCTGTCTGGCCGGCTCGGCTGTCACGGGGAGTGAGGTTGCTGCTCCAGGCGGCAGCTGCTAGGAGAGGCAGCCTACCTCGGAAGGAGCACCCCGGGGCTGGCCCTTCGGGAGCAGCTGGCCGCTGTGCTGCATGGAAGGACGGTTCAACCAGCGGTCCCTTGGGCAGCGCTTCGGGCAGCCCTGCCGATTTGCAGAACTGCACCGGCTGGCCGCATCTCTTCGGGCGTGCCCGCGGGCGTCCCAGTCCACTCTTGCGCCCATTTCACAGATGGGAGCCGAAGCCAAGGCTCTGAGCAGTCCGTGGACAAGCCGAGATGTGATGCAGCTCTGTTCTCACTACCGCTTGTCCACTCCCTGCAAGCGCGGGGCTGCAGCACCAGCATCGGCCCTCTTCTCGCAGCCTCCCAGACACGGGCATTACGCACACGGAGCAGGCCTGTCTTCACGCGGCTTTCTCATTCCAGGAGCCGGCACTTCGGAAGCAGACATCGTCCACCAGGCCTTGCTGGAAGGCAACACGGCCACCGAGGTCGCCCTCACCGTCCTGGACGCCCTCTCGTTCTTCACGCAGTGCTTCCGGGTGAGCCGCCTGCTGCGGGGGAGACTCGCCCCGCTGAGCACCCCGCCCCTGCTGGCCGTGGCCGGGGCGACGCTGGCCCCCGCCGAGGAGCAGCCGCTTGCCCGCTTCTTCCAGGCTTCCGTCGGGCTCCTTGGAAGCAGTTCTTGCAGCAGCTCAGTGGAACTGGATGCCTGGCCCCTGAAAGTCTGTGGGGACGAGGGGGTGTCCTGGAATGCGCACGAGGGCACTCGCCAAGGACCCGAAGGGCTCTCGTCTGGATTCCCCGCCCATGGACAGCTAGCGTGTCAGGGAGAAGGGCCCCACTCTAGCCTTCTCCCCGATGGGCTGGCTTTCCGTCTGCAAGGAGCTGATTGCCTGTGGAGATTCCAGGATGAGGTTCCTCTGGCTCCACACCCCTGCGTCTGCTGCTGGGCGCCTGGTGTGGCAGGACACTTCACCAGAAAGGCCCGAAACGGGCGTGGCTGTGCCAGACTGGCAGCTTATTTCTGATGGACGTATTATCCAAAGTATGTTTATGCTGCTTCTCAGCAAGAAAACCTCAAAGAAAGCATTTGTGCGGCTGCTAGAGCAGCTTGCACCACATCAGGGAAACAAGTCTCTGCCCACAGGCTGACCATCTAAAAAGGTGCAGCACAAGAGGAAAGAGGAGAGAATGCACTAATGGCCTCAGCAGGGCTAAGGGACTGGGCCTGCTCTCCCTCTCCTTTCCCTTGCTCTGGCCCACTTCCTTTGCCCCTGCTCTTGTGCAGTTGCCTTTGGGGCAGGCATCCCCGGGGTCTCATTCCCCGTGTAGAATATGCTTTGCTCTGGCAGGGCAGGCAGCCCGAGACCCTTTCCGAAGAGCGTCCCACAAGCACTCAGGTCAACGCCTGCCACCTCTCTTCCTCTGCAGAGCCAGCTCCTGAGCAACGACGGGCACAACCCGCTGATGAAAAAGGTTTTCGACATCCACCTTGCCTTTCTCAAAAACGGGCAATCCGAGGCTGCCCTGAAGCACGTCTTTGCCTCCCTGAGAGCCTTCATCAACAAGGTAGAAGGAAGAGTGAGCGATCCTGCCACCAGAATAACCATTTGCCCTCAGAAGGAATCGCGCACCCCAACTTTCAACCCGTTTGCGAGTTTTTTCCCTGCCCTGCATCACAGAGCAGCACACATACCCTCTCCTCACCAGCTCTGCCCTGAGAACAGTCTTCCATCCGGCCAGCACGTCCGCCAGCACTTCCTTCCCCTTTCTGGTCACCGCAGTCCTACGTCTGTGCTTAAACCTTTAAGCAAAAACAATTTAGTGGCTTTTATAGACGCACGCAGATCAGAGCTGCACATCCAGTCAGCCATCAGGTTGCGTTATTAAGCGCAATCAGGGTGATGTTTATGGAGTTTAAGGGCCTTGCGCATGTTTTCCCCCTCCACCCCATTACAACCGGTGAGGTAGACCGCACTCAGAGAATGAGAGGGAGGCGAAGACGTACTGGCTGGTCAGCCTCTGGGTTTCCCGGCTGAGTGTGGGTTTGAACCCCACCTTGAGCCTTCCGGATCCGCTGGATGGTGACTTGCGTCGTCTGCAGCCTGCACCTTGGGACTCAGTCTGGGGAAAGTGCTGGAGAGCGGGGCAGGAAGGTCCCGATTCCTGCTTCCCACAGGCAGCCCCTTCTGCAGTTTGGGTTTAACAGTACCCCACTACCTTGGGGGGCTGCTTTAAAGATCACGCTGGTCACGTCTGGAAAGCATTTTGAGCGCTGAAAGAATTAAATGAATTGTGGCAGGAGGAAATGTGTGCCCTTCCAGACATGGCTCCCCTCATCCATGCCCGTTGGCCACACTGGCTGGGACTGATGGGCACTGGGATCCAGTGACAGGAGGACAAATTCCCCACTGCTGGAATAGAGAACAATGGCTATTTCTTCTGTGCTGTTTGTTATATTATGATATGCAGGGCTTTTCCACACGAGGCTTTGGCCGCATGCTCCCCATTCCCTGCTCAAAGGCATTGACTAAAGTTCTTCAGATGAGCTGCTTTTACTGTTTTGCTTCTGTGTTCAAAGGACCTTTTTTAGGGCAATGAAAATGCCGTCTTGAACTGTGAGCGCGCAGGACAGCGATTCCCTCTTGTATAGTTGTGCTATCCGCTGGCACCACAGGGCCACCTAGAGGTTATGCTGTGTTAATCTCTGTTCCTGCCAGTCCAAAAGCTGACCAGCCTGGCGTAGAAAAGCTCATGGGACTGGACAAAGGATGGCAGCACTGAATCAGAAAATTGCACCCGCCCTGCTCTGAACCCTTGGCTTCTCCCCCCCTCTAGTTCCCCTCAGCCTTCTTCAAGGGGCGAGTGAGCATGTGTGCTGCCTTTTGCTATGAGGTCCTCAAATGCTGCACTTCCAAGCTGAGCTCCACCCGCAACGAAGCCTCAGCCCTCCTTTACCTCCTCATGAGAAACAACTTTGAGTTCACCAAACGGAAAACCTTTTTAAGAACTCACCTCCAGGTCAGTGAAAGAGGAAGTACCTTGCGGCTGCAGGGGGAGGCGGGGGCTTTGCATCATGGGAAAGGCGAGCAGCCTCAGCTTTGCAGCAATTGCTAACCGAGAACAGCTTCCCGTTCACGAAGCTCAGCTGCTCTGCAGGTGTGATGTCAATAATTTCCTTCCTTTGGTTATGATCGGAATTTTTTAAAAGCTTCCCCCTCCTCCTCTTCCTCCTCTTTCTTTTTTGGGGGTGGACAGGATAAATTTCCTTAAGTGCTTTGCTTTTTTAGAACAGAGAATGTTTGCTCTGTATATCAGAAAGGCACTGGAGAAATGTGCTTGAATTGTTTGAATATTGGAACATGAAAATGGAGCATGGGCTGTGCTTGTAATTAAAATCTCCCACATGAAAAACAGTTGACAACATAAAAGCTAGCTTTGGGGCTTGTTCCGGGTTTTTGTCTCATGCTCTTATCATCACTATCATCTTTATTAGTGTTATTTATATCCTACTTTTCCTCCAAGCAACTCCAGGCCGAGGTACATAGTCTGGCAATCCCTCCTGTTTTCTCCTCACAGCATCCCTGTGAGGTAGGCCAGACTGAAATTGAACAGCTGGCCCCCGGTCCCCCAGAGAGCTTTCAGGCTGAGGGAGGGCTTGATCCTCAGTCCTAGCTCAACCCCCGGCGGTCTTTCCAAACCGAGTGTCTCTGGCCCCGTTGGGCCGTGGCTCTCCTTGGCAGCATGGCTGGGAATGTGGGCACTGCATTCCCTTGCACCTGGCGGGGGAAGGCTCTACGCGCTGTGCCGCGCAGCCGCTTGCAGGAGGCCAGCCCATCGCCGTGGCCCATGCAGGCCTCTCCAGGAGCAGCTGGCGTTTCTGCAGGGAGAGCAGTTTGCACCGCCAGCAGAATTAATTCACGTACTGATGGGTTTGTGTTCCACCCCATCGCCCACAGGGCTGTCTGGGTGGTGGGCACATACACAACAATAGAACGGCTCGCACTCCTCCCATCTCGCTCCCGGCAAAGGTCCCCCAAAGCAGGTGGGGCACAAGCCAGCGGAAGGCCCCGGGTTCAGAGCTAGGAAAGGACCCCGCTGCATCCTGGAGAGCTGTGGCTGCCGGTCAGTGCTGGCACCACTGGCCTGACGGGCCCTGCTGTGACGCAGCACACACCGGCTCTCCTGAGCGCCTGGAGTCCGGCTGTGGGGAGGAGAGGGGGCGCAGCAGAGGTGCGGCTTGGGCGCGACCCGCTCGGTGGAGCTGAGAGGCCAGAGCTGGCCTTCCCGGGCCGTCCCTGCCCATGCCGGCAGCGAAGGCTCTTCCTGTGCTCTTGCACCCAGGCAGCCCCCCCGTTTCTCCCACAGATCATAATCGCCGTCAGCCAGTTGATCGCCGACGTGGCGCTCAGCGGAGGGTCCCGATTCCAAGAGTCGCTGTCCATTATCAATAATTTCGCCAACAGCGACCGGCCAGTGAAGGTAGGCTTGGCTTGCTGAAGGAAAAGCGATGCTTCCACCGGGGGAAGGCGCCCCGTAGTTCGGTGGGAGCCCCGAGGAACACTCGCAGCACTCCCCGTGGGCAGAAGCAAGGCCGCTGAATCACTGAGCAGCCAGTCCGAAGGGGCCGGGGAGGCCGTCGGGTCCTTGCGACGCATGTGCGTGCTCGTCTGATTTCCTCCTGTTCGATCCCCGTCTGCTTCGTGGTGCATCCGAACGGCTTGCCCGAGGTGGACTTGTGGGGGCACAAAGGGCGAGAACACTGGCCAGGCACCTCCCGCGCGCTCTGCTGCGCTTCGTCCCAAAGCGAAAGCCTTCGCTGTTTCTTTTTGTAAGTCCTGCATTTCCTTTGCGATAAGGACCTCTTTCCTCTGCTGCTCCAGGACGGCTTTTTGCAGACCTGTCTTGTGACCATCTGTTGGCAGCGGCCAAGGCTGGGTGCGTTCTGGGCAGCCTGGATTCGGGCGCAGAATTCAGTGCGTTCTGGGCAGCCTGGATTCGGGTGCAGAATCCAGTGGCCTTGCACGCTCAGCTTTCAGGGTGCCCCCACCCTCGAGGAGAGGAGGAGGGGAGGGGGAAAGCTGGGGGCTTAAGGAAGCTGTCAGCTCAGAAATGTACAAAAGATGCAGGGGAGAAGTGTGAAAGGCAGCCGACGACAAAAAACATTGCATGGGAGTTTCAGGATGGAGAATGATAGTTTCTTGGCTCGGAGAGAAATGCAGGAAGCTACTAAAGGCTTTAAAGGTGAATGCCTGGGCTTCAGTTGAGTGAGAAGCGAGCCTGCAGGCTGTGGACTTGGCATCAGCCCAGCGTGACACGGCTCCTTCGGCTGCCTCTCGCTGGGAGGAATGTTTTAGACAAGCCAACAGTTCTGGACAGCCTCACACAGAACGCATCACACTAGTCCAGCTTGGAGGAAATGCAGGCATCAATAGGGTTCCAACTTCATTTTTAACCTGGAAAGCAACCGTGAGTCTTGAGGGAGCTGCTTTAAAAAATTTGGAGTGTGATCATTGCAGACCTGCAGCAGGGGGAGCACCGTTTGGTCTGGGAGAACCAAACTCCCCGCATGATCCTTTGTAGGTGATTGGACATGAGGTATGATGTTAGCAGAAAGCAGGTTAACAGTGGTAGAGCAGGCCAATTATGAAGCAAAATACAGGGTCCCTTTATTTATCTCAACCACTGGATATATCCCCCCGCAAAAAATTATATTGCTTGTTTTCTCTGATTTCCTTTCATCTTACGATGCTGAACTTCTCTGGACAAATGTAATTTCTGATACTCAGACAGAGGGATGAGGGCTCCCAGTTCCAGCTGGAGCAGGAGAGGGAGGGAGGGAGGGTGTCCATTTAACTGCTTCCTTACCCCCCCCCCCCCCCCAGCCGCCTCTGGTGCTCTTAGCACCTCTGAGAAAATGCAGGTCTGGTGCACGTACAGATGCTTAATTTCACGTACTTCACTATTTTTAGGCAGGTCCTGGTCATTTTCCCTAAATTAGGAGCAGGCAGCTTGTGGCCTACAACTCCCATCAGCCTTAGCCAGCATAGTCAGTGAGGGATGGAGGAGTGGTAGGCCAAACCACACTGGCCCTCCCCCACTTCCGATTCCCTAACGGGGGAGACTCTGATCAGGGAAGTGGGGAGACGGCCAGTCCCCAGCACTGCTGCCCTGATCCCAAAGGCGGCAGTGGGGTGGCCGGTCCTTTTGTGGGGCAGAACGAGCCGCTCGGAGAGCGGTCTCTCGCTCCCGTCCACCCTCACCCCGCGGCTTCTTTTCCCTCTTTCTCGCCGCGGGGCAGGCAACGGCCTTCCCGTCGGAGGTCAAAGACTTGACCAAGCGCATCCGGACGGTGCTGATGGCCACCGCCCAGATGAAGGAGCACGAGAAGGACCCCGAGATGCTGGTCGACCTGCAGTACAGCCTGGCCAAGTCTTACGCCAGCACGCCGGAGCTGCGGAAGACGTGGCTGGACAGCATGGCGAGGATCCACGGCAAGAACGGCGACTTCTCCGAGGTAGCCCCCTCGGCCGGACGCGCTCGGCGCCTGCGGGAAGCACTCGGGCGCCCGACTAAGCTCTGCCGTTGCTTTCCAGGCGGCCATGTGCTGCGTCCACACGGCGGCGCTGATGGCGGAGTTCCTTCACCGGAAGAGTGAGTGCCCGGCGGGGGCGGGAGGGCAGGTGGCTGTCCCCTTCGCTTGGTAGCCTTGGTGGCCGACGTGGCGGGCCCTGCGTTCTGCACAGGGGGACCTGGCCGAGGCCTGGAGCTGGCCGCAGGAAAGCTCCTGGGGAAGGAGGGGAAGGGGGGGCGGGCCCAGGGGGGGCTCAGCAGACCACATGGCGGGTGGGTGACAGCACTGCAGAGAGAGGACCGCCTTGCAGCCGACCAGGGAGGCACCGCCAAGACCTCCCAGCCTGGGGGCCTGCAGCGATCCCTTGCACAGGCTGGACTGGGGCCGATTGCTGGGCAGGGTGCAGCTGGCAGCAAGGGGACCATTCCCCTTGGACCCCCATGGCACAGCCCTGGAAGCCAGCCTCCCCCAGGCTCAGAGACCCCTCCCCGCCACAGACAGGGGCCCCCCTCCCGTCTCCTTGCACAGAGAGTCAGGAGTCTGATGCGTCTGCGAGGGGGGTGGCCAGCATTCCTGCTCCTGGACCGCCCTCTCCTCGGGGGCCGGGGGCCAGAGGGGGGCCGTGGAGGCAGTCCAGGGCCTCCCAGTGGATTCCTCCTGCCCTCCCCTCCCCCGTCCCCAAGCCGAGCTGGGAAGGGCGTGGGAAAGGGCCAGCGGGAAAGCGGCTGGGCCGGCTGCGCGCTCCGCGAGGATCGGCTGTGCGCTCTGGCAGCGCCGTCAGGTGCAGTGGCAGCCAGGCCCGTCTGGGCTGGACAGAGTTGGGCCACAGTCGCCTCCGTCCCGGCGACCCGCAGGCTGCGTTGCTGCAGGGGGCAGAGGTGCGGCGCCCGCTGAAGGGAAGCTCGTCCAGAAGAGAGGCTGGGAAGCAGCCGGCCGAGGAGCTCCTGCCTCCCTCGTTCGCAGAGTGGGCGCCTGAACTCGGAGGGCCGCTCTTCACCTGAGAGCCCCTCTGCGGCCTCGGACCGCAGATGCCTGCGGGCTGCCTCCTCTTCCCCAGCGATCTGCCTGTCCTCTGAGATTAGCCGGGAGGAGCCTTTTCGGTGGCGGCCCTCCCCTTGGAAGTGCCCTCTGTACTCCCAGCGATGCAGCGCTGCTCCCCGGGCCTTAAGGAGCTGCTACGGTTAGCCTTTCCCGTGAAGAACAGTTGGAATGCGGCCATGAAGATTTGTCGCTGGTTTGGCTCATTTGGCTGGCTGGCGTGCTGACATGCTTTATTTCACGGTCCCTCAAACTATGGCCCGTGGGCCGGATCCGGCCCGCCATGCGCATTGATCCGACCCGCCATCGAGGTTTTGGGCTCGCACGTGCATGGCGAGGCGCTGGCTTCCTCGTGCGGAGATGGTTTTCGACTTGCTTGGAGAAAAGGATCTCCTTGCAAGCAAGCTGGCGCCTCGTCGTGCACACGTATTGGACTCACTCGAGGAAACAGTCTCCGTGCGCGCCCGGCCCTGCCTTGCCGTGAGTGCGCCCCCCGCCCTGCCCTGGCCTGGCCCAGGCCCCCTGCCCACACCGCCTTGGCAGCCCACGCCCATCGCCGGCACCTTTCAACTGGCCCCCTGTTGAAAAAGTCTGAGGACCCTTGCTTTATTTATTTATTTATTTATTTATTTAAAGTTTTTATGTGCCGTCCAATACCGGAGTCTCTGGACAGCTTTAAAAAAACCATACCAACAAACAGCACACTGCATCTCACACTGCATCAAAGATAAAACCAATTAAATATTAAAATGTTGGGAAAATAAGAAGGTTTTTGCCTGACGCTGAAAAGAATAGAGCGACGGCGCCAGGCGAACCTCCCTGGGGAGCAGCTTGCAAAGTTGGGGTGCCACCACTGAAAAGGCCCTTCTCCAGGTATTCACCCTCCTAATCTCCTCCAAAGAGGGCTCCTGGAGAAGGGCCTCTGCCTCAGGTCTCAAGGGGCAGGCAGGCACATCGGAGAGGAGGCGCTCCTTCAGGTACCCAGGCCCCAAGCCGCTCAGGGCTTTGTAGGCCATCACCAGCACCTTAAATTGGGCAGCCAGTGCAGATGGTACAGGACCGGCAGGATGTGGGCATATCTGCCGGTCCCCGTTAATCACCTGGCAGATCCGGACCATCTTCAAGGGTAGCCCCTCTTAGAGCACATTGCAGTAGTCCAAACGGGAGGTTACCAGAGCACGGGGTACCATTGCCAGGCACTGCTCATCCAGGTAAGGACACAGCTGATCTATTGGCCAAAGCTGGTGGGACGTGCTCCTCGCCACTGCCAGCACCTGGTGCTCCAGGCACAGGTTTTTTGACTGTTTTCAATTAAAAAACTACTGAGCCTTCACTGTTTCTTACCACTTTGCCAGCTGCTAAATGTATGTAGAAGAATACAAATTATGCAGATAAATAAATGAGATGAAATAGATGTATTTTAGTCTGTTTGGTCAAATGCATAATTAAGGAAGACTTAAAATAATAAGAGAATAGTTAAAACAGCCATAATATTTCTGGAAATGTTATTTATGTGGCAGCCATTATCTGATGCCTTTGTATTTGAACTTCTGTTTTGTAACTACAGTTTCCTCTTGCTTGCTTGCTTGCTTGCTTGCTTGCTTTCCTTGCAATGGAAAATTTGTGCATCCAAATATTAATTAATTAATTTGTGTGTGGTCGTTTTAAAGAGACGTGGGAACCACACTTAACCCAGACAAGCTTGCTGTATGCTTGGGATAGAAAAAGAAACAAGCCATGTGGTTTGTGGCTGATGGCTGTGCTCGGCTCAAATGACCTTTTCAGGGACTTTTTCTCCTGGCAAAGTTCAGGCTGAATCCCTCTGCCTTTGAGCACGTCGCTTGACAGTCCGTCTCCTTTCATTGAAAAACTTTGCCGTAAGCAAACCCAAGTCAGCACTCATAATACGCCATCTGGGTGCACATGGTTTCTTTTCAAAAGCACACGCTGTTGCAATTTGTTTAATCTTGGAGGAGTTCAGCATCATTTAAATCCTGCTCGTAAGCACATTCTTGTTGCTGCCACAGCTCTGGATTCCCCAGCTGGCCTGAGGCTCGTTGTCGTCGTCCCTGGGAACGGGGGGAATGTGCTTTGCATGCTTTCCTGGATGCAAAGGACAGTTACTAAAATGGGGATTTGTTTCGGCAAGACCCACAGCTTGCCAAAAGAGAATGCCCTCCAGCTGCTGGTAACCTGTGTGCATTTCTGCCACGTCACGAATGTTCCCTGCACGAGTGTTCGCTCTGTGCAGAGCTACTCTTCAAAGCTGTTCAGAAACTTCAGCTGGTGCAGAAAGCCGGGCTGGGCAACTGCCTGCAGCTGGGGATCAAGCCCACGGCCCCCTCTCACAGCCCCTTCGCTGCTTTCCAAGCCAGGTCCGAGCACTGTTATGGACTGCCCGGGAGCTGAAAGGCTGCTGCCCACCTGGATTCTCAGTTTTAGTTAGTTTGCTTATTTATTTATGTATTTAGTAAAGCTTTTCTACCCCATCCACCATTAGCATCTCGGGACGACTTATGATAAACAACAAGTAGAATAAAACAAAAACCACAGCATCCGAGAATTGAAATACTAAAACCCCAGTTAGAATCAAGTAAACATTAAAATGATGGGAAAATAAGAAGGGTTTCACCTGATGCCAAAAAGAACATAATGTCAGTGCCAGGCAAATCTCTCTGGGGGCATATTCCAGAATCAGGGCGCCACCACAGAGAAGGCCCTGCTCTGGGTACTCGCCCTCCCAATCTCCTTCAAGAAGGGCTCCCAGAGCAGGGCCTCTGCCTCAGGTCTCAAGGGGCAGGCGGGCACATTGGAAAGGAGGCGCTCCTTCAGGTATCCCGGACCCAAGCCGTTCAGGGCCTTATAGGTCATCGCCAGCACCTTATATTGGGCCCAGACTTCAATTGGCAGTCAGTGTAAATGACAGAGGACTGGTGTTATATGTGAATACCTACTGGTCCCTGTTAACATCCTGGCAGCTCTATTCTGGACGAACTGAAGTATCTGGACTGTCTTCAAAGGCAGCCCCACATAGAGCGCATTACAGTAATCCAGCCGGGAAGATATCTGGTGTCTTAAGATATTTAAAATCTCTGCTTTTAAGATCTCTGATATCCAGCCCCATCCCTTCCAGAGACCCAGTGGTGAGTGGGCAGATAAGCGAGGGCTCTTTCAGTGGCTGCCCCCAGACTGGAACCCCTGGCCAAGGGGGAAGAGGGGGCTCCCCCACCCGGCCTGGCAGGCAGGCACAATTTCATTCGAGAAGGCATTTGGCATCTGAGCCAGGCTGTGGGCTGAGCTCTGTTCTGTTCTTGCTGTGTTTTCAGCTTTGCTTTTTGATGGTCATAATTATCCAATATGATCTTTTTTTTTTTACTTTTTATGATGGCTAATTGCCTTGATCTCCATTTCAGCTTAGAGCACCTTTGAGCTTATTGAGCAAGTAAGAAGTCCAAAATTAAATAAATAAAAATAAGTAAAATTTCCTTCGTAGAAAGGCAGAATAAAAAATCAGTCAAACAGTCAAAGTCCCCGTAGTTCCGCTGCTCTGGACCATGCTAATAAGCGTTGCGATGACAATGACTTCTAAACCAGGCAGTGCCAGCCCTTCTCCTCCTGTCTCCTGGTCTCTATAACAGCAAGCGCCGGAAGCCTGGTTTTTACATTTAAAATCTTTGCCACAAGTCCTGTTCCAGGTAACTAGGTTGCCGCCTTTGCTAGGCAAAACCACAGATGGACACCGCCCATCCAGCACCAACTAAGTTGGTTTCCAGTGTGGATAATATGTGAGATGTAGAACCTCCAGCATTAAGCAGTGTGTATCTTGCCACTGGTCTCCAAGTATGAGCCCCTTTTCCTTTCTGTCTCCCCTTGGCAGAATTATTTCCTGTAGGGTGTTTGTCGTTCAAGAAAATCACGCCCAACGTTGAGGAAGAGGGTGCCATGAAAGAAGATGCAGGGATGATGGACGTTCATTACAGTGAGGTGAGTTGCAGGCAGGGCTCCATCGGTGTGAAACGACAGCCATTCAAGGGCCACGTTCCACTTCCGAGATGCTTCTGGGCAGTGGCCCAGTCCGGTGCTGCTTGGACGGCTAGAGGCAAAGGGCACATGTCCAAAATTGCTAGCGGTTCTCAGCTTAAAGCTTTCTGCTGGTAACCCAGAGCTTTCAGCTTTGAGAATCAGAGAGGGGATGTGAAAAAGCCAGGAAACCACCAAGCAATTGGTGGTCAAGGAAAAGAGGAAGCCGCCATCTTGGGAGCCCTGCTGTGGGCAGCCCGCTCCCCGAGACAGGCCCGATCGAAGCCGGGTCTAGCTTGTGGCTTGGGGTTCTGCTCGACTTGCAAAGACCCCCTCCCAGGAAAGAGAGAACCAGCTCTTCCTTTCTGCAAGAGCTGCAGAGCTGCTTTTTCCTCCCTCCGATGCCTGTGATACCCTTTTTCCTGTATTGTTCTATTATCATGATACACCACGCTGAGCAGCCAGGAAATCACATGTAAATATTTTCGTATTTTAATCAAGAAACCAAGTAATGTAAAAAGTGGCTGCGGGACAGTCTAGCTTGGCAGCTCCAGTCACCATGCCGTGCTCCGCCCAGCTGCGGAACGACGGGACACCAAGCGTACCTGCCCGACAGAGCTGCGGGAGAGATCCGGTCTGCTCAGCCCCTCGCTTAACCTGCATGCTCGCCCCCCCTTCCCGCCCCCCCATTTCCTCCTTGCCTGCTTCTTCTGCCAGCTGCCTGTAGAACCTCAGTCTTGGGTCTTCTGGTGTTCCCTAGATGGACACACCCCAATGCCCAAGCGACCGATGCCTGGCTCCATGGCTTTTTCCTCTGCCCACCCGCCCATGAAATGCAGTCCCAGGAGTTTCTTTGTATTGGAATTTTGCCCCCACCCCGAAAAAAAGCAGCACCCCTGTTCCAGAGACCGAGCTGGTGTATCTCAACCAAAGTGGCTGAATGCTGTGTAGGGTAGTCAATTTAGATCCCAAGGGAATCCGTGGAGATGAAGTTTCTCACTGGTTCCTGTGGGGCCTACGAGTGATTCGCAAGGGCTGGACCCAACCCAAGGAGCCCTCTGGCCTCATCCCCCTCCTCACACTCTGCTGGGAACCAAAAGCCACGCCTGGATCGCAGTCGCTTCCCTTGTCTCTCTGATCTCCAGGAAGTCCTGGTGGAGCTGCTGGAGCAGTGCATTGACAGCTTGTGGAAAGCAGAGCGCTACGAAACCATCTCGGAGATTTCCAAGCTGATCATCCCAATCTATGAGAAACGACGTGAGTTTGAGGTAGGGATTGCTTTACCTCCAGCAGCCTGGTCCAGGCAAGGCACCTCACTTTAGGTTTGAGGATACATAGGAAGAAATGAAGCCACCTGTGTCAAAGATGGTTTACGGAACATGATGATTTATGGAGTATGGTGCGGCCAAATATGGATGCCGAATGTAAACAAGCAAAAGAGAAGCCAAAATTTCCTTCTCTGTGGCCTCATTGGTCCCCTGAGTAGGTCGGGATGCGCCGTAGGCCTCCAAAGTTGCCTGGTGAGCCAAGCATTAATTTCTGTCCTCAAGCCAAGAAGAAAAGGCAAGGCCTCGCAGCATGGATGTTGGAAAGTTCCTTTCTCGTGCGAGGGGCCGGCCTCTCTTCTTGAGAGACGCGGGGCAGGGGTGAGTGAAGCTGCTCCAGTGAGGAGAACAGTTTGTTCTCACAGCAAAAGCAGCTCTTCTCTACAGAAGGATTGGCGAAGAGCGGTGCGGGGCGGTGCTCCTCCTAACAAACCTTGGTGTGACTCCAAGGAACAGCTGCGGCTTGCGCGCAGTATTGAAAAGCCCCTCATTGCTTGTGGGGGCTTAACAACCGCCCTGCTGTTCTCGCCCAGCACATGGCGAGGATTCTGCGCAAGGAAGGTGTGGGGCCCGGCTGGCCCCTCGGGGACAGATGTGACAGATGTTGTCCCTGTCAACAATAGTGACCAAAGCCCTGCCTTCGGGGACCTATTGAGTGTGTGATGGGGCAGCATGGAAAAGTTTTAAGGAAGTAAGGAAGTAAGTGAAGGGACCGATTCGGGGAGCCTGCAAAGCGCGAATGTTGGTCTAAATCCCGACTGGCACAGCCACGCAGTTCTTCTATTACAGAAACCAAAAACTGCATCACGGTGAGCAAATGCTTGGAGTCTTGCAAAACTTGTTTTCACGCTCAGTAACGACAGCAGCGCTTCACATTTTCTTGCTTCTGTGTCAAGTGTTCAAAGCATTTCACTTGGGATTCTCTGGCTGTATTTCTTAAAACAACAAAGCCAGTCCAGTTATTATCTCTTCGACTGAAAGAGGGGTGGGCCGCTGATGGGGAGCGGCTGGCCCGTGCATGCTCGTGGCAGTGGTGACATTCACGCAAAGGACTTCCTGGCTCACGGATCGTCTGCGCAGCTTCTTTGCTGCAAAAGTGGGACAGGAAGAAAAGGTGGGGGAGCCATGCAAGCTGCGAGAGATCCCAGCTGAGGCCGCTCTCAGAACCTTTGCCAGCAGCATCTTTTTCTCCTCCTCCATGCACTGAAAAACAAAACGGGGGCTGCAAAATTCAAGCATTCTCTCACTACTTAGTAATATTCCCTGGGAGCAATTAGCAAGATTTATCTTACATGCTGAGTAGATACTGCATTCCCATTTCCTCCGGGACTAGTTCTTGTAAACAGAGCTGCAGATCTTCAAGGCAAAAGCAGAGAAAGTATTTTTGTGAAGGTGGCCGTCTGGGACTGACCAGAAACTCTGTGCATCCAACTCGGCACGTCTGGATGCAGGAGTGGGGCCTCCGATAGCTGGCGACGGCGATGCCACTCCACTGCCTGAGCCCTGGGAAAGCCGTTGCCCGTGAGAGTCGCCTGGCCTTTCCCCAGCCCGGCTCCCATCAACTGTGATGGACGACGGCCCCCCCGGCCATGCCAGCTGCGGAGGAGAGGAGTTGCAGTCTAGCATCTGCCAAGGGCACCAGGCTGGGAGAGGGACAGTGCTGTACTCGATGGATGCCAGGGCTTGAACTGGCTCCCTGCGGGTGCATGTGACGCGTTTCTGCGTTGGTTCTCCATGGATCTCCCTCGCCCGCCTCCAGGGAGGCAGGCTGCTTCGTCAAGTCACCCTGCCAAGCGTCTCGTCTTCCCTGCAAGCAGCAGCCAATGAAACAAAGGAAGCGTGGGGAAGGGCGGTTGTCGGGGGCCTTCTTCTTGAACGTGAGCAGGGAAAGGTGGGTTGAACGCTGCCATGCGCTCCCCAACAGCTGGCGAGGCCCTTCAGAAGAACACAAGAAACGCCACGCTGGATCAGACCCAAGGTCTGGTTGGTCCAGCTCTCCGCACACACGGTGGCAAACCGGCTGCCCACGGGACCCCTCCGGCAGGATGGGGGCAAGGCCTCCTCCTGCCCAGCTCCTCGGCGGCCGTCGCGTGCAGGCATGCCCCTCTGGCAAAGGAGGTAGCCCCTAGCCAGCAAGGCTAGTGGCCCCTGAGACCCTCCCTGCTCATGAATCTGTCCAATCCCCTTGGAAAGCCCTCCAGATTGGCCACCGCCGCCACCTCCCGTGGCCTGGAGAAGGAAGCGGGACCTGAAGCAGAGCTGTGGTGCTGCATCCGGATGCGACCTAGGAAGGGATGGACGTGAGCATCCCCTCCCGGGTGTCCAAACGCATAACTGCACCTTGGTGCCGTCCCTGGGGCTGCAGAGTGCATTCTCTGGAATTTGCAACGCACTGCGATTTGCCCAAGGGGGTGCTCGTAGCACCCCACCTGCCGCTCCTGGGGCAGGGGCAGCTCTGCCTTGAGGCCCAAAGACATTCGGACTTCTCAGAAGTAAATCCATCACGCGGAAGCATTACCTGGAGCAATATTCATCATCCCCTCCAAAGGAAGCCAGAACGGGTCCTGGTCTTTGGAAGAGTTCAGCCTCCCCTTGCAGAATGTAATTCTCCCTCCCTCCCTCTCTCTCTCTCTCTCTCTCTCTCGTTTTGTCTTCAGAAACTTACCCAGCTGTACAGAACACTCCACGGGGCTTACACAAAAATCCTGGAGGTGATGCAGACCAAAAGGAGGCTGCTGGGCACTTACTTCCGGGTTGCATTTTACGGACAGGTAATGGTTCAGCCTTGCCTGTGGGGCAGGTGTCCTCTTGCAAGGGGAGTCACCTGGAGAAGCCAAACTCTGGGGCAGGGCTTGCGGATTGCTCCTATTTCTCTGGGCTTCATGTCACAGCACTGGCCGATATGGCTGGACTTAGGTGGTACGGCATGTGGGTCTTGTGGGAAACAGAAAGCTTGTGCCTGGACAGTTCAGATTTGCATTGATAAGCACCGTCTTCTGTCCCTTTGTTAAATGATGCTGTTTCACAGCATTTCCGCTTTTGGGGTCCCTTTGCATAATTTGTTCTAGTTGTCAGGATGGGCAGAAAGTTAAATCCTTTCCCGCCCGCTGGAAATCTGCTCCTGCACTCCCCAGGCTTCTATAATCCGAGGAGACCTGGGGCCAGTTTGCCGAGCACAGTGCTCCATCAGAGGCTAATGTACCTGCAAAGTGCCTGTGAGGTGTGCAGCAGTGAGGACTCTGCAAGCCACAGCCGGGATGGCCCCCCCACGGCTTGTTGTCCTTTGCATAACCCTAAAACAGACCGTGGGTTATGCAAGGGTGGTTTGACCCTCAAATAACCCTCACCGGCTGGGTTCACACGACATGACAAGCCATGCTGGCAGACACCACATTTCCTTGCAGATAAATTAACCCATGATGGGCCATTGCGTCATGCGAACCAGGTCATTGGCCGCACACTTCTGCGCATGGCCTGAGAGCCATGAGGACTAGAAAGGTTTCTTTTAAAATGAAGGGAGATTCCTGGGGTGTGAGATGCCGCACCCAGCACTGCATCCAGGGCTTCTCCAGTGGAATTGGATCAAGCCCACAGCTTGGAGCACAGGCTGCATGCATCCTGCTGCCCCACTGTTTTCCAGGCCCTATCAGAGCAAGTAATTTCTGGTGCATTTCTGATCGACACCTAGGCTTTCTTTGAAGAAGAGGATGGCAAGGAGTACATCTACAAGGAACCCAAGTTGACAGGCCTGTCGGAGATTTCTTTGCGGCTGCTGAAGCTTTACGGGGAGAAATTTGGAGCCGACAACGTTAAAATCATCCAGGATTCCGATAAGGTGACCCCAAAATGCACACCCATTCTTAGCAACCCCTCCACACACAGCGGGCATTTCAGAAAGCAAAGGCGATTCTGCTCATGTGAGCAGCCCTTTATTTGTTTAAGGTATTTTTGTCCTGCTCCTATGATGCAAAGCCTCTTGGAACCATTTACATATCAGTAGTCCTGTCCCACAGGCTAGGGCTAGCAATGGTATTTCTTCATGGGCTTGTTTTATGCCCCTGGAGGCAATGAACACCTGTAGGCTGATTATAATAATGATAAAAATGTAAGCCGCCCCGAGGTTGATGTAAGCCGCCCCAAGGCTTCGGCGAATGGGGCGGCATAAAAATGTTTTATTAAATAAAAAAATAAAAATACCAGTCCTATCAACGTCGTAAAATGATCCAACATGTTTGCACAGAGTTGAGTCACACAATCGCATTGCAGGAACCAGAATAATAAACGACGCTGCCAGGACTTTGATAACGAAGCACGCGGCCAGGTTTGGTGTGGTGTCTCGGAGCACTGGGCTGGAACTGCGGAAATCCGGGCTCGTGCCCCGCTCAGCCCTGGAACGGGCGGCTCCAGGCCAGGCCCTGCCTCCAGCGCTGTTGTTGCGAGGATTCAGGGGAGCCCGTAAGGGGCTTTGGCTTCCTTGCGAAAGGAAGCACGGGCAGGGTATAAACGCCGCGTCATAATGACGACGACTCTGGAACCATTTAAGCACCGAGGAAAGTCTTTGCCTGACAGCAGGGGGACACCAAGGGCGTTCCCCTGGGATACCCCTCCAAACGGGGGGGCCAGTCCCGAGAAGGCCCTTCCTGCGCGCCTCCAAATGCCCCTGGGGAAGGGCTTCTCTGTGGCAGCCTATGAAGACTGAGAACAGGGAGGGGAGAGAGCAAACATACTTTCTGGCAGGAGAAACAGTGGAGAAAGGGGTCGCATGCCAAGGGGGTGGGGGGGTCACGTGCCACGCTCTGTGTTGTCGGGCAGGAAGAGGACTTGTGCAGGGCCAGAGAGGTCCGGCCAGAAAGTGTGAGTCAGGAGCTCTTGGCCCGGCAGAATTTATGTCGTGCTCCCAGCCAGCTGGAAGGCTCGGCTACCAGAAGGGAGTCCCAGCCAGCCAGGGACCTCTTCCAGTAACGGGGATGCAGGGAGCTCTTCTGGACCAGCCAAGCTGAGTCACCTGCCCCTTGAGCTAGCAGCTGCTCAGGCCAAGGTCTGAAAGCCGCCCGGACCACTTTCTGTGGATGAATCTGTTGAAGATTTGAGGCCTGTTTCCAAAAAACCCAGTAAGGAGCAATGCAGGCAAAGGCAGCAGGAGACAGGAAACCAGTCCTAAGGCGATCACCAGATATGTCAAAGCTGTATTTAAGAGGCTCTTCACGGCCGCTTGGAATGTGCTGGGTCCTTCTGAGCTAGCGGAACAGGGCACTGAGTCTTAGCAGGGGGGAGCTGGCATGCTAGGGCGGGAAGGCTGCCACCAGCTCCGCTTTGGTTGCGGGGCACCTGGGCTAGAGCTTCGCCGGATGCCTGCCACGCCTGGGCAGACCGTGCGGTTCCTCACTCCAGCACAGAGACCTCTCCCTGGGGTCCAGGCCTGGGCCCGTCCCCTCCTTTCCAGCTAGCAACTTCATGTCTCCCTCCAGGTGAATGCCAAAGACCTGGATCCCAAATACGCCTGCATCCAGGTGACTTACCTGAAGCCCTTTTTTGATGAGAAAGAGCTCTCCGAGAGGAAGACCGATTTTGAGAAGAGCCACAACATCAGCCGATTTGTGTTTGAGACGCCGTACACTTTGTCGGGGAAAAAACATGGGAGCGTGGAAGAGCAGTGCAAGAGACGGACAATCCTCACCAGTGAGTTTTCCTCCTGCACAACCAGGGTGTTGGAGGGGAGACGACAGGGGAAGGCTGACCACGTCTGCTGGCAAACCCCGCTGTGAAGCCGCAGCAGCTCAGCCGCTGGCATTGAGGAACTGAAAGTGGGCAGAGTGGCCGGTAGGCAAGGGGGGAAGTGCTACAGGAGAACAAAAGGATGTCCGGTCGTGTCCACGGGCCCTTCCTTTGGACGCCATAAATTTTGCACGAGCTGTCATTCACACAGCAGTTGCCGCAAAGTGGAACTGCTCTCTGGCTAAAGAGTCTTAGTGGACTTGATGCTGGAAGACACGCTACCTAAATCTTAGTCGTAAGGCGAGCTGATCCAAAGGCTGCAACACTGCACAACACAAATGCTGTGTCCACCGGTATTAATTTAGCATGATTGATGCCCTGATTCTAGGCTGAGGGCCTAGATCTTTGTTTTAATGGCCTCCGGGCTGGACGACTGCCGTGGACGACTGGTGGCGATGCTTTGTACCAACTCCGCAAGGAGAGTTAAGTTGGTGCGACGCATGATCTCCAGAAGGTTTCCTGAGGCTGGCCAATTTATACAACTTCAGTCCTGGCTCACCTGCACTGCGCATATATTCATTTTCGGAGCCGGTTCCAATGGATGTGTCTTACCTGGAAGCCTCGAGCAGGTGGGAGGGACCTGAGCCCTGCGGGCTCCCTTGGGTGCCCTCCATTCCTGGTGGGCGGGAGCGCTGGGTGATGGGGCATCTCTCAAAGGAGGCTCTGTGACCCGGCCATTCTGTGTGGCTGTCCTTTGGTGAGGACTCGCCCATGGCTCTCTGAAGAGGCCCTCCAAGATGGGCTGCATCCAAGGCTGTTGTTTCTTTACTCCTCGCAAGACTGGGAAAGTTGCTTTTCCTCTGTGTAATTGTAATGTTTCACTTCATTTAGATGTTGGTTATTAAAATACTCTTGGCTGCTTCAAAAGTATTTGCTCAGCATGAGCAAAGTGGGATTAAAATAGGTTTTCGGGAATTCAGGCACAAATTGGAACCATATGGGGCCAAGTCCAGGCCCACCTTTCAGAGGCACGGGACACGCTCACGCACGGGGCCCTGTCCGCGGGCCTCCTCTTGGGCTGGCCACGAGTCCTGTTTGCGCTCTCCTTCCAGCATCCAACTCTTTCCCGTACGTCAAGAAGAGGATTCCGGTCAGTTGCGAGCAGCAGATAAACCTGAAGCCAATTGACGTCGCAACCGACGAGATCAAGGCGAAGGCGGCCGAACTGCTGCAGCTCTGCGCCTGCCCGGATGTGGACATGATCCAGCTGCAGCTGAAGCTGCAGGGCTCCGTCTCGGTCCACGTGAGTGGCTCACGGCTGTCCCGGCAGCTCGGTCAGAGGCATATTTGCTTTCTGGAAATCATTAACTGCTTCTCAGAAGGCGGCAGATGAGCCTCCTGATCCTGCCCAGTGCTCTTTGTCGCCAGCGGCCATCTCTCGGTCACGGGTGATCCCCACTGTGCTCTTAACTCTTATTCTCAGTTGAGATAGAGCCTCAAGATGGGTGATTACATCGCCCTCCCTTCCGTTTTTGTTGCCCTATCTATAATTTGAAATATCTGTGAGCAGTTGACCAGGAAATTAAAACACAGTTAAAATGTGGAATTATTACAAACAGAGAGCTATGAAACACAAACAAGAACTTAAAGCCAGTAGGCAGTGGCAGTTCAGCCAGGGAAGGCCCCCACCAAGAAGCGGATCTGTCCGTGTGCATAGCGCGTGCTCCAGTTGCTGCCTCCCAAATCCCAGGGGAAAACATTCCCTAAATTGGGTGCCATCCCCGGGAAGACCCGCTTCCCAGTTGCTGTGAGAGATGCAGCCTGCCGGCGGATTCCAAGCCTTCTGCGGAATCGGGCACTTCTTCGCATAACGTACAGCTAACGTGTGAGATTTGCTGCCCTGAGCCGTTCTGGGGAGCCAGTGAGGCCGTGAGGGATGGATCCGGGCACTGTAACAGCTGAAGCTGCCAGGGAAGAAGGCTGCCAAACGCCGGTTGCTGGGCAGCCGGCGCAGCTGCTGGGGTTGTGCCCACTGCTTGTGGCTTCCCCAGGGTCTGCCTGGCCACAGGTGGAGCAAAGAGTTGGGCTGGACTGGCCCTGTTCCTCTTCTCGGGCAAGTGTAGGGGTGGCCCATGCCCCCCACGTCCAACGTCCCAGGCTGGCTGCCAGCACGGGAAAGACCGAACTGCTGTGTCACTTTCCTCAGGTCAATGCCGGCCCGCTGGCCTACGCACGGGCCTTCCTGGTTGACAAGCACTCCAGCAAATATCCGGCCAAGAAGGTGACTGAATTGAAGGACGTGTTCAGGTAGGGAGGCTCTGTCTGTGGCCAGCTGTGCTTCCGTCCCGCTTCCGTCTGGGCTGGGGCGCAGGCGGGCACAGGCGGGATGCAGGGGCTTCCCCGCCGGCCTCTCGTGATGCAGCCCAGGCTGGCTCCCCTCCCAGGCACGCGCAGGCCGTGCTGTGGGCACGCATGCCGTGGCCCTTTCCGTGGCCCTCGCCACAGTCTTCCTCCTCTGCTGCCCGGCTGGGGCACTGCCAGTCCTGGATCTGTGCAAGCCCAACCCTGGATCGGTTTTCCTGGGCCATGGGCGCCAGCAGGGGGTGGCTTTCCCCCTCCCTCTGCTTTACTGCCCTATGCAGAGCAATGTTCAAGGGTTAACTGGGGAGCAAAGGGTTAACTGTCCCTTCGTGTCGGCTGCAGCACAACTCATACCCAGGCACACACGCTGCACTCCCAATCTTTCTCAGTTGGTTTGAGATGATTTGGGGCAAGGTGCCAACCAACTGAAAGATTCCTTTGATTCAAATTTTTAGGATGGGAATACCTGGCTGGCTTTGCCTCTTGAGAAATTTAAGTAAATTCCAGTGACGATTTCCACATTCGCACATACAGTTATGACATGACGTATGTAGATTATCTGCAGGTTCCTCACTTTCAGGCCCAAGCTTGTATCTTGCGAGTGCTGAGCAGAACCCCTGCCCCACCCCGAATTCCTTTCCCAGCCTGGAGATTGGCCAAAATGCACCCGCTGGCTCTGGGGCCTTCCTGCTTCCCTGATTTGGGGGGGAACACGGGAGTGTGCCAGGCTTGGGCTTTGGGGCTTCTCCACGTGAGGTATTTATTTTGCACTCATGAGCCCTGGTTCGTGACGTTTGCAGGGTCTTTTTGAAATGCCTTTGTTTTAGGGTGTTGTTGTCGTCATTGTTGTGCTGGAGCAAGACAAAACAAAGTACTAAAATTCAAGTGGCGGCAAACTGGAGCAACGCCTGGGAAAAGCTGCCACTCCCCTACGGTGCAGCTGCGCCGTGGCACCGACTTGGGCTTGACTAGCAGAACATGGAGGCAGGCGGGGCGGCAGACCCTGGGGGGAAACAACAAACCCCGTTCCGGGGCGCGTTTTTCCTCCTGCACAAAGATGGGAGCAGCAGTGCAGGAACCCGCTGGGAAATAAGTGCTGGATGCGAGTCCTGCAAAGGGGAGCCAGTTCGCCCCGTAGTCCAGGGCACTGTGCAATCGAATCGTAGACTCACGCAGCCCAGAAGCACCTTCGGCATTGCGACCCTCAAGCCCAAGGCTTTTCATCTCTCACCAGGAAGTTTGTTCAGGCCTGTGGAATTGCCCTGGAGTTCAACGAGCGGCTGATCAAGGAGGATCAAGTCGAATATCATGAAGAACTGAAGTCCAACTTCAGGGACATGGTGAAAGATCTGTCGGAGATCATACACGAACAGGTAGGAGCTGAAGGCACAGCCTGAGGGAGCCCTCCAGGTGTTTCCAAGGCTGCTGGTGCGTCCCTCCGTGCTGCACAGATGTGTCTGCCACCCCTGTAGTGTTGCACGGAGGTGCTCGGGGGGGGCCCTCTGCTTCAAGGCGCTCTCCTTGCGAAGAGGCAGCGGGGGCAGCAGGGGAGGGGGCGTGCCAGGGCTGTGGCGGCCGCCCAAAGGGGCCGGGGGGGGCGGGCACCGGCCCCCAGTGGCTGCCGAAGGAGCAGGAGTGTTTCGGCAGGCGGATCCTCTGCCACGGATGGAGCGGCGGGCAGGGCCGGGCCGGGCTGTGAAAAGGGTAGGAGCACGGCCTCCTCTGTGCCTGATCCCTGGCACTTGGGACCGGTGTGCCCGGAGAGGAGGAGTGCTCCGCAGGCCTTCCTGGGCCGGCCGGCCGCTGTCGGGGGCTGTGGCGTGCGGGCAGCACTGCTGGAGGAGAACTGCCGCGGAGCGTGTCCTCTGCCCCTCTGCTGGTCTGCCGTGGCGTCACTTAGGGCTGTTCTGGGGCAGGGAGGGGGTGCCAGGCCCCAGGGGTCGAGAGCAATGGCACTGCACTGCCCGGGTGGCCGTTGAGGCCTTGGAACAGCCCTCCGCAGTCCCACCGCCCGTGCCAAACTGGGAGTGGAAGGTCCTGCCAGAGGGCCTGGCTCAGCTGCCGGACCATCACGCTGGGTTCCCGCGCTGGCTGACAGCGGAGTGCTTGCAGTCCTCCAGGAAGAGTCGGAAAAAGACTTCGCTAGCCGGTAGCCGCATGCAGCGCTCAAGTGGGGACGGGCTGGAGAGCAGAGGCGGGGCCCGGGGCGGGCGAGTCCGGCCCCTGCCTGGTGCCGAGCGTCCAGGCTGTTCAAGACTTGAAACCCGCCTTGCTGCCGTCGGTCTGTCTGTCTGGCTGGCTGTCAGTCTGTCTCACCTCCCAGCTTTCAAGGTAGCTTACAAAGAAAACCCAGGCAGTGTCCCTCGCTGTCTCCACGTTCCCAGACCTCCCGTTCCCACCCTCTTTGATCCCAGGGGAGCTCCCGTTTGCATTCAGGCATAGGTTCAGTTCATTTCATGTATCACATTTGTATGCTGCTGCCCCTCCCCGCTGGGCTCTCTGGGTGGCTTACGATAGAACAAAAATACATATTCCATAAAAATGCAGTAATACATTGGAGCAACACAATCAGGCCATACCATACAATATTTAACTCTAAGCAATGCCAAATCAAAACAAACCTTAATGCAATCATATAATACATAGTGCAATGAATAATAGCAGTAATAATAAGACGGTGCTATACTGGCCCCACAGACAAAGCCCAGTTGCCCATCCGTACAGTTAAAGAGACTCCCTGACATGTGGAGGGGGACAGGCGAGTCCCAGGTCGCTCCCTGCACAGGGGGGCTGCCAGAAGTCAGTTGGGACAGGCCGCCCTGCCGCTCTCCAGACCGCCTTTCAAACGAGCCCCTCCCCACACACGCCAGCACCCTTTCCAAGCTGTTCTGGGAAGATGCAGCTGCTCCGATCTGCCCTGTGCCAGGAGTTAGGGAAGAAAAGAAGATACCGGAGACTCGGGTGCCAAGGGTAACTAGAGGGTGAATTCTGGCCCTGGAAAATATCAAGAAACAGAACAAGTTAACAATGTTTGTCCAAAAGAGCCACCGAAATTAAGAGTAATTAAACAGAAGCCATCTGTTGAATGGGTGCTGTGCAGGCCACATTTCCTTATGTACAGATGCCATGCCTGACCCCAAGGAAACTTCTTTAAAATAGTCTAAAGCATGCTGCTAGTCCTCATGGATGCAAGAAGTTGCTTGGAAATGTGTGGCAGGGTCCATTTAAAACCTTCACACCAAAAGGACCTGCTTTTGTTGCTTCTGGCATTCCAGGGCCATTCAGACTTTGCTCAGCTGTTGAAAGTGGCTCTTCCTCTCCACTCCCTTAATGCTATCCACTCCTTTCCTCTCCCAGGCAGCTTTATAACCACAGCCTATTCCAAAACTACAGTCTCCAGATTCTGTAGAAGCTTGAATTTTGCATCTGTGATCATTTAGGGGATCTGTGCAGAGTCCCAACTCTAAGCCGTGCTTGCAAAAGAGAAACTGGGCCAGAAGCGTGTTCTGGGAGACGCACGAGCTGTTTTGGACCTCGCCCATTTCAGCCAGCCAAGGAGCGAACGAACGCCCTGTGGGGGATAGCCGTGCAGAGGAGGCAACAAGGGCGGACACAGGCTTTGTGGGCTCGGCCCCGTCCGCTGCTCCCGACGCAGGCAGGACTGGCTCGAGGCTGCAGGACTAGAGCCTTTCCGCAGTTCTTGGTTTTCAAGACAGTCCTGCAGATGTGCTGCTGGACTGATGGAAGCGCAGCCTGGCATGTCTGGTAGAGGAAAGCTGCTGCATTCTGTTTCTTGCAACTAATTCTTACCAAAAACAATATGCACACAAGGCCTGATGAGAGTCGTCTCTGCTTGCGGATTGTGGCCCGCGGCCTGCCGGTGCTTGGAGGAAGGCGCCTTCTAGGAAATGAAGCAGCACTTTTCCTCCCCATGAGCCACAGCTGCTTAGGAAACGCATTCCCTTGCACAGCCCTTCTCTCCAAGAGCCGGCGGGGTCCAGTGGGCAGCGCAAGGGTGCCAACTCTAGCCAAGCCTGGGAGCTAACCCCAGCCGGGGTGGGGGTCCACACCTGCCCCCTGGGGCTCCCTGGACGGCTGTGCCCTCCCCCTCGCTGCTGGTCATGTGGAGCATTCCCAGCTCTCCATTCCAAAGGGTCCAAATGCCTCTCCAAAGGATCACTGAGGGAATTGAGCTCAGCTCGGCCAGCCTTGGGGCCGCTTGTCTCCATTTCGTTCTGCCCTCTGGCTGGAAAGCTATCCCTCAACCGAGGCCCCAGGTCTGTACTCGGAGAAAAACTTAATGAACTACTGGGTTGCTAACTATTGCATCAATAAGAGCAGCCGTGTCAGCGGAAGAGCACACATTGCCGAAAACGCAACCTTGCCAGTTTCCAGTGAGACCTCGCAGTGCTCCAGGTTGTACTCCCGGCACGCACGGTAAAGTGCTGAGCTGCACCATCCCGCACGGAGCCCTTCCGGGAAGCAGAACACCACAAATCCCACCGGGAGCTCTGATTAATCAGGGAGACTTCAGGGGAAGCGTTCTGCTTGCGGGGAGCACACAAGGCTAGCGCAAGTCCCCGGGACAGCAAGGCCTCCCTCGTTCCGCTCGTAATAACAATAGGAATGGCTCAGGGGTTTATCGGTCGGCAGAGGAGTTGAGCCACCCACTCCCCACACAGAGGAAAAACTTAATTTAGCAGACCTCGTTCACCCAGTTTTACCTGGATCCGTTTTGCATTTTAAATCCAGAGCTGCTTCAAACTAAGGAGAGGCAGGCAGGGGGGCTGAGGGGCTGTGCCGAGGGCCCCTTCGGTTTCTCATGCCATCCAAGCAGCAAGCATGGTCGGGAAGGGGCAAAGGAACGGACTCCCCCCTCAGACCTCTGAGCTTTCCACCAGGCACTCCGGGCGCTGCGCCCTGGCAAAAAGTGTCGCGACTACTCCAAGGAGACACATCGGCCGGCCTGCCCCACCTTCGCGATACAAGGCGGAGAGTGATGCAGACTCTGGGCAGCAGGCGCAGCCTGGGTGGGAGCCTTTGGCCCGCGGTCTCACCAGGAAGCGGCAAGTCTGAACGGTCCGAGTAAGCCTGGCCCGAGGTTTGCCCCCAGATTGGCCCTCCCCACAAAGGGTGAGGCAGAGTCTTGCAGCAACCTGAAGATAACCTTGGGGAAGTTCCTCCCGGGTGCAAGAGGAGAGGAGGAGAGGGCAGAGGGAAAGGCTTTGCTAGGTAGAATGTGCCAAGCGCTTGGCCAGCAGACCCGATGAACGTCTTCCGACTTATTTTCAGAGCTGTGGGCAAGGCACTGAGGGTGCCGTCGCCGCCGAATAACCTCTCTCTCCCATTCTCTTTCTGTGTTCTTTTTTCTAATGCTGCCTTTGCCGTGCCAGCTTTGAAGACAAGGTTGGACAACACTGCACTGTTTCCCTTTTGTGTTGTTAAAATTGTTTTCCCAGTGAGAACCAGAGAAGGCTTTGCTAACTGGCTTTTGTTTTTAGATATACCAAGAAGACACCATGCATCCCTCATCCATGTACAACTCGCTGCATGTCTTCTGTGCCATAAGTGGAACTTCAGGAGAAGCATGTGGCACTTTCAGGCACGCTACTGACTTTTGAAGAGTGCGCGGCCCACCGCCCGGCACTTTGCAGGAGTTTCTCAGGAATGCTCAGAGCGTTGCCTGAAAGACAGTAATCCCTGGGCACGTGCCCAGAAATGCAACTCAGTGTTATCTTGCTCCGGCGCAGAATCAACGAGCTTCCAGGCAGACGGTGGGCAAATGATCCAGGAGTGTGCTTCCTTGCCTCCTTTTCGTGTCTGTGTTTGTTTTCGTTTCTAGTATCTACACGACACCAACAGCATTTACCAAACCGCATTGTATGGAAAGCGAACCTGCGAATGGTACTGTGTAAAATTGTATCATGGAATGTAATAAAAAGAACGGTTGTTTTGTAAAGAAGCAGGTGCACCAAGGACAGGAACCGCCAGGCCCGGCCCTCGCTTTGGTTGGCGCCGGACCAGAGGGGAGAGCTGGTTTTCTTATCTTTCACACATACCAGCTTCGGGCCGCCTTCATCCTCCCCAGAGGCAGGCATGTGGTCGTTGCTTGGAGCAGTGCGGCGAGGAGACTTCCGGGCTGTTTGCTGCTGCGGCGAGACCTGCTGCAGGCGGAGACAGGCATCCCAAAGCAGTGACAGTGCATTCCCTCTCGCACGGGCTCTGAAACGCACCGCCCCTCCGTCCCCTGGCAGCCACCTGCCCCGATGCCAGCCAAGGGCAAGACCCCCTAACAGCTGCCCCCACGCCCTGCCTCCAGGCTTCTCGTGACCATCTGGCTGGACACAGCGAGAAACCCCGCCATGGGCTAGAGAACCCCCTGCCCTGATCAGGAAGGCGCTTCGGAGGTTCTCGGAAAGCTGTGTCCCAGACACGAAAGCAAAGGCAGCTGCTGAAGAGAGCACGGGGCTTGGCAGGTCCTGAGGGCGAGAGGCAGGAAATATGTCCAGACACTCCAGATTTGGTTCAGCCGCACAGAGCAAAGAAGAGACTCCGTCCCAGGCAGCCACCTCTTAACCGGTCGCTCGCCTCCCTCCTCCTCACATCAGGAAGCCGCAGCCGCAGCCTGGCAGGAGATTTCCCGCATCCCCAGCCAGAGACCTGGAGTCCAGCTGCCCCCAGAAGCCCCCACCCCACCCCGTGTGCAGCCCCCCCCCCGGCTCTCTTCCTGCTGCGGCCCCTTGCAGTGGAGGGCGGGGTGGCAGAGGAGGGGCTGCCCTGTTTGGGCACGGGAAAAGCATCGAAGGCCTTCCCCTGCCTCCCTTCCAGCACTGCCGCCTGGGCAGATGGACGGCCGTTCTCTCTGGCTGCACGTCAGGAGGGGCCTTCCCAGCCTTGGTGCTCCCCAGAAACTCCCAAGCAGAGATGCTAAGCCTCAGGCTGAGCCTGGGCAGGCTGCCTCTGAAGTGTTCGCTCTGCTGCGTTTAGCAAACCTAATTTATTTATTCAACTGGCGCCGCTTGCAGTGCTCCAGGGCTGGGAGGGATTTGAGTCTGGGAAGAACGCAGGAAGCCACCCTCTCTGGAATCGTGGGCTTTTCCTGGTCTCCGCAGAACGAAGCATGCACCCAAAGAGGGGCATCCCTTTCCTCCACCTCTCTGGGCCCCCCGCCCTCTTCCCACCGTTCCACTCCGCCTGGAGCCGTTACAGTTACCACCGCCCTTGTGTCGGGGATCAGGGCCCACCCAGCCTCCGACCCAAGTCACCCTTGGCTTCTCTGCCCCTTCCAGAGGCAACGGCAGTCCTTGGCACGGGCGAGGATGGGCCCTGCAGAACAGCTGCATCCTCTCTCCAAAGGTCCCCGGAATGGCAGGACGGTGTTGGCGCGTGTGTGCGCGCGCGCGCTCACACACACACACACACACACACGTGCGCATGCCTTGGCTCCACAAGGGCAGGGATGCCACCTCCCTCCCAGGGCAGGCAGGTAAGTGTTCCTTTGGGAGAAGCAGAGGCCAGAAAGGAAGGGCCACTTGTGCTGCCCTCCCCGCGTCAGTCCTCCTCGGGCTTATGCAGCAGCAAGCTCCACATGGCACATGCCCCAGGTGAGTGATCTCCTGGATGCAGGTGCCGGTCGGTCGGGGGGGCAGTTTCCTCTGCTGCCCCCCTCCCGCTGCCCATCACAGCAGTGCTGAGAAACGTCCTTGGCCTGGAAATGGCCACGGGGGCCTTTGATCGGGGGGGGGTATTTCCTCACCCTGCCATGGCTGACCCCGACTGGACGCTGCCCTCTTCATGGGGAGCCTCACCAGGGGGGTTTCTTGTTTAGAACACATGCATTTCTGGGCCTGAAGAGTTGCACTAGCTGCCCCCTCCCTCAGCCGCCCATCCTCTCAGGGGCTCTTGGCACGCCCTGGCAGCTGGACCCAGAGGCTCGGGTGTGGGACAGAGCCCAGCACTGTGCTTAGAAGCGGAGGTGTGTGCATTCCTACGGCTGGCGCTGGGTTGCTGAAGACATTTAGTGAGACTTCTTTGGGCTCAAGGGACAGTTGCTGTTCCCAGCCTTGCAGAACCTTGGGCCAAATCTCTGAGATCTCCCCCGCAGCCGCCCCTGATGCTGCAGGCTCAGAATGCGGCCTCCCCGGCGCCCGAGTGCCCCTGGCCAAACGGCTGGTTGAATGCGTCTCCAGGTTTTCTCGCTGGCGCCTCTTGGCACCTCAGCCCCCCCGCTCCCCACTCCACCTGCAGCTGCCCCTAAGCTGACGTCCTAGTCCACCTCAACTTCCCTGAGAAGAAGCCTGCTCACTGGCTTCCAGGATGCCTCTTCGCTGAGGATGCACCCGGGATGAGACTGGGGCAAAGCCAGGCTTGCTCAGACTGCGGAGGCAGGGCTGCCGGCTTGAACTGGGGGTGGGGGGGGCATCCAGCCCCCAGGCGGGCACTGTAAGGCGCTCGGTTGCTTTCTACCTTCTAACCAGCTGCCGCTGGGGACGTGGGTGGAAGCCAGCCTGCGGGCACGCTAAGTACGTTGCTGGGAAACGACATCCTCTCCAGCCTCTGCCGTCCTGCAGATGTGTGACCTTGCACTGCCTTTGCTCAACATCATGGTTCTGACCCTGAGCGACTTCCGGCCTCTCCGTCCTGGCCGGGGCTGCGCATGGGTGCCTGACCTCTCTGCCTGTCTGCAAAATCTCTTCATCATTAATTGAATGACCTTGTGACTGTCTGCAGCAGAATTATTCTGAGACTAACTCATCTGCCTCGGCAATTCGGTTTGCTGCTTTCCTGGCTAAACAGCCGTCTTATAATACAGGTCTGGGCAATTCTCAAAGTTGCTTCTCTGTGGCATGTGTTCTACAAACTCAGGAACGTGCAAAAATGCAGGTCTTCCTGTATGGGAATAGTGACCTTTGATGGTTATCAAACGTCAAGATCCATTTGAAGTGATATTTCAAAAGGGTTAAAAATGGGACAGGAAAGTGTGTAGGTTTACAGAATCCGTTTATGAGCATCCGAGAAGCAGGTTGCTCATTTAAAAGTGTGTGTGCGTCAGGAAATACCACAGACTGTTCCAGTGTAAAATTTATCCATACTTATGTCCCCAAAAGGGGCAACTGCTACTAGGGTGGATTTAAGACTAGATTTGAATCCTGGTTTTCTCCATAATTTGCATGCATGCCTGCTTTACCTGTAGGCAGAGGAACTTCATTAAAACGTTTCCAAACTGCATCTCTTTTATGGCCTGCTGCCATTACAGGGTTTCTCCTCCAAGGAAAGAATAATATGACAAACCACAGGCTATGCACAAAAAAGATCCAAAGTCCTGGGTAGTACAATGGTGCCTCGTACTCCGAATTCCTTTCAGGAGGCTGTCCAAGCTCTGAATCATTCAAAGTCCAAATCAGCTTTCCCCATTAGAAATAATGGAAAGTGAATTAATCCATTCCCAGATCCTAAACAATGCCCATTTTGATAAATTTAAACTACAAATATGCATATCTTAAAGCAGTGCTTTTTTTGTAAAAAAAAAAAAAAGGTGCCGGAACTCATGTCGCTGCCGGCAGTAAGCACTCAGCGCGCGACCACACACACCAATCCCAAGCCGAGCAGCGTCCCAAGCCGGGCGGCGCGGGCACAGAAGCAGCCCGCAGGCACTATGTTAATGACGTTTGCTGCTGACCTGCTACGCCGACAGGCAATTCAAAATCACTTCGTAAAATCCATTGGAAAAAAGGTGCCGGAACGCCATTCCGGTGCGTTCAATGACAAAAAAAGTCCTGTCTTAAAGTAAGAATAACACGATTACATGCCAAAATTATTGATTAAAACTCAAAAACAATTAAATAAATACATAAATACGCACTGTATAATAAAATGTGAATTGGTTTACTCTGCTGCACGAGTGTCGTGCACGGGATGTTCCCAGCGAGAGGGACTGGGGCGCACAGCAGAAGGGTATCTACGCCGAGGCTGCATTTTTTCACTGCGTGTGCGGTGCAAACATGGAAGCATTGTTCAGACTTGGGCGGGTTTTTATCTCGACTTCAGCATTCAAACTCTGGATCATTCAAAGTTAGAGTCGTTCAAACTACAAGGTGCCACTGTATTTTGCTCTGAAAGTTTCGTTTTCATGTTTGCTGCTTGCTGTCCTCAGACACATTTCTCCTGCAGATCTGTTCTGCTCCCAATAATCTTCTTCTATCCATCATATTTTCTGAAGCTTAGCACTTAAGAGGGAAGGGGTTGATTCTGTGTACACAGAAGATTTGCAAAGGAACAATGCGATTAAGATCTTTTGCTCAACTCAGTATGTTTATTTTATAACATTTTTTGCTGTGAAGAAGCAGCATGTGATCTCTGCAGACACACATTTTGTTTTGAGAACTGTAAAACCAAGTAACTGACATAATATCTTCTAGACGGAAAAATTGCCCGATAATCTTACAGAAACCTCTGGAAGAGCACAACTTTGTGAACAGTTTAATGGAATGCAGTTACAAAAAAATTTAACATTGCACGAATATGCAGCCTCATGCCACATAATTAAAAACTAATCCTTATTTCATGATGAATAACCTTTGGAATATAATGTATCTTTAAAAGAGAACTATCTTTAGATAGATTTTCCCTCAAAAAGCATTTTATTTAAAAAAATCCAATTTAAATATAAAAACCTGTTTTAAATTAAAAACTAATTTAAATAAAAAATCTGTTGTTTTTTTTAATGAAAAAAGCATACCCACCGTGACTACTAGGTATTCCCAGATCATATGCTCAAATGCCAAGGAGTTGATTTGTGGATAAAGCAAAATGGGAAAATCCAGTTCCCTATTTCATTCTTGCTGGTATAAATAGCAGGCATGGATTGGGTGGAAAGCTTGCGTGGTGGGTGACTGGCGCCGTTCTTCTCCTAAGGTACCCTGGTGCCTCGGATATGGGGAGGATGCTGCCCCAACACCAGCGTGGAAGGAAGTTCCCACAGTGCACCAGGTGGCTTTGGGACGTGGAAAACCTGCCTTGTCCCTTTGCCCCAGGCAGCTAAATGCCTCGGTCTGGCCTCGTCCTAATTGCTTTTGCAATTTCCTCCACCCATAAAGGCGCCAAAGGAAAATTAGAATCTGGACACAGACCAACATGAGAAACAAACTCGGTGTCGTTAGACATTTCACTACCACACCGTCAGAATAAAACTTTAACTGGAAAAGTGTGTCTGCAGGAGAGGTGTGTATCTTACTCGCCTCCTTCAAGCCAAAATAAAATTTCCCCTGCTTTGGGCTGCTTCAGGAGAGAAGCCAGGCTCTTGCCCAGATGCTCCCCGTTTGCCCAGTATGGCTGTCATAAACAGAGAGGTGCCAATTCCACCTGCTGTGAAAGGAGATTATTCAGCTCATATTTCCAGTTGCAAGAGACATTGTGCGGGGTTTGGGTATTTGCAAGTAGGAGAGAGCCACCCGCTGTACGTGGTTGTGCCCTGTGTGGGCAGGCATGGGAAACCCACACCAGTGTGGTTTTGAGTTGCAAGCGCCACTCATGTGACTGTGGGCTCACAGGAAGCTGTTTTAGGAAGTTGGACTGACACTTCTTCTGAACTGGTGAGCGACTGGCAGGGACTCTCCAGGGTTTCCAGTGGCACATAGATGCGAGGACTGGGAGCGGTGCTGGTACCTTCCAGGAGCAATTCTGGTGCTCCGCTCTGCACCATGGACCAGAGAGTCTTTGCCTCCCAGCGCCCCGCAGCTTCTTTCCCCATTCAGAGAAGGAAATGCCTTTTGCCCAGTGGAAATGCCTTTTGCCTTGGCAATTAGCAGTTGCAGGAATTTTCAGGCAGGTCTGGGCTCTGCTTGTTCTGATGCATGGATTTGCTCAGAGTAACAACCCCTCTAGGCAGTTTACATAGCCAAGTATTCAAAAGCATATAAAACACAGCAACTGCAACAAAAGAGAGAAGTGACAGAAACAACAACTATAAAACATCATTTTAAAAATTTGCAACCCAATACAGGGCCTCAGTGGCACGCCAGAGAAAGTGTGTGCCCGGCTGTATGTTTACAGGAGGTATTTAGAAGTCGGCACGTGTTCGGCCTGCCAATACACACAGGGGTTCAAACTGTCACACGGTGCCACTCTGTTGGGTGCAGATAAACTTTATCTGGACGTCCACATGGTGGGCATGTCGTGAGCAGAGCCGGCTGGTGCCGGAGGTCAGACTAGATGGCCCGGGAGACCCCTTCTGACTCGCTCTGTTTCTATGTTTCTATGTTTATAAGGGGGTTAGAGACATTCACGAAGGACAAGGATATCGATGTCTGTATGCAGCCCCTGGTAACAGAGACAGCGTGTTTGCTGAACGCTGGGAGGCCAACACTGCAAGAGTGTTGCTGCAGCATCTCCTGCTGGTGGGCTTCCAGAGGCATCTGGCTGGGCAGAGGGGAAACTAGTGGCTGGAGCAGGCAGTTTGGTCTGTGCAGCCCAGGACGTTCCTTTTGCTCAAGAGGACCGCTGGGGAGCAAAGAGGCTCATTTTCTTCCCAGGGTGAGTGAGTGCCGGGCCGTGGGCAGCGGCGGGTTGGGCAGAATGCGGGTCCAGGGCACGGCTCAAGCGGGCATCCGGAGCTCTGGCGAGGGGCCCGAGGCCAGGAGCAGAGCCGGCAGCCCAGGGCTGGAAGCACGGAAGGGAGCGGTCCGATTAGCCCAGGCGGCACCGCTCAGAAGCAGTCCTAAGGCTGGTTTGCTGGGGGAATCGTCCCAGCCAGGGCAGGCAGGCGAGCAGGAGCAAGGCAGGGTCTACTCAGAGCAAGGCAGGAATGGCAGGGGCAGAATGTGCATGGGCAGGATCAAGGCATGGAGAGGAGAGGAGGGGAGAGGAGAGGAGAGGAGAGGAGAGGAGAGGAGAGGAGCCGGAGTGCCAGGAGTCCCGGGTTTCGGCATGTGCGAAGGTGTCTTCTGCCCTGGTCTCCAGGACCTTCACCTGCGGTGTGGGGCGGCTGCCGACCTGACCCCTGGGAGCACCTGCAAGGGGTGGCTAGTTCTGCAGACACCTGCAGGACCAGGTGGCACCAGTCCTGTCACCTGCGGGCCTCCAGTCCTGGCCACCCAAAGCACAAACCTGACTGCCCCTTATGCAAAGGACCTGAACCTTCTGTACAAAGGTTGGTTGCGGCTTTTTTTCCAAGCCATTATTCTAATCAAGGTGCAAAGAAACTGCACTTCCTGGTAGAAGTGAATCAGTTCCTTTTTATACCTAAGATGGCCTTTAGTGTGACAAATCCCGAAGCTGTGCAAAAGACCTCGTCAGATGCAGGCACATGGTAATTGCCATGAGTTTGGGCACATCTGGAGTTTTGCTTCACGCCTTCATGCTGTAGAGAACTGCTGACGGAGATTTCAAAAAGAAAAGCCCATCAGAGGTAACACTGTGAGAAAGTTACCCACTACGTGACATTTCTGTCGAAATTGCGAGGCTCGGTAGATATAATCTTGACCACGAATAGCTCACAAGGGCTACAAGGGGCGTTAAACATGAGATGCAAAGAGGATACTAAACGTGATGTGCGGAGGAGACGGAGAGCGAACAAACATGAAACGTTTGTGCTAAAGGAGCAAAATAAGTCTGAAGCGCTTGGGGAGGCAGGGCAGCCTTCCACAGTTGTGCCCTGGCACCCCTCTTTACAAAAGTCCAACAAAAAGTCATCCATGCAGCTGCAGGAATCCCAGGGTTGGCCAGAGACAGGGGTGGAAGTGTGCCAGCTGGGAGTTTGGATCCAGCTTTGCCACGTATTCCGGAAGTTTAGAAAATGATTGCAACACAGCCTGTGGCTGTCAGCAATTTTTGGACCACTGGGGCAGCATTTCCTGGAAAGACCAGCCCGCCCTTCTTGGAGTGCGGGAGACCCTGATCATACGGGTTGCACTGGGTGTGGACTTCCTCAGACCAGTGGCTTAAATTGGCGTGCCCTTAATTAGTCCATGAAGGGCATAATAGGCTGTCCTGCAGACTCAAAACAACCTTCTTCTGCACAATGGCAGAAATGTGAAGTGGCACACTCAGTTGGAAGGTTTATCTTTTCCTATGTGAAATTAGAAGCACCACAGTTATAAAACAAACACACACACACACATCCAAACCAGATTAAATACTTGGCCTGTTTCTAATTGCAAACCCATGGTTAGAGGAAAGTGGTAAAATTCGGAGGCATGGCAAATTTGCTCATGCTTCAAAGTGAGAATAGACCTGATGCCTACCTTGCACACACTGCGAGCTTCGATGTGAGGTCAGTGAGAGAAGAAAGAAGAGCGCAAAGAAGCAACCGTCAACAAAACTCAAATTAGAATTCTACGGAAGGAAGACCAGACCTGAATAGATCAAAGAAAGCTCATTGCTTTAGCTGCAAAGACATCGCTCAGCAGCGCCTCTGAAGAGGTTCTTCCAGAGCAGCTGAAGACCTTGTTCTAAGGGCCAAGAACATTTTCACACATACAGTTGGCCTTTCTACTTCATCCATCAGAATTGTTGGCCACAAAAGAGGATACTTGGCCAGTTTGGACTTTGTTTTCATGTTGAGTGGCCGAGGTCTGTCCAACAGCTGGAGAGCTTCAGGTTGGAACAGCTGGATTAAAACAAGAGCTGCTTGGAGCAGAAAAGCAACCGATCCTTTGCACACCTTCCTGAGAGTCAGGCATACTGAAGTCGTGGGACTTGCTCTTGGCTAGAGCTTCTTAGATTTTGCTGTAAGTGCTTGTGCTGCCCCCTTTGTAAGTGCAGCCAGATTTTATTTTATCGCGCACGTAAGCAGAAAGACCTGCCTTGCATCACGTACATGTAGGGAGCTTCAGGTGTAGGTACAGATTTCCTACCCTCGCCCACAGGGTAATATTGTGCAAAGTGTCCTTAAGTCCTTTTGGTGCAAACGGACTGTGAGTGTGTGTTAATGGAAGCATGTATTCTCTTGCCTGAGCACATCCAGAATTTTGCAATTATGACATGTAACAGCATCTAAGGACTTCCTGAAACTTTTGCCTTGTGCTACATTGTCAAAGAAATACAGAGGAAAATTGGAAGGGGTTTCAAATGTATCTGCTTACAAGTGATGTGGTCTCTCTGCAGGGATCACCCACCAGAGCAGTTTTGCCACGGAGATCCCAGGATAGACCGAGCAGGGATTTTTAGAGGTGTGTGGTGAGTAGTTCTGGGAGGTTTGGGGCTGCTGTCGGAGGCAAATGTTGAGGAATAAGCAGGTCAGCCCTGGAAGGACTGGGACTTTGCAGCCGAAAGCCCACTCTGTTAGATGTAAGACTTTCCAGTGGTTGCCCAATGGAGACACAAGGCTTTGTAGCCTGGCGAAGGGGGGATTTAACATTTCTCAGCCAACAGGCCAAAATAATAAGGAGTCGAGCGACGGGGTATTTTTTAAGCCTTCATTTTGCAGGATTGACAAACTTGTTGAACCCTCTGTTTTTAGATGATCAAGTGTAATATTCGTGTTGACCTGTGGCATCTTTACCCCCAAACAGCAATTCTGGAACTTCTCCTCGAGAAAGTCCTGGGATGTGGGCTGTTCCGTGGTCTTGTCCATGGACCACCAACCTGAGGCAACCTTGAGCCCTTTCCGAGCTCCTGGCTTTGCAGGGCAGAGTCTGGAGCACCTGGTGCAGCCAGCCAAGTCATCACGGAGCAGTTCTGCCTTGTCCCTTTCATGGAATGTCTGTGGAAAAAACGCAACGGGAGAAGCAGGAGAGGGTGCGAAGGCGGCGGCAATGCCCGAACCCTGGGTAAAATTCAAAGAATGAGACTGGGTGGGTCTGCAAAATCAGCTGCCTCCTGAATCTCTGATCAATAGTCCAGCAAGCCCCAGTAATATCTAAACCGGCAACGCAGTTTCGAGCTCTCATGCAGAGCAGCTTTTCTTAACACTGCTCCTTGGAATTTCTGGCATGGAAAGCACACTCTGTGCCACTGGCCTATGACTGCTCCCAGCGACTGGCTTCTGAAACATTTCTGAGAAATAGAGCTCCTTCTCTAAAAAAAAATAAAAATAACAAAAAGACACTGGCTGCAGGCTCTGTCCTCACAAGTCACTTCAGCCTTGGCGATTTTTTTTCAGTTGTCTAACTTGCCGAAGTTTTCCTGGCATAGCCAGAATTTGTTCAGTGGTATAGTTGCTAGGGGAGACAAGAAGTAAAGCCAGAAAAACACGCCCAAGTTTATGTAAGATGTTCTTGGGGGTTTTTATGAACAAAAATAGGACCTTTAAGATAAAGAGCAGAAAGAAGCAGTGTTCTTGATTTCTAGCTGTTGGCCAGAGAAGCAAGGAGTACCTTCCCACCTACTTTCAGAATATGTGTTAATGAGTTAAATTTATTTTTTGAAGAAACGGCTTTGGATTTTAGTATGCACGCATGTGCAAAGTGGCTTTGCCTTCGTCATCCTTCCTCCCTGCCCCCCACCTTTGTGTCTTTCAGACGCTAAGCCTGTGGAGTCAAGCGGCTGCCTCAGTTCTTATTCATCGTGTTTAGACTCATGTCTTGCTCATCCTACTTGTGCTGCAATGGGGACCTTTCTGACGAAAGTGTGGGGGTTCGTTGAAGTATGACTGAGTGGTTCAGGGTGGTGGAGCGGGCTCAGGGGATCTGGGCTCTTGTTCCTGGGGCCCTGGGTGATTTGGGCCAGGCACAGACTTGCAGCCTCGCCTACCTCAGAGGGTTGTTGTTGTGCGGAGAAAATAGAGGAGGAGACCCTCAGGCAGCATGAGGAGGGGATGTTGCAGGCATCTGGACAGAAGAAGATCTGAGCAGGGACCATCTAGCCCAGCATCCTGCTCGCACCGTGTCTGCCCGGCTGCCCATGGATATGCCTGAGTCGATCTCAGCCACATTCTGCATTTGCCCATGATAAAAAACCATTGGCTTTTGTTTCATTGCTTAATTTCTGGATTGCATCAGGGTTTATACATGAGTTCCTTTGTCTCTAGCTTGGCTCACTTCCCTGAGCCGCACTCCAGATACATTTTTGTTCTCTGCCAAGGACTTGCTGATGGTCCCTGATGGAGAGAAGTCGCAGTTCACACCATTTATAACATCTGCTTAATATTTTCTAGAAATTCCTTAAGGACTTTGCACATGCTTAAAGCCATTCTATCCAGACATTGTTCAGAGGTAAGGATTTTGTTTTCCAGGATCCAGGCTCTGGAGGGTCAGTCCCCCGAGCGTGTCCCTCCCCCCAGTGTATAGAAAATATTTCCCCCCCAAAGGACCCACAGGCATAATGTTTTGGACAGAGAACCACGTTTTCAAAGTTGGGCAAGTAGGAGCTGCAGCGGGCAGGGCTCGTGGCCCTGTCCTGATGCTCCCAAAGCCAAGGCTGCCCAGCACGGAGCCCGCCGGGTTCCCCACGGAAGCGGCAGTCACAATCCTGGGCCGATTGAACAGGCTCAATTCACACCGCACTGCCTGGGGCATTTTCTCCAGCGGCTTAGTGCCGTAGCAACACGCCCCGCATTTCACAAAGCTTGAGTTTCCCCAAGCCTGCCTGCAGCTTTTGCCAGATTATCTGTACATGGTTTTATTATTACAATCATATCCCATCTTTCTTCCTCTAGGATGGAGCCCAAAGGGGTGTTCATGGCCCTCCGGTCCTCCATTTCACCCTCACAACAACCCTGTAGGGCAGGGCAGGATGAGAGCCAGGGACTGGCCCAAAGTCACGCAAAGCAGGGACTGAGTAGGCTCTCGAACCCGGATCTCCCGAGTGCCAGTCCTGCATTTCCGCCACGATGTCACACTGGCTCCTGACTCACCGAGGGGCCTTCTGAGAGCGCCTTCGCTGAGCCGCCGCGCCGCCTGCTCACAGCGATTACGAGAGGTCTGGGTGGCAGCGCCTCCCCCGGGCGGCCTTCCGCTCTCTTCCCACCGCTTCCCGCCTTGTCTTCCCACGGGCAGCCCAGCGACCATCTGGGATGCTGCTGCGCTTCCCGCGTCATGGCGTGGTGCCCGCCTTTCTTCCTCCGCGAGGGCCCACGGCAGTTTGCGCAGCTCTGTTTGTCCTCACGACAACCCCACCCTGCAAGGTTGAAAGCCTGCGATGGGCCCAGAGTCACTCAGGGGGCTTCCTCACTGGATGGGGGGCCCAGGACACAGCTCTCCTCGGTCCCCAGCCCCACACACTCACGACTGCCCCAAACCAGCCCGCACCGAATGGGCAAGGAATGTTACCCAGTTGCTAGGAAGGGCTTGTTTTGTTGTGTGTTTGCCCACACATACGCACTGTGAGGGATGCATTGTGCACGTAAGGATTACTTGGGAGGTGGTGGGCCAGAAGGGTACAAAAACTTAGTTCTGGATCAGGGCTTCACTTCCAGCATATGGTTCAGTGCTAGGCGTTCACCCTGAACCACGATCCTCTGTGCAGTTACAGAGTGTCTTCCATTAGTGAGAGGAACCCCCAAGAATTCTTGCACACCAGGTGTGTGGGGAAGGGTGTCCGTGCCAGGGAGGAGGTGCAGTTCCGCACGGAAACAACCCAAATTCCATTCTAATGAATAGTCCGACAGCATCTTGCATGCATGTTACCAAATCAGTTTTCACTGGATATGTTATCAGCCTGGTTGGGCCAGATCCTGAATAAATGGCATTACCAGGAGAATTTACTTAGATGTAAACTTGCACTGGAACATACACAAAGGTTTCCTAGTTCTCCTTCACAGAGTTTATAAAGCAACAGCCAGGATGATACATATCCGGTTAGAATGGGTTTTGCAACATGGAAGCCTTTTTCACAGGCTCTGGCAGGCCTGTTTCCTAGAATAGCTTTCGCATTGTTTATGCAGTAGCGTTACATCGCATGCACTTTCTTTTCTGAGACCTAATGACACATGTAGCATTTGCTTCGTTATGTTACTGTTCCCTCTGATACTCATCTTTAAACAGAGGTCAGTGGCGTAACTGTCCCTGAAGGAGGTGGGCAGTGAAAAAGCCTTGGGCGTTTCCGATAAAGAACCCTCAGCAATGCCACACGCTTTCTTTGCAATGCTTGCATAGTACAAATGACATCCCCAAGCAGTTCACACGCACCTATTAAAACATGAGATGTAAAAGGCAGGATTAAAAGCAATTCCATCTACACAAGCCCGGGTGTACAAGTGTGTTTTCTGGGGCCCCCGTATTGGGCCCCCAAGCTGCCTTTCCAGAAGAGGGGACTGCCACCCACGAGGCTCGGCTCGGGAACATGACGTGTGGCATTGTGCTGGTTGGTTGTAAAGTGTGAGGGTTTCTGTGGTTCCAGCAAGGCTCCACCAGAAGAGCCAGGGGCTGTCTCCAGGGCTGTCCCCGCAGCTGAAGCCAATCCCACGGGGCTTTTCTTACGCTCTGTCTTATGCGTGTCAACAATAGCAGTTGAACAAGACCCGCAACTAAGAGGCAGTGGGGCGCTCCTTTTGGCACAGAGGTTCGGAGAGCATCCTTGCCCGCGTTGGCTGCTGCCCCTGAATCAGGTGCGGGGGCGGCCCCACGCAGAGTGCGCTGCGGTAGTCTAGCCGTGAGGTTCCCCATGCATGGATGGCTGCAAGTCCCGCCGAACTGTTGGCTTGACTTGCAGGTCGACGTGGAGACTTGGCGGGCAGGGTGCTGCCGTCCAGCCGCAGTGAAAGGTGGCTCTTTCCAGGAGCGCGGCCCCCGTCCGGGCCTCAGGCCTGCTCCTGCCATTTCCAAAGTGGCCTGACGGGAAGGCTTCAGCTGATGCCCTGCGGCCTGTCACACAGCCACGGAAGCTGGCCAAAAGCAATAAATGCATTTGCCAATGCATGTGTTGGGGTCCCTTCCTGATAAATGCAATTATTTGTTTGTGTATTGTCCCAAAAGATCAGCATATTATCATCCAGCAGTCTCTGTAACTGCCATTTGTGCCAGCCTGAACTTCGGGAGTCTGAAGTGGGCAGAAGTTTGAGCAAGTGGCCTCGGGGCCTTCTATTTGCACAGAACTGTTGCTTGTTCTCCAAGTCGAAATAGAACGCGGCTCATTTAATAACTGGTCTTAATAATGTCTTCTTTGGCTGCCGTAATTTTATCGTGCTTTAATGATTAGCTGGTTGTCCATCGCGCTTGGTCTATGCTAGTATTCTTATGAATTGCGTATTTTTAACGGTAGTTAAACTGGTGGCTGTGGGGCACCCAGGGAGCTCATCCGATTTAGTTTTAATTAATTTAATTAAATTAAAGCGTGTCTGCCCCGTCCTCCGCGAAGCCTCGGGACTCGGGCGCCTTACAGAGCCGAGCGGCCGGGGGGCTCGTGCACCTGACC